ATGTTCGATCACCCCCCAGTCACAGACTTCACTAAAAGCGGCCCCTGCCTATTTCCCCCAGTCGTTCGCAATATTCACTTGAAAATTGCAATTGATGCAAATCGTATTTTCTCTTTGTTTAGGACAAGAATCGAAGAAAAAGCTTATGCGGTACTTCTGAACCGGCTGCCGGTTCTGAAGCAATCTGAGCATATCGCCCGAGTGACGGGTCAAAACAAGGGCTTGAGTAAACGTGATTTGTAACCTATAAACGGCTGACGTTCGAACGGCATCAGGCAGCGGCAACAAGACGCTTTCGACGCCAATTTATCAACAGCAGGTTTTTCCGGGGGAAATCAGGCTGCGATGGAGCTCAAAAAGCACGGTCCACATGGTGGATCAGGATCCAGAGCTCTCCACAAGTTCAACACAGGCGCTGGGGCAAGTAAGATTGAGGCGCTGGGCCTCGATCCTGCTAGATTGGATATTCCGCTTCCATATCAATAATGTCTATGCTAGCTTCTACGATTGAAACTTAGGGATACTAGCGGCGATCGCGCCAAATTGCATCTCCCTGTGGGAGCAGTCTAATCAGCTCAAAGCTGCTGAGGCTCTCCTGACCAATTGCCGCTGGAATCGGTCGTACGTTATCTTGCTGGTGGTGTATAGATGCTAGCTTCTTGCTAGATGCCAGCAGTGCGCAAGCATTCACAACACCATTGCTGGCAAGAAGCCAGACAAGATGGCGGCGGAGCGCCCTTCTCTCAAATACTCCCGCCTACCAAAAGACGATGAGAGTGACGCGCAGAGAACGAGCGTCAGACAGCGCTTCCCAGAGCCTGAAGAGAGCAACGTCCCCGACCTTCGCTTCACATACACCCTCCCCGAGACAGTGCCCTGGAAGTCAATCTTCCTGGCGTTGTTTCTTCTGACCTTCGGGACGCTGACGCTTCTTCTGGCTTACCTCATTGGGACGGGGCATATGGGGGGGGATAGGGAGCAGGTCATCGGCTTCACAATTCTGGGCATCCTCCTGTTTCTACCTGGTAAGCAATCTTTGCAGCTCGTTTCTTGTCAGCAGAATCCTGCGGCTAATTTGTGTCATTGGAGACCATCGCATCGTTTGTAAGGGAAGCTTAGTAATCTCTCTAGCTCAGATTGTTGCAAGTCGAGCTTGTTGAGCTTTCAATCCGATGGTTGGCTAAAGTTGGCACCGTGTGTTGCTCGCATTTTGCAGGGTTCTATGAGACAAGGATCGCTTACTACGCCTGGCGAGGAGCTAAAGGCTACAAGTTCTCGAGTATACCTGTATATTAGATGTGATCTTTAGTACTTCGTTTTCTTATTACATGACAGAGATCAGGAAATGTTGAATCAAGGTTGTTTTGTAGACTCAGTTTGCCGACCTGCCAGGGTGCGGTCTCAGGTATGGGTGTTCAGAGGTCGTTTTGGTGTGGCAGAGCTTTTGGCAGCCCAGCTTGACAGCATTGTCCAGGTGGTTGCCTGCGCTCGAACAAGTATCTTGCGAGGCAAAACTAACCAGATTCTGAAGAGTCTTGCCGCAAGCAGTGTTCCGAACATGAAGTTCACATGATGTTCTGAGCTTAAAGGCTTGACGACTCGGAGACGCTGACTGCAAAATACTCCCTCCAATCTAGCTTGACCGTCGGTACCCACAGTCATGAATCACGGGAACTACAAGTTGCTAGCTGTTCAGACAGCTGGAGTCTGATAAATGACAGTACCATCTTGCGTATAGATCCAATTCTCGAAGCTAGAAGCTATAGCATGATTGTATATGTATTATTGCCATTTGAAAGCCGGTATGGGGCATGAATGCGAATTGTGAGTCAGTCGAATATTGCATCAAACTTGATTTGCAACATCATGCAAACCTGTCATAAGCTTAGTAGGGCCATTGTACGTACACCATGCAAATGCCACGGGTTCACTGGCCCGCTAGCTAGCTGCATGCACTGCACGAATTGACATACATAGGGCCGCACTAGCTTAGTTCGTTCTATTTTATATGAATATTATTCCGAAGCATATTGCACTTGCATGTGCGGTGAGCTGAGTCGGGCGTTATCAACTCCACCACGTTTTCCTGAACAAGCTCTTAAAGCATGATCGGGCAAGGAAGCCTTGGCTCCAATTCAATCATTGCCAACAACATCATGCCATCAGTCCTCATCGCTGTCAGGCACTACCCAATCGTCGTTCTCCGCATCCCCGGCATTCCCGTCCGCTGCACCCTCCTGCCGTTCATCATCCGCCTCCGAGGTCATGTCTGCCTGACCCGATGGTTCCCTATTCTCCTCGTGAGACGGCTTGACTTTCGCTGCAGAGACCGGGCTTCCGAAAGCAGTGTCAATTTTCACAGTCTGCGCGGCTAGTGGGCTGCCAAAGCCCACGCTCGACACTCCCGCTTTCTCCCCAGGTTGCCGCTCTCCTCCGGTTGGGTTTTCACTAACCGGTTGCAAACCGGTTTCGGTATGTGGCCAAACCCGGGGCGGTGTACCAGGCTCAGTCGACGCCCGGTTGGGAGTGACCGGTTCATCATCCGAGTCACTCTCCGTCGCTTCGTCGTCAACCTCCATCGCCTCCGGCCCCTCCTCGTCGGCACCCTTAGCGTTCTCTTCGTGCCCCTCTGCTTGCCCCTCGTTTTCGGAACCTTTAGCCGCCTCTCCGTTGCGCCGCTCCACAATCGGGCTCTTCGGCTTGGTGTAAACCAGCGCCTGCCGGATGCTGTTCCCCATGCTGTCCAGTTCCCGAGTCGCTTTCCGTAACCGCAGCCCGGCCGCCTTGTTCCCCCGGTATGCTTCGTGCGCGTCGAACCGCGTCTCCAGCAGCAGCTTACACATGTTGTTGTACACGCTGATCACTTCCAACCGCTCCGGATCTTGGTCGGGAGCAAGGACCGCCACTTCCTGGCTCGTAATCGCCTCGAAAATAGGGCCCGGTAACTCCATCCCGGCCGGTTTGATCGCGCCCCCGCGCCCCCGCGCGCTTCCCAAACCCCCAAACCCTGACAGGTCCCCGCGCCCGGCAAGCCCGTCCTCGTCTTCCGAGTCGCTCGAGCTTTCCGGCGGCTCTTCGATGAAGGCGTTCCCGGTTTCTTTGATCAGGTGCGCTGTGTTCAGGCCCTTTTCAAGAAGCGCCACCCTTCGCTTGAGCCACTCGACAATCCGCCGCTGGATGTGCGGGTCAGCCTGACTTGACCCGGCCTGGTTCGGCACTGAGCCGTCTCCCCCATTCTCCCCTGCTTTCGCTTCCCCCTTTCCATTGGTCACCTCCGGCTTTCCGTGCAGCATACCGTTCGCCTTACTTTCGGCTCCCTCATTCTCTTCCTCTACAACCTTTTCCTGCGATTCTCTAGCTCCCATCTCCCCCTCTTGTGCCTCCTTTTTCAACGACCCCGCAACATCGACGCTTTCTGGGCTTTGCCCCCCTCCTGCCACTGCCTTTACATTAGGACGTTCTTCCTCCATCGTCACACCTTCTTCCGCCTTCACACCTTCCAGCTTTACAGTGGGGGATCCCTCTTCCGTTCCGCCCTGCCCCCTTCTATCCGTCGCCCCCTCTTCCGGCTCTCCCCCTTCCTCCTTCACTCCATTCGGCGACCTCTCTTCCCCCTTCTGAACCGCCCCCGTCACGACTCCGTCCGCCAGCTTTACTAACGGCATCTCATTCGCACTTCCCAGCTCCCCTTCTGCGTCGGGCTTAGCCGCTGGCTGCGACAAGGCCCCTTCCACCGCCTCCCCCCCTTCCTGGCCCCCGTTCTCACTCGCATTCAAGTTCCCCCCCTCAGGCCCATCTTTCTCCAACTTCACTTCAGCGTTCTCGGGCCCCTGTACTGTTCCCTCCCCCTCCCCATTGACCCCATTCTTCTCTACACTGACCCCAGCCTCTACCCCCTGAACCTTCGCATCCCCCCCCCCGCTCTCCTCCCGGGGGCTCTTCGGCACCACTTTCACCCCCCCGATGACGAGCACCCCCCCCGCCGGCACCTGCGCCTCTTCCCGCAAAACTTGCTGCAACCCTAACTCCGGATCAAACCCGATTTCTTTCCACTGACTGTAACCGTGCTTCATGATGCCCCGCAAGAGCCGTTTGTCGTGCTCTTCCCGCCAGACGTTGGTAGCGCGGCGCAGGCCCCCAAAGGGCGCGTGGTCGTTGAAAGCTTCGTCGGGTAGCTGAAGGACGGAGGCGGCCGGGTCGGCGTCGAGCTCCTTAACCTGCGACGAAGAGTGGAGAAGAGGGTTGGCAGACACACAGGCGAGTTATTCCACTTTGCAAACAACGGAACACGCGCTTGTTGAAGTGTGCATGTTACCTGAAGGCATAACGGCCGACCTTGGGATCTACTCATTGAGAGAGCTTGCAGGGATTGACAACGAAGCACGTTGCATGATAGAAAGGCTGGCAACGTGAACCAGCACGGCTCGGCTGTGGGAGACCAATCTTACACTGCACACCAAAACAAAGTCCCCTAAGCAACGCGCTTCCATTCTTAAAAGCAGCATATGGAAGACCTTCGCTTTTCTTTTTGAATCCTCCTCTCTCGGTCATTTGAACTTGGGCGTAGCAAGCGCGCTTGCAACGTCGACTAGATGGCTCCGATAGTCGCGACTCGTGACGGGTAGTGCCGTCCTAGACTGTGATTGGACAAAAGAGCGACGTCGGCGACAACGTCCGTCAAACTCCTACACCCACTTTAACAGCCAGAAGCTGGCAACCGAAGCCAGGCCTGAGCCCACCTTGTCCGCAATCAGTTGGACAACTGCCAGCCGCGTCAGGACGTCCGAAACCCGGAGACCCTCCTTGGGTACTCCGTCCTTGAACGTGTCCAGCCCTGCGCTGGTGCCCTCTTCCTCTTCGATGATGTGGCTCAGGAACAGCGCCGCGTATTCTTTGATGAGTGGGAGGGGCTTGTTGGGCAGCCGGTTGGTGAACTCCGTCCAGTCGGGGTCGCTGAACCCGTAGCGCATCAGCGTCTGCGGAGGGGTTTGGTGAGATCAGCAGTCGGAGTAGGTGTAGAATTTGAACACTGGTCTGCTTGATGAGTAAGAAGGGAGCAGCGTAGGAACGAGCTCAATTGCAAACCCTGATGAACACAGACACGGCCGGCTTTGGAGCCAGTAGACGACTCTGAAAGCACGAGAGCCTGGCAGAAAGTTGACGCCTCAAAGTCCTGAGTCTCTTCAAGTACTCACTTTCTAAGCAGCTTCACAACCGCAACACACGCATTGACCCGTACATAGACTGCAACCGTTAGAAAGAAGCCAATGCAGCCACTCTCCTTTGCGTTCGCTTCTGGAGACACAGTCTCCCAACCCATCGGGAAGACGCATAGCTTGCTACAACCGAGTTCCAACAAAAGGCAAGATACCTCCACTCACTTTCACGAACGTGGTCCTCTGCTTGTGCGAGAACCCGAGCACCTTCAGGCCCTTCCCTTCTCCTTCCAACAGCGGTGGGGGTGGGGGCGGCCCGGTTGGAATCACCGGTTCCCTGGCCGGCGCTTTCTTCTTCCTTTCCGCGGGCGTAGCCATCGCCGCTGCGGGGCTGCCCTCGGGCTCTTCCGGTTCCGGTTCCTCTTCGTCGGAGCTCAGCTCCGCCATTCCGGCCAGGTCATCCTCCACGTACCGGATCTAAGGTGTTCGACAGGGTCGAACGTTAGGAAGTGTGGTCCTCTGGGGCTCTTGATGTTTGTCAAGAGCGTGTATATGGGTGCTGAAACTGTGCTGGCTCTTTGGCGGAGCTCGGCTCAATTTTTGCATTTTAATGGGACCGAGAGAGTATTTTCAACTAAATCGAGAAAGTCAAGAGTTTGAAAGAGTCGACATCAAAACGGTCAGCCTACAAACTCCTCGGAAAGAAGCCATGAGAGGACCTTCCACATCCTACTAGGCTCCCAAAGAAGAGAACAAACATGACGAAATACTCCCACCTACTCCACCCTACCGCAACCCACCTGTTTCCGCCTCCTCCTCCCCTTCCCCATCCCCACTTCTTGCCGCACGTATGAGCACAGCCAATTTGCTGCTAATCAGAAGAACCCTCGTACTGCCTCTTCCTCCGAAGATGCGCAAAAGGACCTTTTCGACCCTGATAGATTCGACAAAGGGACAGAGAAACAACAACACAGAAATGCTGATGCTCCCACTCTCCGATCCACCCACCTGTTTCCGGCTCCTCCTCCCCTTCCCCATCTCCACTTCTTGCCGCACATACGCATCTTCCCACCGGGACCGCAGCAGCTCCTCCCAGTATTCCCGCCCCCGCTGCTTCTCTTCCTCTAACTCCGCCTCCAGTCGCGCGTCCTCTGCTTGGATCTCGTTCGCCGCCGCTTCGTCTTCGGCGTATGCGAAGTTGGCGACCTTGAACGCCTTCAGGTACTCGTTGTCCTGGCCCTCGTCTAGGGCCGGTTCCGCCTCCAGCGCCTGGCTGCGGTCCAGCAACCTAGGGAGAGGGAGGAAAAGAGTGCTCGAAAATGGCCGGAAACGCCCGGATTTGTCCGGACATGGTCGCTAGGTTGCGGCAAGAGCCTACTCTCCTTTTGAGCTTTCGCTGACACTCCGACGCCCAAGCCTTGCTATGATTTTAGATCTGAATCCCGTAAGAAAGAGCGTTAATAGGCGGCCGAAAGCGCTCCGAAGGAATTGCTTTTCCGAGGCTCTAAGGGATGCTCTTACAGAACTTTTGAGGTCTTTTAAAAACAGTCCCAACCTTTAAAGGTGGTACGAGACCACACCGCAGACGAGCGCCTGAGTTCATGAACTTGCTACGAGAACCAAATCAAACAGTAGAAGACTATCAATCGAACCGCAGCGGCCCTCATAGCCGCCAGCTCGAACCTACTTATCCACCGCCGCATCGTCGTACACGATCGACCGCGCCTTCTTCCCGTCAACCCCTTCTCCTTCATCCGCAAACAGCTCCTTGGCCCCGTACCGCACAATCTCGTCCAGCTCCTCCTGATTCAGCATCTGCGCTTTCGTCATCTTCCCGACGACCAGGTGCTCGAGCATCATCTTCTTCTTGGTCATCTGCATCATGCGCTCCTCGATGGTGGCACGTGTCACGAGCCGGTAGATCATGACCTCGTTCTTCTGGCCCAGCCGGTGCGCGCGCGCCATGGCCTGCAGGTCGTTGTGCGGGTTCCAGTCGCTGCGAGAGAAGTGAGACGAGATTCGCACGGGAGTGGGGAGATGAATTCGAGAAATTTTGGTTTTGCAGCGGATCTGACAGTCAGGTGTCTACCAAACTTGGTGGGCCAGAAGTTGTGCGCGTGTCATGGCCTGCACGTCCTTGTGCGGGTTCCGGTCGCTGCAGGAAGGGGGAGGCAACATCCGAAGTTTTTTTTGGAATGGTAACGGAGAGGGAGCACTGGGTTTGTAGCAGATCGTGGATCCAGGTGTCAACGGACGTTAATCGAAGTGATCCAAACGACAGGTCGTTGTGCGGGTTCCAGTCGCTGCAGGCGGGGTAAGAAACGCCAGATGAAGATCATGAGTGTGATAAAGAAGCAAATGCAACGAAGGAAAGAGCTTTTGCACCGACCGAATCCTCCAAGTAGCAAGCAATCTCAACAAAAGGAGGCCCAAGAGAGAAGGACAGACAGAAAGCAGCACCTTAGAAGTTGGGATTGAAACATTCCTTCTGCGGAGCGTCCTTTGAGAGGCGGCGTTGTGCGCCAGAATCCTTCTAACTTTCATTAAAGAGCTCAAGCCGTGATGCTGCTCAACCTCTCCTTTACTTTTATCAGTAACGAGGAAAACAATGAAAAGAAGCGAAACCGTGTCCGATTCGGCAATAAATCGTTAATACCTCACCTGTCGTAGATAATAACAGTGTCAGCTGTGGCCAGGTTGATACCCAGCCCCCCCGCCCTCGTGCTCAAGAGGAAGACGAACTGTTTTGACTCGGGGTTGTTGAACTGGTCGATGCGAATCTGGCGCGTCGCGCCCGTGACACTCCCGTCAATGCGCTGGTAGCCCCAACCCTGCGAAAACACAATTGGTGTCAATTTGGAAGCGGTACATACCCATTTTGATGTGCAACAAGGGCGAAGACCCTTCTGCAGGAGTCGGGCAAAGAGATGCAACGTGTACTTCCCGTCAGAACGACCAGGCCGTTAAGCTGATTTGATTAGCTCGCGTCGAGACAAGCAGAAAGAAAAAAGAAGGCAGAACTCGTAAACAGCGAGAGTTTCGCGGATGTGACGATGAGACAAGCAACGGCTTTCAAATGTGACCATCGTGCACTGGAGGGAAGGGAAGCCCCCAGACTCCAATTCCCATCACTGCAATCGTTTTAGTGCTAGCAGAATTGTTGGAGCAGCCGCCAGAATACAGGCGCGAACGACAACAAATGAGGAGGAATGCAAAACAGGAGGCTTCGCCCGTAGTGGAAGCATCTTCACAAGAGCTCGAGAACTTTTGAGTGTTGAACTCGATATCACTTTGCATGTCGGTGCCAGCAACGCGTCAGAAACCTGATTAAAAGTAAGTTTCTGGCTGCTCAAAAAAGATACAAGATATTGACTTTTGCTGCTCGGCGGCTTCACGGGTTTGAGCGTGATTGAGGTGCTCAGGGCTCCAGACACGGCGTCAGAGCCACCTTCCGTCAGGAGATCTCGAGCAAAATGGCCGGCTCAAAGCTCTACTCTTCGACTCAAAAGCTCTGTTAGTATCCAAATCGACAAAGCCTGCAAGTATCGAGCACAGGGATCAGCCACACGACGATCTCGTGCTCGTATCACGCGTTATGCTCCGTCTGGTCCATCAAAGTAGAAAGGAAAGGAGAACCCGGCGGCGGTGCAAAACAACGATGAACCCAGCGGGTGCTTGGGATGACATACGGGCAACCAAAGCGCAAAACGATGGTGGTTCCCTCAAGAAAGAAGCGCTCAACGGGCGCAAGTCGCAGGAGCCCAGGACTGAACGGAAACAGTACAACGGGAACAGTGGGGCAAACAAACAAAGCGTACAAAGCGTTGGCACTGTCGAGAAATAGCCGGCTCCGTTCGGCAAAGCTGGGTGGGACGATCAACCCCAAGATCGCTGCGCGTCACTGCCGTACGCGCTCTGATTGATTATAAGAAAGCTGCTTTACACTGCTCCTGTAAAAAGTCTAAAGGAGTCCTTCTCCCCGTATCTGCTAGCACCGGACCGTGGCAATCTTGTCCACGCAAGCCGCCAAACTTCATGCCAATTGGTTGGAAGATGTGCTGTGACCAAAGCGTCCAAACGTCGCCAGTCTTTGTCCAGTATAGCGAACGCAACTGCTCAAGGGGACTTCGTTTCTAAAAGGCTTCTTCCGAAGCGAGGGGTGGGCGAAGCTCGCAAGTACTGCCCTCAGGACGGACGCTTTGGCATTTTAAAAGTTTGATTGAAACCGAAAGGCATCCACACTCGCATAAGTGCAAGAGTGCTGGTCCTGACGAAGCTTGCAGGCTTCCAACCATCTGGTGCAGCGAACTTGCCACAGTTCATCCCCACAGGTGGCATCACCAAGAGATTCCACTGACAATGGTGCCAGCTTGTCAATAACGGTTATCACTGCCAACATAAAGCTGCTCAAAAGGGACACAATAAGTTGGTCGTATATCCGTGAAGAGCATTCACTGCTTGTATCCGGAAATGGTCGTCAACACTTAGACGCAGTGTCGTCCTTTGAAAGGTCGTGACGTCATCTTCGTGGGGAAGTGATTTTTCATCTAACCTGGAATTGTTACTCGATGCACTTGCTCAGTCGCATACGACCTGACACAGCAAAAACAAACATATTTGTACACAGATCACAAGCTCGGCTGAAACCGATTTTGTAGGATTGAGATCTGCTGAAAGGAAATCAGAAGTGCCGTCCTTTCTATCCCTCAGCGGCAGCACTGCCTGTGTCAGTGAGACTGGTAGAGGGAAGATACCACCAAGCCCGGTATTGCATGGCGAAGCATTCTTGGACCGAAGCGTCACTTTGCTGCTACAGCACTGGGGACTGGGACAAGCAAGAAGCTGTCAAATCATAACAACAAGCAAGTTCAGTCGGCCGAAAAAACTGACCGGCGAAATGAGATGTTCACAACCTGGGAGATAGTAGCCTGCTCCATCCTCAAGATGAAGAGGAGAAGGGAGTGACTTGATAGGATGCTCTTGACGTTCAAGACCAGCAAGAAAGCGCTCGAAGGCAGCAGAGCGTTTCTAGAAGCCTCAAAGGTCTCGCTAGCCATGCATGTGTGATGTCAGCACAACACAGCAATGTCTGTGTTGACGAGCCCCAAACTTGCTTTGCATGGTAGCCACTGAAGACGTGGAGTGACACGCAAAGCGCAGTCAACTTCAAGGTTTGAACGAGATCTATGTGCGTTACGCAAAAGCCTTGGCGTTTGCTGGATCTGCAAAGAGGATTGGCATTTGGACGCACTATCGAAGGCTGTCACGGAAGACCTTTACACATGCTGGAACCTTCGACTGCTTGGAAATAAACTCAATCCAAGTTGGGACCGTAACAACGGTAAGAGGAGGTTCAAAGCGACAACAAAATGTCAAAAATGTGAGCCAAAGCGTTTGGAAGGGTCCAAGTGGCCGGTACAAATGGCATCGGGGGAAGTATCTGCATGGGGCTTCATAGACCCAACCACGCCTCTTCGTCACTGCCTTGCAGATTTGAGTGCCATGAGCGGCTCGAAACACTAAAGTCAACAAGAACCAGCGCGCATGTAACGGTGACGTCATGCGGACCTATACCTCGACAGGGAGACATGGCAGGAGATATGCAGAGACCCGCTGAACGCCAGATGAACTTCAATGAGCACGTTTTGAGCAGTGGGCAGACCAGGTACTCGCAAAGCAAGAATATGATGAGTGCTAACCCAACTCTTACACGCGCGATCCCAAACAGGAGTGGACGAACAGTTTCTACAGAAGCCAATATCACCAGCGAGCTTGTTGAGCTTCATTAAGGGAGAGGCTGGGGTCAATTCAGGCCCGAGATCGCAAAGTGCTTAACACAGAGAAGGCAATATGTGGCCGCATCCAGGCATTCTGCAGTAGAGCCAAGTTTTCCAGGGCTGACACGTAAGCAGTCAGTCTAGACTTGACCCAGGAGTTTGCATCATTACGCATGCCGCCACATGTTTGGAAGCACGCCACCTTCTTCGTGCTTGCTACAGACAATAAACGTGGGCTCATCCCCGATGTGCGCATAAGCTATAGGCAGACGTTACAAGACAGTACACGGGGTTAAATAGCTCAATAGCGGATCTTGCGTTCCATGACCGCAGCGCAACATAGGCCTCAAGTTTCGCGCCGAGTGAGGGGAGTGTGGCGACCCCCAAAAGACAGAGCGAATCACTGCGTCTGGAAAGTGACATGACGTAGCGAGCAAACGCAGAACCCAACAGGTATGAAAGTGATAAGCTGAGACCTCGAAATGTGTGGGGCATTCGCTCCAGGAGCTCCAGGAGACAAGCCGTTGGGATCGCAAGTTCCCAAAAGGTAATTTCATTGCCACTGCCCGCGCGACGCTCATCTTGGATACAACAGTAGGTGTCTTACTGAAAAGAAGCCAAAACGGACTGTCAAAAGGCGTCTTGACAATGATTCGGCAGTGCCAGAGCTACTAACCTCCAGAGTTAAGGCCTTACAATTGAGCTGTTTTGTGTGCAGCCATAAAACCAGATAGTTCAAGTTGGAAGGAAGGAAGCAGGCCTAGGTCGGGAAAACCTATTCATCCCTGCACCTCAAAAGCTCCAAGTGCTTTAATCATTGCGTCTCAGCTGACATGGAAACCAAGTAATATAACCTCCAATCGACAAGAAGCAGAGTAACTGCCTCTTGAGCCCTTGGTTTTACCCTTTGCTTATCAACTTACATCCATCTCTCGAGACAATTGGCAAAAGTGGAACGCGAATCCATATTACAAAGATCACCTGAAGGCAGCTACCGACGATTGGCAGAAGAATAACGCAAATCCATTTTACAAAGATGATTTAAGGGCACCTGGAAGTGGCTGCAAAGAAAGAGTCCGGGATTCTCGTCCCCAGATTGTCTGTGCATAATCCATGCAAGCTTGGTGGGATGCAAGTGGTCAATCCAAACTCTGTGCTCTTGCAGCCGCTTGGTATGAATTTGCGGTTCTTAGGCTGCAATGCAAGAATCGTCCTTTTGTTTTCTTCTTCAACAGGCAGAACTCTGAACCTTCTTCCAACTAAACGCAATCAGATCTGAAGAAGGAAAGGCGGCCCACGCAGAGCGTCCGTTCAAAATAGCATACCATCCCAATCTGCGCACTAACTAATCTCTTGGCAATCCTTCAATCAAGAAAACCTCACGGACAGAGACAAGGCATCCAACCACAGACCGACGAGTGTCGTCAGCTGCTAGAAAAGCACGTCCTTGCGTCATTGCCATCGAAAAATAATCTTGGAAAAGCTGCGCCAGACACACATCCAACAAGCTTTTGAGCGCCTCCCAAACGCCAGATGCTTTGGAAAACGAACTTTCAGAAGGGGGGGTAATCCCATTGAAGAGGACCCCCAACGCAACACCCAAGACCAGAATAGAGCACATGGTGTGAGTTTTAGCAAGCAAGGGAAATGGAAGGTTGCAGGCAAGAACAACAAAAAGGCAACGCCAACTGGCAATGAGTTTGACATGACAAGAAGTTCCGCGTGGAGTGCAGAAATGTTGTATTGACTGGCTTCTCATCAGCTTCGATGAGAAAGAACGTCAACATGGTCGAATCCCCAAGCCTTCAACACACCCCAATCATAAAGCGCATCGAAAACTGCACCCAACGTGCATTCGTGTAGGACTTCGAATCACAAAAACATCATGCCAAAGCAACGGCGTCGAAGCCCCAGATAGTTTCCTGGTTGAGAGTTGATCAAACCGCTGACCGAGCCAGCGCGGACGCAAGGAGAAAAGGGCCCTCCCTAAGAACATGCTGCAAACAAGCAAGCATTGATTGCACACAAGCTGGAAGCATGATTCACTGGGGTCCAAGAGTCTCTTCAAGTAAAGGGCCGCGGTCAAAGACAAGCACAGAGCGCTGTTCCGAAGCAAGGAGCGTGAGGCCTCTGTGCAAAGTACGTGCGACATTAATCAGCTTGCCAATGGGAGGGGGCTTCCCAAGGGTGCTGTCTGTCATGGCCGACTCTTGTACAGCTTTGGAACGCGTGCATAATCCAAGTTAACGCACAGGTGAATTAAAAGACGGAAGCCAAAGCTGTGTACGTTCGCCAACAGAAACACGGCAAAAAGATGCTCGTGGCCTCGACGGCAACAATGCCCCGGGCTACCACCGCCCCAGATATGTGAACACCATCCCTTATCGACCGAGCAGTGACAGATTTCTTGCAACTTACGGAAGGGACTACATCGTTCAAGAAGAGGCATCATTCAAAGTATTTGAATAAACCCATCAGCCCGAGAGACTTGGAGACGGCTGCCAATTATCCGTCCTTCCCGCATAATAAGTAATGTTCCTTCCGCGAATTCGCCTGAAGTCTCCGATGACAGCCCGTATGCACTGACCCAACTGAAAAAGGAGCATCAGACCGTGCCTAAACAAGCTTTAGGCCTCCTGATCCTGGCACAACATCATTGCTTCCGATACAGACACGCCCAAAAAAAATACAGTATCCTTCGATATTCAGAAGCTGGTGCAACCCCTGGTCAGGTTCTTTGCTGGAAGGTCCGCCAGAAGCCTTACTATCAGCAGCCCATGAAACAGCCGGGCCAACCTTTGCGGGGACCAAACATAACGTCCTCTGCTAGGAGACCTCACACCAAAAGAAAGCTGTGTGATGAAAAAGGACAAGGGAGATGGCAGAACGCAGCACACATACCTTCATTCTCCGATAAAGCACTTAGGAGGGACCACGCAGGATCGCTATTCTGGTTTCCAGAAAATCTAGATGCACGTTGTTGAACGGGATGCGCCCTCACCTTGGCGTTGAGCCAGTCCTCGAGCAGGTCCAGCACGCGCGTGAACTGGGAGAAGATGATCACGCGGTGGCCCTGCGCCTTGAGCTTGGGCATCATCTTGTCCAGCAGCACCATCTTGCCGCTCGCCTCCACCAAGTGCCTGCAAGAAACATCGACTTCAAATTGCTGATGCTGCAATGCTCTAGGTCTACGCGGCTTGAACTAGAGCGCTGACAGAGGATGCCTCGGTAAATCAGCTCAGCTTGTCGCAATGAGGGAGACATGCAATCAAATGTTCGGCACTGCTCGAACGTCGGCACTCTGAAATCGAATTCTCGGGGAGCCTTCAAAACAGGTCATCGTTTTCATTGTCGGTCTGGTACCGCGGTAAAGTCGGCCCCTTTCATCTCCGTTTTCTGCAGGTCCGGCCGTACGTCTCCCGTCCAATCCTACGAAACGATTATCTCCGCAACCTTCAACTTTCAGCATTCTTCGTCCTGGTACCAAGGGAAAAAATTGGCCGACTCACCGCCCAGCTTCCCGTGGGACTGGCAGATGTTTCTCCACCGTCGAAAACTTTCTGAGAAGGCTCTCAGCAGCATCTCCTTCTACTGTTTGGCTCTTGCTACCAACCGCAAAGCCGTCCAATCACCGCTCCACCTTCCGCGGGTCTGGCACGTACGTCTTCCCTCTGCTCCAAAGCCTAAGACTTTCAACACCTTTCCAAAACTTAGCAATGATATAGAAAGCTTTTGCGGACTCACCGCTCCGCTTCCCGTGGGTCCGGCACGAACGTCTCCTGGCCGTCGAAGAGGTATGGGTGCCCGCACACCTTGCGCAGCTCCATGACCACGTTGCTCAGCGACGCCTGGCCCTTCCCGCCGCTGAGCACTTCGTAGTTACGCGTGAGGACCGCTTTGTACAGCTTCTTCTGGTGGGCGCTCAGCTCGACGCGCACGATCAGCTCTTTCTTGGGGGGCATCGCTTTCAGGACGTCCTTCTTCAACCCTGGGAAGGAATGGACTTCGTATATTGGGATACCGGGTGTCTTTTCGAGTGCTGAACTGAGTGTGGAGACAAACTTGATAATCGCTTTCAGCAAGTCCTAGAAAAGGCCCGGTTTTGAAGAGGACTTAGGATTTCGTGTACTCGAGATTCTCGGTGGGTATATGTCACATGTCGTTTCTCCCCCTGTCAGAATGAAGCCGGTGATCCGTCTTGCCATTCGCGCAGGTTTGTTCGATCTCTCCTGTGACTTAAGGTCCAGAAGGTAGCGTCATTGGTTGCTCGACCGACGGACTCTGACCGCTTACGACCAACGTCGCACGTTCCCTGTTGCGTGAGAAGACGGGCAAGAAAGAGTCCTGGAAAGCCATCAAGAAAAGAGGTTTCGAGAGACACTCGGAGCTGCTCAACCGTTGAAGGGGAATAAAGGCATGGCAGGATGCCTCACTTCGCAGCATGTGTGGTGCGAGCAGCTTGTGCAGCCGCACGACCTGCTCCTCCTGTCCAATGTCCGCAAACTCCTGCTGGAAAGCTTCCAGGCTGGAGAACTGCGGAGCGAAAGCAGAGCGAACGGTCAGATCCGAGGCATCCCAGGCAGTCTCAGCGTGATTATGCACGTCCGGCACTGGCTACTTTAGAACACCCACGCTATCTGACCGCCCTTTGCAAGATTAGCTTGAGCCGTCCAGTCGTGTTACACGGTACTCGGGATCAGTTGCATGGCAAACGGTAGGAATCGAGCCCCCAGATTGTTCGCAAGCCAAAGTAAAGGGCGCGGTTACCAGCGTACGAGCACGCGATGCGTTCCAGTTTAAGTGAAGGCGGCCGCTCGGAGAGAACCTTCTTTTCGTAAGTTTCAAAGAAAGATGAGGAAAACACAGCAAGTGGAAATAGCATGTGCGACTCTCCAAACATGTTCGAGGTACAGAATCCCGACTGCAGATCCGGCGAGCAGACCCACGTGAAACGAACAGGTAAGGAAAGAAAGTTTCAGAGAAGAGGGGCGAGCCAGAGCGCGTCACCTTGGTGGCGTCGAGGAAGTGCATGAGCATGAAGAGCTCGTCGAGGTTGTTCTGGAGGGGCGTCCCCGTGAGCAGGATGCGGTGCTCGCTGCGCAGGTCGTGCAGCGCCTTGGACAACTTCGACTCGGCGCTCTTCAGCCGGTGGCCCTCGTCCACGACCTGTGGACGATGTTGTGACAAGTGAGGAATCGTAAACTTTAGGAGTAGGAAGCTCAAACGAACAAGAAAAAGCTAATGAAGTCACCTGCTCCGCACCCGTACCCACCCTAAACCCCCAAACTAACCCTATCCGTCCCAACCTTATTATCTTACTATTGCTGAAGCTTTCCATTCCTAATCTGTCATCTCGTCTGCGGGCGTTCGTTTCCCCATCGTTGTGCATTTACATTCAGTTAAAAGATTGGGAGAATCTGAAGCCTGGGGTCGGTGCTTCGAACACTACAGATGGGCTGCAACCGTGCACTCGCCTTGTTTCCATTGCTACGGCAGCAAAAGCTTCTGACGAAAAGGGGAAAGGAAAGCGACTGGTTAGTTAGAGATTCTCTCAAGTGGGAAGAGTGAAATTTCGCATGTGGTGGTCTCCAGTAACGCAAAGAGGGATCCGGTTGGCCCTTCAAATCCTTCTTAAAAAACCGGACATAAGATAAAGACGGGTCTAAGGCCGTGATGTCCGATACTCGTGTGACAGAAGAACTGCTTTGCAAGCGAAAGCAAACAAGAGTCACTTACGGTGTAATCCACAAAGATCACGATATCCCGCAATGTCGGAACGTTGCCTGAAAATAAGGAGATGTGGTGGTCCGGATTGCTGAGCTGCTTGGACAGGGTTGCACAGAATAGACAGATGGTACAATAGGCACTTAAACTTACTGTTGCTTCTTGTAAGCTCCGGTAATTACTCTACCATCTGCTGCTCGTGAAAAGGTAGAAGGTAAAAGGTCAAAGGTCAAAGGTAAACCGGACTAGAACGTATCCTCACCATGCTGTCCCACTTGATGCCCTTGAGGATGCCGGCATCCGCCAGCACTGTCTCGTATGACGTCAGCAGCACGTCGAACTTGATGTGGCGGTGCTTCTCGGAGCCGCCCTGGTGCTTGTGCTTCTTGCTCTCCTTGAAGTAGAACTCGTGCTGCCGGATGATCTGCCGCGCGGGGCCGGATCCGACGTACATGATCTGCAAAGGGGCAGATCAAAAGTGGTCTGCGCACTGGAGAATGTTGGGGGAACAGTGGACCAACCTAGTTTTCGCTGGTATGAACTTCGTTTCGGGGGAGGGTACTCGAATCCCCTCGTCTTTCACAGTGTCTTGTAACGCCAAGGGCACCTTTCATTACAAATCCTCATGGACACGCCACTCCCAAGTACATCGGACAGCTCACGGCGACTTCAAACCGCTCTTGACTGCTCGCGACCGAAGCAGTCAGCTTTTCTCGGTCGAAGTCGAATTCGTAACCCACTTTAGACCCCTTTTGAGCCGCTTGCACCGTTTCGTCATTGTTAACGACTTGAAGAAGAAGTTGTTAGACATGTCCTCGATGACGACCGGATGCCACCGACATTTTTTCTTGCAGTCGCTCGAAACAGCCGCGAACCTCACCAGCGCAGCGACAGACAAAAATTCTGATAACCTACACGTCGCTGCAAGCCACCTGGGGCAGACGCCCGCCCTAATACGCCATCCCGTTTCCATACGCTCTTCGTGCCCACTCACCACGTTCAGCTGCGGCGTCCAGACCTGAAACTCTCTCTCCCAGTTGCGCAGCGTGGACAGCGGGGCCACAACTAGGTGCGGACGCTCCGACGCGCCGTCTTCCTTGAGCGAAACCACATACGCTATGGTCTGGATGGTCTTGCCGAGGCCCATCTCGTCCGCGAGGATCACGTGCTTATGCTGCTGCCACGCAAAGCGTAGCCAGTTGAGGCCCTCCAGCTGGTACGGGTGCAACTGGCCTGACAATAGAGAAAAGAGAGGTCTTGAGAGAGACAGTCGAGAAACGTTTCGCGCAAAAGTGGGTACAGGATCTTGTGGTCCCGCTTTCACGTTACGAGAAGGGGCAACCATAAAATATTGCCAGCCTTGCTATCCAAAAGCACGAAGCAGAACCCCGTCTTACAATAATGTTGCCCCGATCACCAACCTCTCGCCGGGTGTTCCGGCAGAATCTCAGAAACACTGAATAGGGATGACTTGCCGGATCGATGGACACGACTCTCTCCCGATACCGGAATGCCCGGAGGCCGACCTGGTGTCAAAGAACCCAACGCTTACACTGTCACTCGAGCAAGTACAACAAGTATTTAAGGACAACAACCGTAGTTCCAATGCAACCGGCTTCAGCAGCGAACCCTAGAATTTCGTAAGAAACTTCCAGCAGACCTGCTCTCAGACACTCCAACTCCTCCAGTGGAAACTCAAGCAAGTGACGGGGACCATCATTGTCGTTAAAGCAGCCCGCTTCAGTAGAAGCCCTTACCTCCCGTGAGATACTCCGGCGTCTCCTCCAGCTTTTCGAATGCGCCCCTGCCCCTCCGCGCCTCGCCCACCTTCAGCAGCCGCTTCCGCTTCTTCTCCCCCCCTTCTTCGCGCTCTTCTTCGGCCCCCCGTTTCCTCCGCTTCTTGAAGCGCCGGTAGCGCTCAATCGCGTCACCGAACGCGGCGATGTCGTCTTCAAATTCCCACGTGCACTCGTCGTAGCCGAGCTCTTTCCACTTGACGAGGTACTCGAGGTTGTCCTCACCGTTGTGCCTGGGGAGAGAAGTGATTGACTTGGGTAGTCATTGGCGCACAGACGAAAAACCACTTCTTGGTGAACGTCGATTCTATCAGAGAAACCAGCAGCTCTTCCAGCACATTCCTCGACAGCCGAGAAGACGTGGACAAGGACCGTTTCTTTGAGCACGCTTTGACTCTCGCAAGGAATGAACTCTTGTACATTCTCTTTTGCTTTTGACCGGAGCCAAAGAAATGACCGTCCATTCAATCGCAAAAAATCCGTCGCGAAGTAAACTGCAGGCCATCCTGCTGACCCATGATTGGCCACGAAATTCCGCAGTATAAGCGCCAGAAGTGAGCTTCAATTGCCGTTTGCCAAATCCACGTTGCCATCCGCAAGCAAGCAGCGGGTCGCTTTCAACCCGATTGACATAGACGAGTATCACCTTCTTGGTTTCAAACATCGGCTCGAGTGTGACTCAATCAAAGCAATGGAGAATCGAACCCTCCGTTTGAATATATTTACGAAGGTCGCTTGACAATTGGATCCTGCTTCAAACGGGCCTTCCTTATTGCATCGTCCAGAAAGGACCCTCAAAGCCCAGTCTTCATCAAGACCGGCACCTAGAGCTGCTTCTAACCTGGAGTCAATCACCCGGTCGACCGTTGTCCACTCAACTCGCAGCAGGCCGTGTCCCTCGGAGTCGTCGCCAGCAACGTCTCCCCCCATCTGGTACTCCACCTTGTTTTGGAAGTTGCGCAGCTTGGCACGCAGGCCCAGCAGGTATTGGGCCGCCTCCTCTACTTCCTCGATCGGGACCCTGGCATAAGAGGGCGGTCCGATTGCTTTGTGCTGAGCAGATCCTTTGAAAGCCAGAGGCCTCTTCTGAAAGCCAGTTGCAAAAGACTAACGCGCGGGCACAGCAAATGCACTGTCGAACTACGGAGACGAACAGAAGGCCTGCAATTGCAAAGCACAGGTAGAGCTTTGGCCCTTTCGAGGCGGCGCAACCAGGCCCGTTGGACGGTAAGAAGACAGCGAAACACACTTCCAAGGGACAGATTAAAGGCCAGAATCGGCCCAGAACGCAAAAGGACGAGTCGAGGGCTGACCAGCTGGCGTGTAAATGAGACTGGCCCTTCCACTTGAGCAGGTACTCCTTCCGCTTCTTGGTCGACCGAGGCGACCCCAGCTGATTGTCGGCGCCCAAACGGTCCGTCACGACACGCCAGTCGATGATTTTCTCCATGTTTGCAAGCCGACTCTCCTGCAGAAAAAGAGCACGTTTGTATTGATTTTCGTTCGGAACGGGCTTTGTAAAGAACGGCCGAACCTGATATTTTGACTTGCCAATCAAACGACACCTTACGATGGTACTTCGCAATAATCAGATTCGAGGTGAATAGCCGACAGAAGGGACGAAGGTATTTGTCTAGACCGAAAATAGGACGAAACCACCCTTTCACATTTTCGAATTAGCCGACTTGACATCAGAAGCGGCTGGGGCCTTCTCATAAACGGCCTCACCTCGTAAGGAGCCCCCCCCTCGTCCCCCGCCGCATCATACCCAGTGTCTTCTTCCATCAGTTCTCCATCCAGGTAAGCATCCACCTCCTCCTCAGCATACGACTTCTTGACCCCCTTTCGCTCCCGGAGCCCCGCCGCCACTGCCCGGGCGTCATCGCTGAAGTCAGCAACCGAGCCACTCGTCGAGCGGGCCTTGCCACCCTTGCCCCTGCCCCTGCGCGGCACCTCGGGCTCCTCGTCGAAGAAGGACGTGTTTTCGAGCTCAGCATAGCTCTGGCGCTTGGCACGCTTCGGGCGGCCGCCTGGAAAAAGGGTTGGGTTTGTAAAAATTGTTCTGGTTAACATAGAGTGAGTGCGGGAGAAGACGCGAAACTGCAATTTGATCAGAAATGATGCCAATTTATTTTGCAAAGCGGTCCTTCAAGACTTTCTCAAGCTACAAAGCAAAGCAAATTGAATGGAAGGCACCAAGGCTGAACAAAACCATAATCCAGGACTCAGAAACAGCGGAGACAGAAAAACAGGTCTGACATACAGACAAGAAACACAACTGCATGGAAGGAAGGATGGGTCTTAGTGTTCTCCTTTGCCTAAACACTTACCTTGAGCGGGCGCCTCATCCTCAGAAGCCCTTTCCTCATGCCTGCGCTGGCCCCTCCTTGGCTCCGCTTCTTGCGTTTCATATCCGCGTTCTCCGTAAGTATCGCCCCCATGCTTCTGGCGCTTGCGTTCTCTGCCTTCATAAAAGGTGTTCTCCTTTCGGCGGTCCTCTGGAGGTGTGATCTCAGCCCCGCCGTCCTGTTTGAGCTTGATCTTCAGCTTGAGGGGCTTAACAGCTGGATTGGATGCCATGCTTCTGCAGCAGAGCCTGTGGAAACATACATCCAGAACTTAGTTGCAACACGAGGGAAGTACAAGCAAACTGTGCACTTGGCTGCAGAACCTCATACTGAGGCTTCAGTTGTAGAAACTGTTGCCAATAGCATCATCATGCATTGCATGTTCCAGCTAAAAACGTCATGTCTAATAGAAGTGGTAAGATTCTGCGCCCTCGTTTCTGCAGCATGGCATGAGCGCTCCCCGAAACGGTTCATGATCAAAAGGTGTACCAAATCAATGAAGACAAGATTATTTAGACTGATAGATCTTAAAGTCAAAAGGTCAGCATGTGAACTCTTGCCTAGAATAAGGCTTATGCATATGGTCAACAAAAGCTCGCACCCCAGAGCTGAAACCCATAAGCACTCTGAAGACCCATTCGAAAAAGAATCTTCCACTAGGTTACAATGCTGTGGCTGACCTGTCAGGCAAGAGCAAGTGCTCTTGCAAGTGCTCATGCAAATCGGGACAACCAGGAACTTAACTTTCCTAGATAAAGTCTGCAGGATGCAAGCTTGGAGGACCTCGATGACCAAACATAAGAACAGTGCTAAATGATGCAAAAATGAGAAATTCAGAACGTGCTGTGTAACCACTGAACTCAAAACCCCAGCTTTGCTGTTTGGCGTAGGCGGATCTTGACTAGATTCATTGTCCACATGATATGATCGCAAAAACTGCCTGGAACTTGACAACTTTCACTGAAGCTTTGTGCAGAAGACGTGTAGGGTTTCCGCATTTTGAATCGTGCATCAACAAGAGAGAAATTATCCTTGAGAATCTGCTAAGGAAATTCAACTGAGCAGCCTGAAGGCATTTGAATACAGGGAGGGACAAGAATTCTAATGAGAAAACTGAACAAAAACCCTTCACAAAATCACAGAAGCGATCACTCCGCGCACGCTGCCATTGGAAACGTTTCCCCTCGGACTGTCTATGATGCTTCAGCAAGGAAAAATCGGAACAATGGTCTTTGGTCCACCAAGAAAGAACTGGGCTTGCAACGTTCACAAACAATGTATTATTGCCTCAGCATGATTTTTTAACCGTGCATCCTACCTTCCTATAAAGTCCTCAATCCGCCCTCGATGCTCTCCTTTCAACTTTCAAAGCAGTGGTAACAAAGCCCCCTTTCACCACGAGACACCCGCAGAAACCCTTATGCCCCAGCTCCTCCTCCCGTGTGAGCTCTTCAAGACCCGTTGCGATCCGCCATTTTCCAAGTCCCGTCAAGAATTGCAAGGAGAATCTCCGCCACGTCAGCATGCTGTCTCACCAGCTTGAAACACACAGTGGTTTGCGGACGCTGGTCTGCGGACGGGCATTTGATTTGTGTATCGTCCGACTGTCCGGGCGACAAACGCATTCTTACGCATGTCCGCAAAAAAGGTTTCGACCTAGTTGCCATTAGAATCGCCCGGGCCGAGTCATTGATCGTCCCGCAAATTTCGTCACCGGGGGCCCCGGTAAACTGCGTGACCACCGGGGATTCGGCTTACTCCGTTTAAGTCGATGAACAATTCCGTAAATCTCGCAACGGGTCTCGGTTTACCAGAACACTCTACACGTGCTCGAAAGGTTGCCACAGGGTTATTCTTTAACCACCCACTCCACATGCAATGACGAGCCCGGGGGAAGGTCCTTCGTCGCGTGTCACGTGGGGATGCCGTGTCCCGGGGTGACCCATGCAGCGTGCCAGGAGGTTTCGAAATGGCTGTTCGAGAGTGTTGACAAGATCGGAACGGAGCAGTTGAAACGTTGAGAAGGGGAGCGCCACACCGGGAAGCACTTGTGGGACGCTACGCCACCTTTGACCTTACGCAGATATGCTGCAGTGGTGCCAGCTGCGGACAAGAATAGGTCAGGTACAGGAAGATTGTACCGCTGCACGAAGCGCACCACCGCGCTCCGGGGCACTTTCCTTGTGAAGGGTTGTCGTGTGGGAGCCCTGTATAACCTTGGCTTAGAAGCTGGCCGCTAGCTTTGTTATGGTCCTGCTGTGCCATACAATCCGCCACCGCGTCTTTAACGACAAGGTCTTGGCGCACTGCTGATTTGTATCACGGCAGGAAACCTGCAACAGGGAGCGCCGAAAAGGGTTTCCCCACGTCGTAGCCAGTTTGCTTGGACTTTGAGAGCAGGACAGCTATTTCTACGGTTAGTTGGCGCTTATGCCTCGTTGCTAAGGTTGCTGCGCTTGTTAGCCTGGGGCGCCAGGTTGGCGGCTCCTGTCCCTCTGAGCGCCTGATGAAGACAGCGGCGCCGCGGCGCAAGTCACCGTCGTCCCCTGGGGAGGGCCAGTTCGATGACTATGAGGAGCGCTTTGTTTCGCTTGAGCGGCACCAGCGAGTGGTTCACTACTACCTGAGGAGGAATGGCAAGGAGACGCTGGCGGTGGTCGGCACGGAGAAGTCCCCGAGGCATCTGAACTATGTTGTTCAAGCAGGCAAGTGCGCCTTGGCTCTTTTGCCGCGCATGGTGGCGGAGACTCTGGAAAGTTTTGCAGTCCACATGTACCTGTCAGCAATTGGTCGGTAGATTGACAAGTGAGCTGAACAGAAGCGGAGGTCTCTAGCCTGGCTTCACACGTATCTTGGCTCCTGTGTAAAGGTAACAAGGGCAGTAAAGCCACTCTTTATGTTCAGGCTAGTGCAGTGCTGCTAGACGTGTGTGTCTAGGGAAGCCTGTTCTGTCAAGCTGGCACTTTGCTTGAGCAGCGACGTCCAGCAGCTAGCTTTCCAAACCTGGTGGTCACATCCTGGTTGTGCTGGCAAAGCCGACCTTGCACCGGTTGTGCATGTATCCATTCAGCTTTGAGCGGAGTTGGGGTGTTGATGTGACAGGGCGTCATATCCAAAGGGGACGGGATGTGACCGGTTCATAAAAGCAGAGTCCTTGCACTTCGCCGCTTGACGGCGGTTCCTGTCAGATCGAGTGATAATTGGTTGTTTGCGACAGTGTCCCTCATCGACAGATAGCAGCTACTGCTGAGAAGATTGCAATTTTGGTGGAGCAAAGCGCTACATCTTATGGCGGCTGGCAGAAAGAGATGGATTGTCGTTCCTCCTCAGATGTGGTCCTCATCAAGCTGCCGCTTGATCTTGATCTGCTGGGGGTTAGTGCGGCGGCACGGAGGTCCGCATCGGGACTGCCTCCTAAATTGTTTACTGCTGACTCTTGCAGCTTTCCTGGAGGCTGTGGGGCTGAGCCCCTCCGGGGAGCTTATAAAGTGGCGGACGCGGCGAGAGGTGCTTGAGTGGCTTGACACTTTTGTGAAGGAGCCAAAAGGAGGTGAGATCTCAAACCTGCCTGCTGGCACGGCTTGCATTTTGTCAGTGTGGGGTCAGCACTTTTACGCACTCATTGTCTAGGTTAGTAACATCCTGTAAACCTGAAACCCGAAGGTACGCAAGCTCCGCTCTGCGAGCACTGGAGAAGGGTGCTCGCCGCACATGACATAGTGCAAAACCTCATTCTGAGCTGCGCTTCTCTTGGTGGACCCTCATGTCTGAGTGTATGCGTATGTCCATAGTCGTCTCGCTTTATCAAAGCGGTGGCGCTCGGAGTACAGCTTGCGGCTTTGCAAGCCCATACTTTGGCATAGCTGGAGTGTGGTTGAGAGAGAAGGTTGAAAGTAGGAAAGTGGACACTTTAAGCTTAGAAGCTGAGGAGGTTCAACCTGGGTTGTGCTGGGTCGTCAACAGCTCTATGCTGGCCAAAGCACTAATTTCTGCTCCAGAGTATGGCCTAGGCGCAAGGCCATACTCTGGTATGTTCATATGTTCATAGAGATTGCTGCCTGGACATTCGAGGGCACGCATAGCCCGTTCAAAAGTGGAGCGCACATACACTGCTCAGATGTCAAAGGTTTACAGTTCTGCAGCCTGTCATACACTTCCTCTATAAGTACTCTAACTTAAGCATCATACCAAAAGGGATTGTTCTAGTCGTTTTTGTCTTTCTTATGGTCTACTCGTTGCTTCGGTGCAGGTCATGGACAGCCCCCTTCCTTCGAAGAGCGCGCCACCGGAAAGTTCAAGAAGCAGAAGAAGGTGTGTAGCGACCCTGCCCTTGCGCTCCCTGTCGTAATCGTAAAGGTCTCTTTCAGTTGTTCTTGAACACCCATCTTATAGCAGTATGTGCAGGATTTTGGCCGTGGTAAAAGCGCTAACAGGCTATGCATGACTCTCAATTGCTCGAATTTCGCCTACCAAGTGATGCGTTCTTTACATCCGCACTTTACCAGAAGGAAAGCCACATTCACACCGCTTCCAACTTCGTCTCTGCAGCTGTCCTCAGCTGTGGTGGGAAAGCTTCCCCGCCGGCCAGCGGAGTCCTGGTTGGGGGACGATGGTCGGACGCACTTCAGCTCCGTCAACCAGAAGGGTACCACTATTGCTGCGCATGACTTTGTGCGAATCGCTGGTGTGACTGGTTCTGAAAAGGTTGCGTACGTAGAGGATCTTGCGCAAGCGGAGGGCGAGGAGGTGGTCCTCGAAGTGAGGTGGCTGCAGCCCGCAGGTTAGTTCCACGTTTCACAGAGTTACAGTACTCTCTTCTTCGAGGGGCAGAGAGCAATCATGTTGTAGAAGCGACAGCTATCTGCAATGGAAAAAGGGTGGATCAGTAGGCGGAGGCCCACTGATTGTCAGCACGGTCCCCCTATTTTGCCACCTTTGTAGAGTGAGAACTATGGGGATTGAAGTAAAAGGTAGATCAGAAAGAGGCGGCGGCGCAATTGTCAGCATACGCCCCTACTTCGCCACCTTGGGTGTTCTAGAGGGCACTGACCATCTCTTGAGCTTCTTTGTGTTTGAAAACAGCTGTTCCAAAGCAACGCGCACAACCTGCTCATTGCAGCGCTTCTTGAGAAATGGCGTTTTTCTTTGAACTCCCAACGAACAGACCTCTGAATGCAAACCGAAATTTTGCATCATACTATCTCACACGGAACTCTGCGATTAGTACGATGTACTAGGGAAAGGACTACAAGGAACACCTCAGGAAAGTCTCACACAAGCCCCTTTGTTCTCTTGCAGATTCCTTGCATGCCAAGCGCCTCCTGCTGACTGACTCCACCGACGAGGTTCCTATTGCTGACGTGGCGGGGCCCGCTGCCGTGCTGACAGAGGCGCACTGGGACCGCTTCAGCCCCTCCCTCCCAGAGGCTCAGCTGAAGCACGTCTACTTCTCCTCAGGGGGGCCGACAGGCCCTAGCATACAAGGTAAGAACCTGCTCGGCGTGCGGTCTTTGCTTGTGCACAAACCATTGAGAGGTGGTCGAAACCCATTGGGATCGGCGTGATTCACGCTGGATCTGATTGTTGAAGTTCACAGGGGTAACCTACAATGTTCTCTTATGAATCATTTGATCAGGTACTTTCAACAGACGTTCTGGGAAACGCGGCAAACTTGCTTAAGAGGGTAAAAGGCTCCTTTGGCGCTTCTTTGGCGCTTTTACCCCAAGCTTTGATTGAATTGGTGAATATTTGTACTAACAAACCTACTCCTTCCTTTTCCAGCCCTGAAAGGCTACTGGACTCAGCGCCACGCCGCGCAGGTCCTTGGCGACGGCGTGCTCTCCTCCCTGAAGCCCCCTCGCAAGCGCCCCGCCGACCTCCCCCCCTCCTCCCCCCCCCACGCTCTCTAGTGCCTCTCGCTTCTCTAGCGACCTCTCCTGGGGGGGGGTCCCCAAGAAGAAGCGCTTCTCCGGCAGCTACGCCGAGGACGACGTCGAGAGCACCCCCCCGATCCGGAAGAAGCGGCGGCGCGTCCCGGGGGATCCCCCCCGCCGGCTGGGGCGCCCGCCGAAGCTGCTGACGTCAGCGGGGGGTGCCGTGAGCCCGAAGCCGATCCACGGGGGGACGAAGCGCGTGCAGGGCAGCCCGACGACGCGGGGTTTCGGCGGGTTCGGGGGGTTCGCCGTCGGGGACGCGGTTGAGACGCTGAGCGAGGACTCGGGCCTGCGGGGGTGCTGGTTCCGGGGGAAGGTCGTGGCGGTCGCAGCTCCTCGGCGGCTCAAGATCCGGTAAGGAATGTGTGGTCTGTAATCTCTTTTGTCTGTTAATGCGTCATGCTGCAGCGCAGTGAAATGGGACGTGAGTCAGGTTGCGGAGCGTCCGAAGACGCTATTGTTTGGGCGAGCAGATTCTTGAGACATCTGAGCTTCTGTGATATGTAGGGGTCTTCCCGTTGCTTGTGCCGCTCCCTCATCAGGGGTGCATGCGCACACTGCTGAGCAAGGTGCAATAACAGGGTTTGCTGACGGAAGTAGGGTATTTTGCTTTCACCCTCGTCCAGCTTCGTCGTTCTTCGAAAAAGCCAATACCTTTTTTCAATGCTTTACCGAGCAGTCTTGCAGCCTGTACACGATGGTATCAAACGGGCATTACCTGGGCGATCAGGAATGTCACAAACCGTCCACCCTGGATTCAGCAACGTTTCTCAAATATACCGTTTTGGCCCGCTTCTGATGGCATGCAAATCTGTAATGGTTATGCAGACCCTAAAACTAAAGAGGCTTGGCCACTGCGCAGGTACGACGAACTGGATGACGAGGAGGCCGGCGGCAAGCTCGAGGAGTGGGTCACTGTCTCGCGTTCGAGCGCCAAAGACTCTCTCAACCTGCGCGCCTCCGGCCGGAGCAAGGTCCGCCCCCGACCGCCCAAGCCGGCCCTTCCGGTCACTTTCTGCCCGGGGACTGCTGTCGAGGCCTGGTGGAACGACGGGTGGTGGGAAGGCGTGGTTTCCACCGAGCAGGTGAGAGGCGCTTGGCAACATGGATTTTACTCATTGGACTGTCGTCTTTGTTTCCAGAGCACAGTTGCAGTCGTGGTCTTCAAGTCTGGGTTGCACGAGAAGGCTGAGTAATTTCACATAGACTGAGCGATGTCTTTTCGCTTCTTTTGAGTCCGCTCCGGTCTTGTCGTGTGGCAAGGTGGATTTGCAGGTGCAAGCGAGATTTGCGAAGGTCAGCTTTTCGCACCTATACACGTGGTTGAAAGACCTGGGCGCTGAGGGTGTAAATAAAGAAGGAAGTCTGAGGTTTCGTTATTACGAGCGAGAACGAGACACTGATGCCTTGAAACACTTGCCCGACGCTCATTGGGGGTCAGGCTGATTGATCTTGCAGGAGGAGAAGTTCGAGGTCTTCTTCCCTGGAGAAGGCGACTCGGCGTGGTTCCATCCAACGGACCTCCGCCCCTCAAAAGAGTGGCTCGAGGGCGCCTGGAAAGAAGTCCCCGGGCTTAAGGACGTCGCCGGGCTGATGAACCGGGGGATCCCTGAGGCAATGTGTGTGGAAAACGACTCCGACGAGATGCCAAAAGCAGGAGCCAAACTTGAGGACACCGGTGCGGAAGTGAAAGCTGAGGAGGGCCCGTGCGCGATGGAAGTGGATGACGGGCACTCCCCCGGCACTCCCGCGGTGTGCGAGCCCCAGAAGAGCGCGGCCGTGCTGGCGCTGAGCAGCTTCCCGCGGGAGAAGCCCTCGCTGCTGCGGACCGCGTCTGGCGGCGGCGGTGGCGTCCGGAAACTCGGCCCGTCGAACCTTGGGCGGAGCAGCGCCCCGCTGACGTCACCACCGGTTGGCGGGGGCTTGAAAGAAGCCGCTGGGAAGCATGAGCGGTTCGAGTGTTTGGAGAAGATCGAGGATGAGGATGAACCTGCGAACTGGGGGGGTTTTAAGGGCGGGCCAGAGGGACCCCCCGACAGAAGCGTGCTTCCCGCGGGGGGGGAGCAAAGCAAGGTTCGTACCCCCCGGTTTGACATTGTCCCAACGCCCGCCGGCAAGGAGCACGTCGTTTGGACAAGCCCGTCGCCTTCGCCGTCCTGCCACGGTTCTTTGCCCCCGCCCGCACAGAAATGGGAGTCGCCCGCCAACGCTCTCGAAAGCGAGCAGAAGGCGCCACCGGCAGAGCCCGAGGGAGGCGCAGCAGTCGCGCAGCAAGTCCCGGCGAGCCGGCTTGCCGAGATGGATCCGAACTCCGAGGTCAAAGAGGCAGCCTGCGAGCTCCCTAGGCCGGTGATAGCAGTCAAACGCGCGGAGATGCCCGCGCGCGCCTCCGCGGCGCAGCAGAGCTGCTCTGTGGATGCTGGGCCTCCTAAGCCAGGCCATCCGCAGCCAATTTTGTCAAGGTGATAATTCCAGATTTTGACCGGTGCAGCATAGGCAGTCTGAAGGACCTATTGTAATATGGCCGTGTTCGTCAGGCTCAAGAAATGAGCTGAGGTTTGTAGCCGGGCAGATTTTGGAAGCCCAGCCTTTGGCCCAAGCCTCGGATGTTGGAAGCCTGTGCGGCTGACGGTAGCGTTATGACGTTCAGGTAAAGATATTGGATGCAGGTTTTGCGTAGGCTGTAAACGATTAAGGTGCAGGAGTGGCAGCTGCAGACTTGCCGCACATGCTGGCAGAAGACACTTTATATGACACTATGGGGACACCACGACATGGTCCCGGGCTCGGGCAAAACCCATGTGCCTTGATCCGTGTTACTGCTACCATGATGCAAATGAGCGGTGTCGAATGCATGAAATTACCGTACCAACCCAGCTCCGAGGAGCCTTTCATGCAACGAGATATATACATACGGATTTTGTATATTAAACAAGAGATCTCGGCCATCTGCATGAGGTACACACGTGCACATGCATGTGAAGTTGTTAAGCTTTGAGTCCGGCCGTTAGTATATATGACAAGATTATACGAAATGGTCTTGCATGCCACGTCATCCGATCATTGTCGAAGCTTAGTATATATCCTCATGCAGCATTCAAAGCTTCCCCGGCAAGGTGACTGGGCTTACGCGCGCAAGCTGTCGCGACCAATCGGGTCACTGAGTCGGCCGCCAATCACTTGCATCTAGCTGAACAACTATCAGGGCCCGCGCGGCAAAGTGTGCACTGCCGGCCCGCGGGAATTCGTCCATCACCTAGGATGTGCAGCAATTTGTACAGCTGAGCGCTCATCATGGTTAGTTGCAACCGTACCATACGCCTACCGTAAGCAAAAGCAGTAGGGCTGATAATCAAGGCCAGCCACGTAACTAACTATGGATGCAAGTACCTAGGATGAGGCCGGGCCCCGTCACATATTGTATGGAGACAATTCTGCGGCGATCTACCATGCAGGGCCTCGACGAGACGATCCTGACAAACATGCAATTGTCAAAAGCGACCATCAATCAAATATCGGGGCTACTACAAGGGTACTGTCCTATGGTACACTGGCAAGAGAAACGCCGGTCAAAGCGACTCCACAGCAGGTTCTTCGTCATCAGCTGCTGGCTCTTTCTCATCGCCCAGATCCTCTTTTACTTCAGGATCGTTCCCAGTGGCCGTTTTCACTGCAAGAGTCGTCCATGCACGGAGGTGATTGACAAACAGAGCGCCATTACTGCATCACTGACAAGGTCGATGCTGAACCGAACTTCGGCACGAGGTGCTTCAGGCACACAAACAGCAAAACTTCAATTTCAAAAGTTGACGTCATGAGCAGTGTGAACATTGTTCTTCTTTCATAGATTTTCACATGGCTGATTGGACACACAAGGTGACGAAGAGACGTCCCTCACCTTCTGTCAATGACGACCTTCTGTGATTCTTAGGGTGCGGTGTTGGCTGCATGGAACGAGAAATGAATATCTTAAGCAAGTTGAAAAAGGCAGGTTACGTTAGTACTCACATGCTTGCCGACCAGCCTAAGGTGAAACTGTCATTGAGCTCCCACAAATGCTGTGAACAACGGAAGGATGCTCGGTAAGATCTACTATGCATGATGCGCAAACACTGTGGAAAAGGCCAATTGATCAGCGCAACCCTTGTCGACCGGGCCTCTTCACTCACTGCTTCCTGCCAACTGTTCCGTTCAGTGTGCTCAGCTGGCAGGTCTGAAGAGCTCAGGCTTGGCAATCAAACCACGGTGTTCAAAAGTTGCATATTTTATCCAGAGCCTGCGCAGCAGTGCCGCTGGTCATGTTGCAACTTGTCCTACAGCTCAGAAAGGGCTGATGTTTGGATGTGCTCACCTCCAGTTTGGGCCTGAGTGCCTCAATGCGATTCTTTGGTGTGCCCTTCTTCAAAGCGTCCAGAGGTGACTTGGGTTTTGGCACTTGAGGGGCCTCCTGAATGGGAGAAGGCACCGACGTCATCATGACCGCTGATTGCTCAAAAGACAGAGACCTCGATTTGTACGTGAACAGAGAAGCATCAGGCAAGGCCTACGCTAGTACTGTTGATAATGTTTGACAAAACCTCAAGACATGACGGCTCGAAGGCTTACCCCTTCTTTCGCGAGGGCCCAGTCCGCAGAATCAAAGTACGTCCTTTCGCCCTCCTGTAACACAGCAACGGAACAGAGTCGGACGCTTCAACATTTGCAAAGCTGAGCGTTGCAAACCTTGTCTCATCCTGCCTCTCCCAAGTACATGAGATCTCCGTTTCGGATGGAAGGGGAGCGCAGTGTCAAGGAATATAGAGCGATACATAATCCGTCTGCTCCAGGCAGACCGGATCGCGCCAACACCTTGTTCACCTTGTTCACCCCAACAAGCGGCCAGCAAGATTCCTTGCTAGCAATGTTCAAGTGCAAAAGTTCTTCATGAGTCGCGCTCTCATGTTCCCTCCATGGCGTCACAGGACTGACCTTTGAGATTAGTGGTGGCTTTTTAGGCAGGCGGCCACCGTATTTGCTGGCAAGCTTGGCTTCCTGCAAGGTAAGACAGCCAGAATTGGCACAATAGGAATCAACAAATCGGAATCGAAGCAACCTTGCCCGAAACATCAAATCATCGTAGCATAGAAAGGAACAAAGAAACTGGTTTCATTGCACGACTACTCATCTTACCTGTGCTTGTACATCTGGAGCAGCCTGCCCGTCCTCACTCCCTGCCATTCCAACTTGGTACCAAAAAGAGTTTGTGTCCCTGCCCCTAGCTGTACAACGCTCTGTTTACAAATCAACTGTAAGTCCTAGTATACACAAGTACGCAAACTCAATGCACTTTCTGCTCAGTATGTACACAGCAGGCCTTACAGTGTTTACCCAGCAACTACTTGCCTGCTCCGTTCCAAATTGACCAATGTGGACAGCGAGGTTCAAAGCACTCAAACTCCAAAAGACACCTCTGTGGGCGACCGGACTGCCTTTGAAAAGAGCTACATACACCTTGTAAGTTGTGACGTCTTGTGGATCCTCTTTGTCAATGCGCCTCCATTGAATTGCTTCACGCCAGCAGAGAGAAGACAAAATCTCATTGTCAGTAAATCATTAATAATAAATGTCCAGAATGAACGGCCTCTTGCAATTGTCTGTTCAAAGAAAGTCTTTCGTCCGCCAGCCAATCAGGAACTCCGGATGACGGTCATCGCAGAGAAGAACCTTGGCCCGACCGTGACAGACCTGAAGACAAGGAAGACTTTGACACTACAGAGGCCACATGCCTGAGTCCAATCTTGGGAGCCAGCGCCTGTGTAAAAGTGTCTAGGATTCAACCGTCAATGATGCGCCCGGTGAGTTGGGCACTGTATGCACAGTTAAGAGCAAACCACCCTCGTCAACCGTCTTCAAGAAAGGGTTTTGTAGAGCGAGAGACAGAGCAGTTTAGTACTGTATTGTTTAGGTGGAAGGGGAGGTCAGCGAGGCGCCTGCGTTCTGTGGGTCTTGTTGTGCAGCAATTGGAGCAGCACATCCAATTGATGCAGTTCTTGTAGCGCTCGCCAAGGAACATCTCCTCCCTGCGGCCCCCCCCGGCTGCTGCCATGGCGGGCGGAGGTTTCAGGCTCCTCCATTTGGTGCGCCCTTTCCTGTCTGTGCTGCCCGAGGTGCAGTCGGCGGATCGTAGGGTGCCATTCAAGGAGAAGATGCTCTACACAGGGATCGCCCTGTTTGTCTTCCTCGTCTGCAGCCAGCTCCCCCTGTACGGGATCCATAGCGCCACCGGATCTGATCCGTTCTACTGGCTGCGCGTCATTCTCGCCTCAAACAGGGGGACGTGCATGGAGCTTGGGATTACCCCAATTGTGACTTCAGGGCTGATTGTGCAGCTATTACATGGCTCTAAGATCATTGAGGTGGACAACAGTGTGAAGGAGGATCGAGCACTCCTGTGAGTGATTGTGCTCCTATTTTCGTAAGGGTATAGCTCATTTGGCTTGCTTCGTGCAATTTGCAGCACCTTTCTGATTTAAGTGATTACCTTCTTAGCTCTTTGTAAGCCATTGATTCGTTGCCTGCGCAAAGTGCACACTGAAAGTTGCTCACAAACAAGTTGGAAAAAGGGTGAGGGCTACTGGTGTTCTGCTGGTTCTTTGAAAGTGGCACTGATTCATTCCTTCTTGTAACTGCAGCACTGGAGCTCAGAAACTGTTGGGAGTCTTGATTACCATTGGGGAGGCAGTCGCCTACGTCCTGTCCGGCATGTATGGGGATGTGCGGGATCTTGGCGCAGGGAACGCCATCTTGATCATTGTCCAGCTCTTCTTCGCCGGAATCATCGTGATCTGCCTGGATGAGCTGCTGCAAAAGGGTTACGGCCTTGGCTCAGGAATCTCACTCTTCATCGCCACAAACATCTGGTAAGTGTGCCGCGTGCTTGAGATGGAGCTAGTCCTAGGGTTTTGGATGGTGCTGCAATGCAAGTGCTCCTCTTTTTGAGTGGATTTCTCCAAAGAAGACAGGGAGAAGTAGAGTAAGCAAACAAGCGAGTAGGAACTGCTCTTCGTGCCTGAATAAGGTTTGAGCTGTGCTCCACCGATCATTGCAGCGTTGACGTATGGTTCATTTTGATAGAGCAAAGTGCAAGTGTGAAGGGTCTGTCAAGGGCGCCACGCGTTCCTGTGGTGGCGCCACTCTAGGTTTTCCAGCTGTTGGTCTGCCACCAATCAAAGCCCTCTGAGCTGCATCTGAGCAGACACCTATGATTTGCTGCTTTGCAAATTCACCAAAAAGCACTTCAGCATGAATGCACGGATACTTTTGCACTTCCGAAAATTTGCTGCTCTACACCTCTACAGCGAGAAGACGTTCAGCCCCACCACAATCAGTGGCGCCTAGTCTGAGGCAATTGCAAACGGACACTGGATGAGAAGTCTGCCAGGAAAGCACTCGAGCAAGAATGCACGCATGCTCTCTGCACTCGTAAGACATGCTTCTGCTCTGCACCTCTGCAGCGAGAACATTGTGTGGAAGGCTTTCAGTCCCACCACGATCAACGCCGGCCGCGGCGCTGAGTTTGAGGGCGCCATCATTGCGCTCTTCCACCTGCTCATCACGAGGACGGACAAGGTGCGCGCGCTCAAGGAGGCCTTCTACCGCCAGAACCTCCCCAACGTGACCAACTTGCTGGCGACGGTGCTGGTGTTCCTGATCGTGATCTACTTCCAGGTGAGGGGCAGTTGTGGTTTGGTTTTAGGCTCTGCTTTGCTATCTAGCAATTGGCATCGCATTGCTTATGTTATACTTGTGGCTGGCTGTTTTTGATTGGTAAGTGGTTTGGATTGCCAACAGAAGGTGGTGGTAAGGAATTGAATTTGGCGCGTAACAGCTTGCTAGGAAGGTGTCAGAGTTGTTACTTGGTCTGGATATGAGAATCTAGGGTTTCAAGCTGGTGGATTTCAGGAGGATTCTGTGTGAGTCACTCGCCTGTGAGTATCATGGGACATACTGCCTGCTATTCAGGCAGTTTCCAGAGCAGCAAAGGCCGGGTGCAGTTATTTTTGTTGCTCGTTAGCCCAGGATCATTGGTGCCTTGGTCCATAGAGTCCTGGCAATGGAGACACTGCTTGTCAAGCTACCTGCTCTCAGCAGACGCCTTCAAGCAATATTTTCCTGCAGCAATGAGCGAATAAAAGAGGCGACGCAAAGCTCAGCATCCATATGTCCCTCTTTTCTTGTCCTTTCTCTCCTTCCCCCTTTGCACCTGCAAGACTGGTTTTGGCCCCTTCCCTCATGTCTCCCGCAGGACTCCAAGGTGTTGACGAATTGAAAACCAAGTTTCAATCCGTGCAAGCTTTCGTCCTTGTCTTGTAGTTTCGCTTCTGATTTGAAGCTGCTGCTTCAAGTCGATCTGCGTGTTTCGCACTCACCCTAAGACTCCCTTCTTAGCACACGGTCTCCATCTCGAAAGCCTTTTCAATCGGATTCTTTGATCTCATTTCCGATTCCTTTCCGCCCCCCCTTGCAAGGCGTCAAAATGGTCCGTCCTGTGCGCTCCAAAGGGCATCCTCATTTTCATCATGTCCTAGCATTCTGTACAGTCTGCAGTTCCTTTCCCCCAGAGAATCATGATCTCAACTAAACTCCCTTTCCGCTCCCCCCCTGCAGGGCTTCAAGGTGGTCCTTCCCGTGCGCTCCAAGAGCGCGCGCGGCCAGCAGGGCAGCTACCCCATCAAGCTCTTCTACACGTCCAACATGCCCATCATCCTGCAGTCCGCGCTCGTGTCCAACCTGTACTTCATCTCTCAGCTCCTGTACAAGCGCTACCCGACCTTCTTCCTTGTAAACCTACTGGGCAAATGGCAGGAGCACGAGTACTCGACCAGTGGTCAGCTCATACCTGTGGGGGGGCTCGTCTACTACTTGTCGGCTCCAACTAGGTAAGGAAGCGGAGACGGTTGTTTGAGTTCTTCACTTCTCCATGAGGGGTGGACGTTTCAGGTGTTGAGGAGTGTTTGTGTGCCTGGCTAATGAAAGAACCGGGCTGGTGATTGCTGTCGGTCTCGGTAGGGGGGATTGACCAGTTTGTGTTGGCTTCGTTATTCTTTGACGTCCTGTCCGGTTCTGACGTCCTGTCCGGTTCTGTAAGTCTGTTGGTCTTGCTTTTAAAGATCCCAAGAGGAAATCCAAGATGAAACTGAAGGAAAAGGAGTCTGTGCGTTTCTGAAACAAAGCACTGCCAAAGGTGGAAGCAGCGCTGCTGCTCTGCACTGTTTCGATGGTAAATCTGCATTGCCAGACTGAGCAGATTTGGGAGTCCTCCTATGTTTTGACTTGGTCGATCCGAATCTTTGTGAAGCTCTGGGGATACCGCTCAATAGCCCACTGGACTTGCTTGCCTAAAGAGGGCGTCGGAGGTCCGGTCCTACCTCAAGCGACCAAAATTTCTCGCATCAGGGCCAGCTTGGTCGCCAGAGGCACTTTTCAAGATGGAATTTGAGCCATCAGATGTAGTTTTCCTCAGGACTCAAAGGCACAAATGTACCCATGAAAGCTGACGCCCACTCAATCCAAAACCCATCAATATTTGTAATCATTGTAACTGCTGGCGCCCTCTTTGACCGTGTGACATTGGCGCCCTGTGCAGCCTGGCGGACATTGCGGTGCATCCATTCCACGCCCTCTTCTACATCACCTTCATGTTGACGGCCTGCGCCCTGTTCTCCAAGACGTGGATTGAGGTCTCGGGCTCATCAGCGAGGGACGTCGCGAAGCAACTCAAGGTAAGCCAGGGAAGCGGGACATTCTCAGACTCTTACATATGTAGCTTGCTTGCTGTCGGCCTAAGTTTTGGTGTTTTGCCTGAGAACACCATTCAAACCCGCGTTGAGCAAGTTGTTTGCGCTGCTCTGAACTTCGAAGTGAACGCAAGTCGGGACCGGGAGCATCCCCTTCACGCATCTGGCAAGTCAGGGGAAGGATGATAAGTGTTGACGGGAGACCCCCCTAACCTGGTCCTGGCCTCCTTCGTGCACCATAACAAGCGGCACAATGTGCAGCTGTGGTCTGGAAATCCCTCTCAGCCGTAATTTGTCCAGGGTTGGCACTAAGCTTTGCATAGGCTGCAACGCAGCTATGTGAACAATCTTAGCAGCTGCTGTAATCATGGGATACAAGCTGCGGCAATCTGCTGACTTTTCACCGTTCGCTTAATGATTGCAGGAGCAGCAGATGGTGATTCCTGGCCACCGCGAGTCCAACCTGCAAAAGGAGCTCAACCGGTACATCCCAACAGCAGCCGCGTTTGGAGGCATGTGCATTGGGGCCCTCACGGTGGTTGCTGACTTCATGGGTGCCATCGGGTCTGGCACCGGAATCCTCCTTGCCGTCACGATCATCTATCAGTACTTTGAGATGTATGAGAAAGAGAAGGCCAGCGAAGCCGGCATGTTCGGGTTCTTCGGTTGAGCAGGGGACTAAAGTCGAGGGGTCGTCCTGGTAGAACCGCCGGTCTTCAGCGGTCTAGTGCAAAAGCACTCGGGGTGCACGCTTGAAGAGAGTACCTAGTTGAGAGCCCACATTACGTGATGGACGTGGGCACCGCTTGAGCGGTATGGATTGCGGAGCTATAATGAACGAGACCTTATCCGCCCGCTTGAAAACGGGTTGTGTGTGCCTTTTGCGCTATTGCTTTTCAGCTGGGGATATTAGATTTTGTCCGCTGCATTTTGTTTTAAGGTTTCCTTCGAGTGCGCAATGTCATCTCTCTTGAGCGGTTGCAATTGTTTGCCAGCTATAGCAACTGTGCGCACTTTTCGAGCAAATAGACGCTCACTCATGTGCACCATGTCTGACTGCTCTACCGGCAGTTGGATTCTTCACATTGAAGGTGCTATTGGCCGTTTAACTGGTCGAGTAACTTGCGCATGTTTGCACGATCTACAATCATATGCATATACGACATGTTGGAAGCACGTACCAGTTCGGTCAGGCAGCCAGATGAGCATCACGCGCGGCAGCGGCCATTTGGCCGCAAAGAGGTCGACCTGGACCATGGATCCATGAGTAGCTAGCTCACATGCCCCAGTTGACTCCCACCGTCGACCTTCTGTGGCACTGATGCGGATGAGTTCCACAGCACATATATTCAGAGCATGTCATCATCCAGGCGCGGCGGCTATAGGCTACGAGGAACATGAAACATTATTGTACCCGCTTAATTTACGTACTAAAGCACAGCGCTACCAACACCATGACATCATACTAACTTAGATCATGTGCATGCATGCACACCAGTCTATGAAGCAGCAAAAGCTAGATTCATATGACAAGCATGCCAATCTTCATGCAAGCATATGAGTCTTCTCAATTTATACGGCATGAGATATTCCGGTTTGCCTTCCTGTCCTCAATTGAAAGCCATAGTGGACAGGTCATGTGTATCTAACAAGATAGCAGAGAAGATTCAGGTGGATTGGCATGGAAAGAAGTTGACAGCCCTTCTTTCATTGCCTACCTTGGCTCTTCTGGAATGAAATTATGGTCTATGTTTTGAGTTATAATTTGAGTCATGCATAACCCAAGAATGATATTCAATGGAAGCATCAATTGTGTGAAGATAGTTATACAAACTAACTTGGCTGGCCTGCCGTCTTATCAAAATATGCTGTCTTTATGTGTTTGTCCAGATTGGATGAGCACATCCGAGACTACTACTGTAGGACTGCCTATACTACCCTCTTATTGTTGAATGCTAAAGGGGGGCTGGGCCAGAATTAAGACAGAAGCAATAGAACAAAAGCATTCAATGCAACAAACTAATGATCTATCCCAGAGCATAGTCAGTCCATCTCAGCATGCACGAGTTAAACAAGTTTTCCTGCTTTACGAAGAGCTTCCGCATTGTTAAGAATTCTGGTGCCTGGCGGATAAAGTGTCATACCTGAGAGGGGAGAGGAGAGAGAGGGAGGATGTCAGTCTTGGACCTGCGTAGAATCTTCAGAGGCTTGACCAATCAGAAATCGCAGAGAAGATCTTCCGTGAGAGCACGAGATTGTCTGAATTGGCCCAGCCCCCTTGCTTGCTTCGCTTTCTCCTTCTCTTCTGAAATCGAAACCCTAAGTAGCTAATGCTTGGGCGCTTTGCTTGCTGCTGCTGTGAGGCGGTGGCAAGGAAGTATGCTGTCTCGAAATGCAATTGTTGACTGTTTGTTTGACAATCACGAGGCTGCCTAGGCTGTGGCAAGGCCGGCTTTCAACTTCGACCGTTGAAAGCAAGTTTCACGACTTCGCGTCTGACGTGGCGCGAACTTATTGGCTGAAGGTTTGATTGATCAATTCTGACCGTAGATGACAAGTTCAGCATTCAATTTGTGAAGAAGTTGAAGGTTTTAACGTACACCTGGGCTGACGTCATCACCGCCGGGGTTTGGCGGCGCGGCCGTGTTTCCCTGACGTGCGTCCGCGTTGGCCGCTGACGTATTGGCTGAAGTGGTCGGGGCAGCGCTTTTTTTGTTGCCACGTGTTTTGGGCGTCGACTTCGCACTGGTGTCGACAGTGTTTTTGGCCAGTAGTGCGTTGAGTCCTAGACAAGAGGATAGATGCTGTAAGGAGCTGCATAAGGCGTGTCCTTCGTCTTGATAAGGGTTTGGCTAGTAAATTCTGTGAAGTTCCCGTGAACCATCAGAAACTTCACAGTTTAGTTAGAATAAGAGAAATTCGGAATTGAATGTGAAGGCCTTTGCGATCAGATTGCTTACGCAGTAAGCAATCTTATAGTGAAGGACATTCAGATTGAATTGAGAAATTGGGTTATTGTAACTAAAGTGTAAGGTTTCTGATGACCCGCCGCCACCCGTCCTTATGTTGCGCTGCAACGAAGGACTCATCAGAGAAGTAACTTGTTACGTTGTTCCGTACCCTTTGGTGAGCGCTCCTAGAATTTCGGAAGTAATCAGATTGTTGCGTTCGCATGAGTGCAACAACCTGACGACATCTTTGGTGGTTTTGAAAAATGTTCCAGAGCTTTTTCCGGTGGAGGGCTTATTAGCCATGTTGTCCGGTTTGCTCAGCCATCTGACGTTATCAATGGTGTAATGCCGCAGAGGGTCTTTGCGGTCGAGTTGAAATTGCGAAGAGGCATCTGTAGGCCAGAGTGGTAACGCTCCGAGAAAAAGGTCGGTGACGTAAGCAAACGAGAAAAAAGCGTATTTATCGCGCTGGCTTGCAATTTTTCCTTTAGGTAGATAAAAGCCTTTCCAACCGAATGTCAGACGAGTTGTCGCGTAAGCAGGATCGAAGTGAGTCTTGTTTATAAGAGACTCCCACTTATCATAAGCGGGGTGATCGGTGTTTTTTATTATCTCTGATCGTCCGTTTTTGTAATCTTTTAGTTTCAATGGGCAAATTTGATAAACCGGGGATTTATATTTGAGAAGACATTTATCCAGTTCGGACAGGTCGTTCTGTAAGAACATTGTGAATTGAGAGATAAGCGGGACGGCAGGATTTTTGTAGATTTTCTGATATGAAAATCTCGTTATAAGATGGTGAATCTGTTTTGGGAGTGTTTCTCGTTGAGAAAGTCCGCCATCAATTGTAAGATTTAGGTCCGTGTTCGGTACGGAGGTTACCGCGCTGGACGCTGATTGTGTGAGAAAGAGTTTTCTGAATTTTTTGGGAGCTTTTTTCAGAACGGACGCGCGTGGTGGGCATGAACCCCCGGGTGGGAGACTGACGACAGCAGACGCGTGGGTAACTATTCCTTCCTTGGCGAAGGACGGATCGACAGGAAAGCACATGTAACATTTAAGGAAGAACGCGAGCTCGTCGTTCTCGCGATTTAATCCTAATGATTGCAATGACGACACTTCTGCGGAGAAACAGGTCCTTGGGCAATTTTCGAACAGATCGAGTAGAATATGGGAATTGTCCAATTCCCTTGGTCTACAGTACATAGTGGCAATGATGACTAGGAGACCTTCAAGAGATTTTTCTGAAGGGGATGAGGCATTCAGATCAAACAACTGACGAGTTTTAGAAGATTTTTCAAAGACGCTCTGATAATAAGCATCAAGGAGTGGAAGTTTACTTTCGTTGTCGTCGTGCAGCGTATGGTTCTCCGCTTGTAGCGTCCCCATGGCTGTCTGCAGTTTCCGCATGTGGTCATCCTTCTCCGTCTGGGACTTCTTGAGCTTATCCATGTCGGTTTGGAGGGCTTGGGTTAGGAGGGAAAGACGACGAAGTTCGTCTTCTTGACCGCGTTTTTCGTTCTCGGCGACCAGGGTTTGGAAGTTAATCGCCTGGACTGTTCCGGGGTTTGAGGGGTTCGCGGGGGCGGGGGGAGCTTCTGTGACAGCTGGCGCGGCCGCGAGCGCGAGCTCGCGGGTGCGGTCGCGGGTACGGGCGCGGGCGCGTGCTTGTCCGTTGGTGCGTCTTGTGTTGCTGGGTTATGTGCCGGTTGGGATGGGGTCATTTTCGCCTGGTTTGCCTTATCTGTTCCGGATTCTGCGGCGTCGGTTTCGCCGTACGTTCCTGGGGTAGTTTTCACTTGGGACTGCCACTCCTTGTGCTTTGCGAAGGCCTTGGACTGTCTTACGGCTTCTCGTGCCTCCGTGTGTCCGAGCAGGCATTTACTGTCGAAAGGGCATTTCTCTTTTGGGGTATGGAAGGCGGGGCAGGGGCGCTCGGGTTTGGGCACGTGGGAAAACCTGCATTTAGGGTCTGGGCAGTGTTTTTCCTGGGCGGTGTACACACAGAGTTGTGTGAACTCCCCTTTGACCGTGGTGAAGTAAGGCATTACCGACTGCCGGTACACCGTTGGTTTCGGCGGGGTCGGCTTTTCGTAGGGTGGGTTACTCTGGGGACGTGGATTGCTGTTCCGAGGGTTTGGCTGGCGTGGGTTATTTCTGACCGGTCCTCCAGATGCGTTATCCGGGCGCGTTCTGGTCTGCTCTCCTATGTTGTTCCGTGGGGGGTACCAGTTGTCAGTGCGCTGGGGCGGATTGAACTGCTGGGAGTACGACGGGCGAGGTTGCGGGTTTTGTAACGGTGGGAATTCTGGGTTAGGTGAGTTCTGCACGGGGTAAAGCTCGACGCGGGGGTTAGGAGGTGCGGGGCTCCGGTTCCAGTTCGGCTGCCCGTGGCTGTATTGGGTTACTGGTGCAGGTCCGTACCCGTTCCAATTTGGCTCTGGTCCTGGACCCCATCTGCGTGAATCCGTTTCCCAGCTGTTTCCCGGACGTCCGTAACCGCCGTTCTGAGGGTTTGGGGGCGGGGCAGCGTGGTTCATGGGTTGGTTCACAGATGGGGGGGTGGTTTGGGGGGGGGGATTGGGGTGGGGAAAAGTGTGGTTGGGAGTGGGCAAGTTCTGCTGGTATGGCTGTGCAGCAGGCTGAGCGTACTGCTGTGTTTGAACTGGGGGAGCGTGTTGAAACTGCCCGGGGGTGGAATACCCTTGTGGCGGAGGCGCGGCGTAGTGCGGAACCGGATATATGGGCTGCTGAGGGGGCATGGGGCGGGGGAGGGGGAAGTTGTTGTACTGGAGCGGGCGCCGCGAGTGTCGGTGCAGGGATTGGTTGTGTGTAGACGAACGTCGGGGTGAGTTGAGGTTGAACCGGGGCCGGTTGAACTTGCTGTTGCAGCTGTTGTGGTTGGACTGCTGACGTCATCATCGTATAGCCGGGGGCGGCGTATGCGGTGTAAGGTAACATGTTGCCTGTGTCAAAATAAGGGGTTAGCGGCTCGGTACTTTAAGTTTTTGATGCAAGGTGTATTGGAAGATGATTTCGAGATCCTTTTTATTACCCATTAGTCTTGGATTAAAGACTTGGGTGTTAAGGAATCTGGAGAAGGTTTGAATGAGCTCTGATTTGGGGTAGTGTTTAGCCTTGATTAGGTAGGCTGCCACGTCAGCAACATTGTCAAAGAAGGCATCAGAATGTGTGTTCAAGCGGAAGAGTCGAACGATTTCTCCGTAAAAGGATGAAATCGACTGATGCATAGAGACGTTAGAAGCGATGTCGGGAAATCTATTAACGAAGAAGTCGTAGTCTTCTCTCTTATCATGAAGTGTGACGTGTACCTCACCATCGAGGTCAGCGTAGATGAGAGTGTCAAGAAGTTTACATTGGATCAGTCGTTCTGGATGGGGTTTGACTTTATTTGGAACCAGACGAATGCCGGTTCCGTCAGGATAGATGTCTTTATACATTCGTTGGAAGTACTCTGCATTGATGATGCCAAAGTCATCCATAAATCGAAAAATACGATACTGAAGAGAATGGAAAGGGAATTTCTCTACCCACTTTCGTTCGTGTGAGTGGCAAGTGAGATTTGCAAGGAAACCGCTTGAATGTCCGCCTTGCGGTATACCGTTGATTTGGTGAAAGAATGCATTGCCTAAAGAGACGTACGAGTTTTTAACAAGGAAGTCTAGAATGTTTAGTATGTTCTGGATTGGGTATACGACGCCTTGACTACAGAAGTCTTTTTCACTTGGGAGAGAGTGACTGACTGGATCGAGTCCTGATTCGGAATCGAACCAGGAACCATTGTCAATTTTGTTCCCCAAGCTTGTGTTTCCAATAGCTAAGAAGAATGAGTCTGCTCCGGCAATGGAGGCAGCTCGTTTAATTTCTTCATGGAGTTGGTTGATGACGTTATCTTGGTCCATCTTTTGGTACATCGAATCGATGTCCGATGAGACCATGTGAACAAGGCAGTCCGGGAGAGAGAGAATGATATCAAGACTGTTCTCTACGATCCAATATTTGCGAAGTTTCGTGGTTTTGAATTCTTTGGCATGGAAATCTTTAAGGGTTCGCATCACGAGCGAGAGTGCTTGTGTGAGGATCCTTTGTGGTAGGCTGAAAATTGACCTATGAGTAGCAGCGACTGGCCGCCACCCCATAGGCTTTTTATGGGGTTTTGGAAGAGTATAGAAGTATGGAAGCTCGTCGGTTTCATTCTGTAGAAGTGTGTTCAGGTGTGTGTGATGGATTAAGCCAGAGATCTGTTCTAAAAGTCGAGTGACGACAGTTTCTTTTTCACACGTGACTCGTTGATATTCTGGTGCGTTGTGTAACGCTGTTACACACTGCTTAATGTAGAGGTTTTTACAGATGATATAGTAGTTTCCTCTGCACTTATCTGCTGGTAGGATAACGTATTTTTCTAGGATTGAGTCCAATTCAGCTTGGTGATCGATCAGTCTTCCAGGTGCTGGGAAGACCAATTGGTCAAGGTTGATTTCCCCGACTTTGTTTCTTCTCTGAAATTCGGTCACCTGGTTATCGAAGTTTTTCAAGAACTTTCTTATCCAACGGTGAGCTTGGGGGTGTCGTTTGCGAATGAAAAGTTCCTGTAGAGCAGTTTCCAGAGCTTGGCGAGCTAGTTTAGGATCTCCATTAGTAGCTTCTCTGAACATTGGACCGCGTTTGAGTCGGTCCTTGAGATCACTGGGTTTGTGATGATATTATCCAGATTTCCGCTTGCCAGGTGTCCTTGGCATCGGGATTGAGCAGAGTGTTCTTGCTGACAGTGGCAAAGTTGAGTGAATTCAGCAAATTTTGGGATTATCTGATCAATCCATAAGTCGAAGTCAACTCCGTCCAGAGTTGCTTTGTATAAGGATTGATTCAGTTTTTGTGGTGGCTCAGGATAGAGCCATCTTATCTGAAGGTTTTCATAGGGGTTGAGGTGTTCAATCTCTGATTTGAGTTTTCGAAGATCAATCAGATTAAACCAATGGTTTACGAAAGGAATCAGAAGCCATGGTGAGTTGGGATCGGTAGGATTCCGATCAGGGTTGTAGTACAAGAGTTTATCTCTTTGAATGCATTCGAACTTACTCATTGAGTATGCATCTGGTCAGCTTTCAACTCCGAGGTCTGGACTGACCGACCTGTGGTTGTAGGCTGTTGGCAGTCGAGAGTGATCAGAATCTTCTGTCAGAGAAGAACTCTCGAGAGGACCCCCAGTAGCTTGGAGTCTTCGTCTGAGGTAGTAGAACAGAGTCTGGGCTTGGAGAGACTTGGAGAGACTTGGAGAGAAGACTGAGTTCTATCTGAGGATAGGCAAACACAACAAGCAGTTAGTTTCTGCTGTTGAATGAAGAGTATGAAGCAGCAAAAGCTAGATACATATGACAAGCATGCCAATCTTCATGCAAGCATATGAGTCTTCTCAATTTATACGGCATGAGATATTCCGGTTTGCCTTCCTGTCCTCAATTGAAAGCCATAGTGGACAGGTCATGTGTATCTAACAAGATAGCAGAGAAGATTCAGGTGGATTGGCATGGAAAGAAGTTGACAGCCCTTCTTTCATTGCCTACCTTGGCTCTTCTGGAATGAAATTATGGTCTATGTTTTGAGTTATAATTTGAGTCATGCATAACCCAAGAATGATATTCAATGGAAGCATCAATTGTGTGAAGATAGTTATACAAACTAACTTGGCTGGCCTGCCGTCTTATCAAAATATGCTGTCTTTATGTGTTTGTCCAGATTGGATGAGCACATCCGAGACTACTACTGTAGGACTGCCTATACTACCCTCTTATTGTTGAATGCTAAAGGGGGGCTGGGCCAGAATTAAGACAGAAGCAATAGAACAAAAGCATTCAATGCAACAAACTAATGATCTATCCCAGAGCATAGTCAGTCCATCTCAGCATGCACGAGTTAAACAAGTTTTCCTGCTTTACGAAGAGCTTCCGCATTGTTAAGAATTCTGGTGCCTGGCGGATAAAGTGTCATACCTGAGAGGGGAGAGGAGAGAGAGGGAGGATGTCAGTCTTGGACCTGCGTAGAATCTTCAGAGGCTTGACCAATCAGAAATCGCAGAGAAGATCTTCCGTGAGAGCACGAGATTGTCTGAATTGGCCCAGCCCCCTTGCTTGCTTCGCTTTCTCCTTCTCTTCTGAAATCGAAACCCTAAGTAGCTAATGCTTGGGCGCTTTGCTTGCTGCTGCTGTGAGGCGGTGGCAAGGAAGTATGCTGTCTCGAAATGCAATTGTTGACTGTTTGTTTGACAATCACGAGGCTGCCTAGGCTGTGGCAAGGCCGGCTTTCAACTTCGACCGTTGAAAGCAAGTTTCACGACTTCGCGTCTGACGTGGCGCGAACTTATTGGCTGAAGGTTTGATTGATCAATTCTGACCGTAGATGACAAGTTCAGCATTCAATTTGTGAAGAAGTTGAAGGTTTTAACGTACACCTGGGCTGACGTCATCACCGCCGGGGTTTGGCGGCGCGGCCGTGTTTCCCTGACGTGCGTCCGCGTTGGCCGCTGACGTATTGGCTGAAGTGGTCGGGGCAGCGCTTTTTTTGTTGCCACGTGTTTTGGGCGTCGACTTCGCACTGGTGTCGACAGTGTTTTTGGCCAGTAGTGCGTTGAGTCCTAGACAAGAGGATAGATGCTGTAAGGAGCTGCATAAGGCGTGTCCTTCGTCTTGATAAGGGTTTGGCTAGTAAATTCTGTGAAGTTCCCGTGAACCATCAGAAACTTCACAGTTTAGTTAGAATAAGAGAAATTCGGAATTGAATGTGAAGGCCTTTGCGATCAGATTGCTTACGCAGTAAGCAATCTTATAGTGAAGGACATTCAGATTGAATTGAGAAATTGGGTTATCTCGAATTCGATGAATAGCTGACCAGTGCAAACAAAATTGTTGACCAGCACCGACATTTTGCAGCTTATAGCTGCCACGCACAGTACAGTCAAGACCTAGAGTGTACTATACGATGTGCATGATTGTGTCCGACTTTATACAATTGATGCACAAGTTTGCTGCCATGAGCTTTTCTGTCAAGAACCACCAATCGACACACGTACGTTGGACCTGAAGCCCATGCGCGAGTCTACCTATCATTGAATCCGTTGAGCATGTTGTAGAGTGGTCTTTGTCTGCAATTTTTAAGAAATAAATATCCTTTTTGATTGCAGAAACGTGACCGACCCGCTTCAGTACGAGTAACTTGACGGGCGAGTCTTGACACAGATTTGCATGCAAGAGTTACTCTTGGCCAGTGGAGCTCAAGTTCAGCACTGATGAGCTACTCTAATGCAGCGGCAGCTCGACAAGCGTACGTCAAAATGAGGCGTCAGATGCCAGCTTGAGCTGCTGTAGACCCTTCGAAAACTTGCCAGCTTTTACTAGCAACTGCGCTAGTTAGACCGCAGACTGGCAGCGGCAAATAGCAGCAAATCTTCCGTTTACTGCGACCATAATGCAACACGTCAACCCGCCTATCTATAGTGTACAGCAAATAATGAGAAAAGCACCCGGAAAACAAAGACGTGCGTCTTTATATTGTACCGGAGAATACGCCCCTCAAGACAACTTCGATGAGTCCGCAGCCGCAGCCGCGTCTCCCAAACCCTGAACCCCTCACAGCTCCGCCTGCGACTCGCGCGCCGCCTTCCAGTCGGCCATGAGCTGCACCACGCTCTTGCCCGTGGTGTCGTCACCCATCAGGCGGCGCCCGAACGTGCTCGCGCTCTTTCTGGAGAAGAGCGACTTCTTCATAATGGCGTGGATGCCCCAGTTTGCATCCACCTGCGAAAGAGAGGAAGGGGTCCATGCAGATCACCGACCAATAACAGGTGCGTAAGCACAATTGCAGGTAATAGACAAGGGGGCGCCAGTTTGAATGACCGATCCAGAACTTGAGAACTGGTTTGCACTTGAACGTGTCGACCTTCATCCCATGGAAGAGACGTCTTCTGTCGAGAAGACAGTCCGAAAAAGCCTGCACTAAGGCCAAACTTTATCAAGCGGCAGACACTTTTAGAATTCTTTATTCACGAGAGTGACTTCGCTTGAGAGGGCACATTCAGCCCGACGGGGTCGTGCAGCAATGAAAGTTTCGGAGCCGCTTTCAGTATGGAAAACAGGCTTCTTTCCTATGGATGCGAATGAATAAGAAAGAACAAAGTCTGCTTGCTTCGCTCTGAAAAACTCGAGAGTCCTCAAGCGTAAGCCAGGTCTGGTTTGCGAAAGGTTTATCGGGGCTGAAGGCGTCTGTTTGTTCTCATACGAGCCAAACAAATTCCTCATGCAGCTTTGCTTGAAGTCAGCTGCTCGAGCGGAAAAAGAAAAACAGAGGCACTCACGATCTGGGTCACACCGAAGTCGACTCCCACGCTCATGATCGAGATGGCCTCCGACTCGGTAACGCCGAAGCCGTCCTGCGCGCGAAGTCAGAAAGTGTCACACCAGAAGCGAAGCGCTGCTTTTAAAGCGTGAGGCCTTCGAACGGTGTCTAGGCTCCACCGTGCAAGGGAAATTCTTTTGTACGTCGTCTTTAGAACTTAGGATCACCGATTATCGAGCGGTAGCGGGGCCTTATGCGTATAAGATCATGGCTGAACAAAGCAGTTGTTTGAAATGATTGAGTTTCAAATTCGAATGTCGCAAGTTGGGAAGAAGCTCTACCAGAATCCTCTGTCTGCGGATCGTTTCTGGTTGGCAATTCTGCTCGACTTCAACCCAAGCGACCCAATTACTCGGGGTATTGAAGACCAAGTGACTGATCTTCCGGAAAAATAGAAGTAAGAAAAGTGGAGAGGAAGAAATGGGTGTGCTTTGGTGCGTACAAAGAACTTCATCATGGTGAAGACTCACCATGATGAAGTTGCGCGTCTTGACGTACGCGTCGCGGACGGCCTTGTTGAGGTCCGGACCGAACTGCGGCTGTCCGATCTGGGACGGGATGTCCAGCTGGTTCAAGTAGTCTGCGGCAAAGCAGAAGAAATTGGTAAAAAAATTGAGCGAACCGCTTATCAACTTTCGGACGGCCTTGTTGAGATCCGGACCGTACTGCAGCTGTCCGATCTGGGACGGGACGTCCAGCTGGTTCAAGTAGTCTGCCGAACAAGAAGAGGTAACTCTAAGTTCCCGTCCCTGTAATAGACTTTAGCAAAAACGAAAGACTTCTTTGGCCTGCCGAAAGATTCAAAAATAATCAGGAGGCAATGATGGTTCGATGATGGTTATTTCAGCAGGTAACTCGTGAGTCTGCCGAAAAGACCAAAGCTTTATGATGAATCGTTGGCGTCGAAGTTGCCGAACTCAACTACAGCTTTTCTGTTGAGGTGAATACTTGGCCATGTTTCGACTCAGTGGTTAAAACGACTTGACTATCACATCGTGACCTGCAAGAAGGCGCAAGGAAACGGGTTGCCCGAGATGACATGCTTCGAACCAACTGGATGTCAGACATCAGCGCACGAAACTTTTAATCACTAGAAAAGCAATGACCGCCATCCGACGAAAAGGCTGTGGAGAGACGCTACTGTGGAAGTTTACGAACGACAGAAGATGTTCCCGCAATCCAGGGAGTCCTTCGACCTCTACAACCACGACGCCAACACCCCGTCTTCCAAAAAGGGCGCAACAGCACACTCCTTGAAGCCCTTAAATGATATCTTCAGAATTTCAACCGACGGGAGTAGATCGGTATCGGTCTCGACCAGCAAACTTTCCTTGACCCGAGTTTCCGGAAACCCAGTATTCCAAAACGCCACATTTCCAAGAAACCGACCGGGGTAAGAAAACCGGTGGATACAGATGTTTTCATTCTCTAACAGCGGGTTCCTATTGAGTTACACGTTTCACAATACTAGAAAACCCTGGTTACCTACCGGGGTAAGCAAATCCGTGGATGATAATTTCCGAGTCCGTTTCCAGCAGCGGGAAGCCCAGGTTCTGGAACGGCAGCGGCGCGTCGGCCGCCTTGATGAGCGACAGCCGGAAGGTGCCGGTCAGGGACGCCTCGACGGCGTTCCCGGACAGCTCCGAATCACCTTCTGCCGCGTGGCAGTCGCCTGGGTTAGGAAAATACACAAGAAGTTGAGGTTTAACGGTGCGTGGTTTGTGGGTTACGTGCAGGTCGGTTTGGCAACGGACAGCTCCGAATCATCGTCCGCCGCGTGGCAGTCGCCTGGGTCAGAAACGTAGGTCGTTAAGAAAGATCAGGTGGGTTTGTGGATCGTGGCTTCGTAGTCGGGTGTAAAGAAGAGTCGATGGTCATGGGGGTCGATTAGGAATGGCGGGAAGAGGGGGAGGGCTTACGAACCTTACATAAGCGGCGAACGGAAAAGCCACTTCCGGATCCGTATTTTTGTTTGAGCTTGTTTTGTTGCTCTGCTGAGACATTTTGGTCCGCAGTCTTTGGATCATTCCACATGAGCCGGCATAGGTCTGAGCATCAGAGAATGAAACGAAACCCGTGCTTAGCACATGTTAGCTGCGATGAAGGTATCAACAAAGATACAGAGGAGACCAATCTCGACCCGTAATCTTGACAACGTGCACTTAGAGCAGCAGATGCAGGGACGTAGCGAGCGAAGGTGACAGGGACCAGAGACCGGCTGCAAACGCTCTGCTTGATTTCGCCAAATGAGGGCCTTGTTGCAACCACCCGCCAATCACTCGCTCCGGCGCTCAAACTGAGGTTTGTTATTTGTTGAAGCTTCGCAGGGCATCTAAGGGGACGTCGAGAGTCGATTCTCGTGCTAAGGGTGACCGTAGAAGCGGTACGTACCGAAGACGAGGTTGGCCCCCGGGATCTGCACCTGGTAGTACATGGTGGAGCCGGGGCCGGTTCTCCACTGGTCCACGTTGCCGCCCGATCTGCACACGTGGCAGGCGATGCGTGTCAAAGCGATTTTCCCAGTATCGCCTCCTGTTTCCGCTTCGCCGCTCGGAAAACGTGACTGCTTGACCGGACACGATAGAAGAGGTCATGGTCGGATGCATCCGCAACGGCGACTGTTTCTACGAAGTCCAACTGTTACGGTCGCCGCGCAGGGCCACATCATATTGCATGTGCGGCGACCAAGGAGAGCAGTTTTGTTGGGTCGCCAAAGCCAAATGGGCGCTCAAGCCCTTTTCATATTAAATGCGTCGTTTTGGGAATGGTAGTTTGATGAGGCGACTCAGCTGAGAAAGGAGAGATGCTTTGCTTAGTCCAATCGTTCCGGTAAACTGTGAGCCCGATCAATGGTAACAGGGACGGGTGGAGTAAAATCCGCGCATTAGCCTGGTGTGGACAAGTAGAGCGCGTAACCTATCATTCAAGCTTTCCGGTAGGCTCAAAAGCTTACCTAACACTTGCTCCCCCCCCCTACTCTCCCCGCCTTTTCAAAAAACCCCCCCCTCTCACTCTTCTTCCACCGCCTGCCTAGCACTTTCTCCCCCCCCCTCCTCTCCCCCCCTTTTTCAACCTCCCCCTCCCCCCCTTTCCCCTCCCCTGTTCCCCCCCCCTCACCGGGCTTGCAAATCATTAGTATCGAGTTCACGCCTTACTTGGTGGGGGCCTGAGAGGAAGCGCCGATCGTCCCGTTCGGCGCGCCGTTGATGAACTTGGATGCGTTGGCCGGAGTGACGCCGATTGTGCCCAAGTGCGGGCGGAGCGGAACGCGGAACGCGAGCGAAGCGTTGGTGTAGGTGATTCCGTTCTGCAGCGGATAGGGTAGTGATATGTATCACAGGCAGGTTTTACGTTAAATCGACCTGGTGAAGGCAACTGATTGTGCCCATATGAGGGCGGAGAGGAACGCGGAACGCGAGGGAAGCGTTGGTGTAGGTCATCCCGTTCTGCAGCGAAAAGGTCTGCATTATACCACAGGATAGTTTCGCTCTAAACCAAACCTGGCTAAGAGACAGCTAACCAGCTTTTCACCAGCTTCGTCAGGTACAAGGGCATCTAACGGAGTATAAACCCGGGTTTATTTGACCATGAATGTAGGGATTAGAAGCTTGTTCCGAAGGACCAATTGGGTGGATTCCGAGGTCCTTCCGCGGCGGTCCGATGCCTACTCGGAAGGGGCGGCAGAGGAAAACATAAAGAATTGTGTCTTTCGAGCCGCGTGATATTGAAGCAGGAACCTGACTTGTAGACAGAGCCTGATCCCAGAGTCCATGATGAGAAGCTGTTAGAAGGATTCTGGAGTAATTCTGCAACGGGTCACCGCTCAGACAAAGCTCAAAGGATAACAGAAGTTTGTAAGAATACAGCGACATTCTGCATGAATTCCGAATTTTGTTGTGGATTTGATCGTAAAAACAGCACAATAAGCCCATTCAATAAGGACATTCTTACATGGAACAAAGAGTCGAGAGCCGGTTCAACTCACTGCGCCGGAGAGCTGCGATTGGAAGCCATCCGGATACGTTACGGGCTCCGAGGAAATTCCGATGTTAGTGGCGTGCGGAATCATTGCCCCCGCGCCGTTGGGTCTCCCATCGGGACCGGTGGTATTGGGGGACAAGAACTGGTACACGGGGGTGGCCCTGTAAAGAGGGGGAACATACGAGAATGGTCAGGGGAGCGCTTATGTCCGGTCGCATATGAGGTTAGGGCGGCAAACTAATATGGTTTTTGATGGGATAAGAACTGGTACAGGGGAGTAGCCCTGCGGAAAGAAAAGGTAACTGGAGATGCGCTCATTTCTGGTCGCTTATGACGTGTCGGCAGTTCGGCGCTTCAAGGTTGGCGCCCGATAGACAAGAAGTGGTACACCCTGTAAGTTGAAGGGACATACGAGATAGGTCAGGGGAGCGCTTAAGTCCGGTCGCTTATGTCTTATCGGCAGCGCGGCGAACCAAATATGGTTTCCGATATGCACAGACTTTCAAGAAGCCAAGGTGAGTTGGAAACCAAAATGCAGAAGATTTTAAAGGCCAGAGGCTTGAGAGAGCGCGACTCTTTAACGGAGTCCTAATAAGGATAAAGTCCTGAAAGATTGATCATCGAAACACTGGAACAAATTAAACCCATGTCCAGCCTCCAGCTTTCTTAGTTTCGACCTTTTGAAAAAAAAATCTATCAGCGTTCTCAAGTCTGCGTAAAAAGCACAGGTGGCAAACATGATCAAGTAGGCAACGGAGAAGAGGATACGAAAAGAAACAAAGTAGAAGTGTTGATGGGCGGACAGTGTTCTGAAAATCGATTCATAAGCGCTCGTACCATGCGCCAAACTCGTCCTTGGTCACTTCGTAGACGATGGCCGTCGACGGGTTGGTTCCCCCCGCGCGATTGGGCACGTTAAACACGCTCAGCGGGTTGCTCTGAGTGTTGGCGGCAAAGGTGCGTCCCGTCGACGGGTTCTTGCGCGGCTCCAAGGTGAGGATGTCGACCTGCACGTGCCCACGTCATAGCGTATGGTGCGATCCGGCATCGTACGTCCTTCATCAGTCGCTGATAGGTGCGTCCCCGGATAACTTCTTGCGGGGTTCCAGGGTGATTATTTCAGCCTGCACTTGCCCAAGCTTTAAAATATGGTTCTCTCTAGACGGTACTTCTCCATCACGTCTTTCCGATCGGACGGCCCACCTGGAGGATATTACCCAGCCCCACCCCTTATGGGATTACGCGCAAAATCGGACGGTTCAAGAGAAGAAAGATGTATGATCGGACGGCCCACCTGGAGGATGTCCCCCGGCTCCGCACCGCACACTCTGATGGGCCCGGTGATGATGTGGGCGCCGTTTCCGGGAATGGTCGGCACGCTCTTGTTGATGGGGGCGACGCCGTTCGGCCTGCGATTCAGTGCAATAATTTGTTCGTGGTTGGACATGAATGGTTGATTTGCGGTTTAAGATCATCGGCCATTTCGATCTTGAACCGATCGCCTTTTTAGGCTGTTTCAGTCTTCACTTTTCAGCGAGGCCATCCTGATGACCTGAACTTTTGACCCTACAGTCGATTAGAGCCGATCTTACCGGGGCACTCAGTTTGAAGAGTGAAATTTCAGGACGGGCGAACGGAGTTGAGATTTTTTCAAGTTGGCGGCGAATGTCAAAATTCTTTCAATGCTGACTGGTACGACGGGTGTGTTTTGTGACGTCGATCTTACTGATATGTCTACGCCGCTGCGTTTGAGACGTTCGCGAGTCCTCGAAGACGCTGAGCCGCTGGTCCACCTTAACCATGGGACGGAAGGGACGGAAACGAAACGAAGAGCAAAAAGACTGTGGAACGATGGACCCTAAGCTAGGGGTATACTCAAAAACAGACCGTACTTCTTGTCAAAAAGAGCCCGCCCATTCCGCAGGAGATCGCTGGTTTTGGGAACAACAGGATGAATGATGCGAATTTCGAGCAATTGAGCAGGCAAAGGAGGAGAATAACTAGAGCGTGGCGCAAAGGCTCACCAGTTGAAGATGTCTTCAACGCCCGGGTCCCCCCTGCAGAATGGCGGAGAGTGGGTGAGAGAGCGCCTTGTAACCTCTTTCTCAAATTACTGATGTCATATCACCTCAGAGATAGTCAGCTACTGCTGTCAGAGACGATTCTCGTAGGCTATGATGAGTGTGGTTGCTATGTAATAAAAAGTGCGGTTACGTCTTGGGGCTAAAGACGAGAAACTTCGTCCCATTCCTGGCTCAAAGACGCGGTTCCACGCATGTAACAAACCAAGTCAATAAATCATTCAAAGGCGTGCTTCTCGCTCGCCAGGACGACTTGGAAGCTGCAAAAGCTTTCGTAAAGCTTCACCGAACTTGTACAGTCAGGGAGGCTTGGCGATCCAGAATAGGAGGACCCTGCTAAGTGCGGCTCGACCTTTCAAAGGACAGCTTATTGGCTGTCATACTCAATCAGAACCCAAACACGGGAGTGACGTCAGCAGACCGCTTACCTGACCATCTTGGCGTAGTCCTGCGTGGCCTGGTGCGTGACGCACTCGGCGGTGATGATGTCACCGCTCTGCACGTGGGCCACCGCCGGGAAGTCGGGGCTGAAGATTCCGCGTCGGACGGTTTTGCTGGAGGCAAAAAACAAGGGTTAGTCCACTTTTCGAAGAAGAGATCCTGTGTTGGAAGATACCGCGCCGGACGGTTTTGCTGGAGGGAGAACAGACGGGTTAGTAGACTTTTGAAAGTAGAGGTGCTAAACTTTGAAGATTCAGCACCGGACGATCTGCTGAAGTGAGAACAGAGGGGTTGGTACAGTTTCAGGCTTAACGAGTTTGTGTTTGAGAATTCCGCGCCGGACGGTTTTGATGGGGAGAGGAAAAATGGGGTTAGTCCACTTTTCAGAAATAGAACGTGAGTCAACTCTTCCCTAACTCGTTTTGAAACAGAGAAGGTCAGTCCACTTTTCAGAAATCGAGAAAGTGTATTGAAGAAATGGGCTCAAGTGGTGCTGAGAAAAGTTGCTTGCAAACAAATGCATCCGCTACAGCTTCGCAACTTCAAAACTGCCTTTAGAAAATCGCGAGGGAGGGGAAACGGAATGGCTCTGGACATTGTGGGGTTGTTACTGAGAACCTCTCAATGTGGGGGGCAGTGCCGGGCCTGGAGTCTGATGGGTCCGCTTATCATCCCAGCTGGCTGGGAGTGAAAAACGTGAAGAAACTCTGGAGAAACGGATTGAATCGTCTCCAAGAGTTGTTTGAATTGCAGAGAGTTCAGGCGAGAGTTTGCACTTGGAGTTTGGACGGCGGCTATATCGAAAGAAGCAAACTTGATTCGTAATATCCAATTGATTGAGATGGACTTTGCAAGGAGAATTCGTTTCAAGTAAGGAAATCAGAGCTTGAAAGCTAGTGCTGAGAAGGTATTACTATAGAATGTCGACATCTCAAACAGCTGATATGCCCAAGAGCTACAGGTAGGTGAAGGGTTCTGATGAATCAAAACTTAGGTGGACAAGCAAGAAAGCAGCAACCTTGTCCTGAGCTGAGATAAACTAGTAAAGAATTACATTCTCTACATAAGGGGCAAAGTCGACCTCCAGATTCTCAATGTTTCCACATGTGACTGTGTGCAGGTATTGAGAACTGATTCCAACATACTCGTATCAACCCACTGATTGCTTTTCCACAAGCTGCTCTTTCAAAGCTGTGTGATTGTTGAAGAAATCGAGTGATGGAAGTAAACCGGTAAGATTTTCTGCCAAAGCCCCTTTCTGAGTGGTGATTCTCTGAAAGATTAGCAAGCTTGCAAGGCGATATGTGCCTCCCCACCATCGATACTATTAATCAACATGCTTTCTCTGGTACAAAAGTAACCTTCACGTCCCAGACATCACTTCTCCTTGGCTACTTCGGGCTCTTTGATTTGGCAACAGGCCTGCCTTAGTAGAAGGGGGCTTTTAGTCGAGAGAATTCTCAGACGAGTTCAAAACCCCTGAACTCGCCCAGTGATTCATATTATGCTGGGAAACGTATTGCGGGCAAGGCCCAGAGCTGGGAGATCCAGAACTGCTGCAGTAACACTGCATTCTTAATAGTGATGTGAGTGGAACATCTTCGAATACGCAGAACTGAACAATTCTCGACTTACCTGGACACGTTAAAAATGACAACATGTAATGCTGACACTTCTCTAGCTACTATTTCCACCCAATCCCATAGCGCCTGTCAAAAGGGAACCCACTGTTTGTATCCAGAACTCGGCTCAATTGGGCCAAGGCGCTAGGCTCTGTCGCTGCGCAGCGTCAAGCAACGTAGAACCGCAACCCCTCCCATTTCGACATGGTTTGTGTTGGAGTTTCAACAAGACCAAATCTCAGCTCAACACACTTTTGCTCATGCATAAACTTTACAAAAACAAAGACCAGGAGTGTGAGCTCAGATTTGCACACACCTGGTCGCATAAAGGTAGGTCGTGCTGGGCATCGCGCAGTCGCCGTCCGTCGCGCTGCTCGAGGTGGCATTCACACTGGTCGTCTGCTTCAGCTCACGGCGCGCCCCCGAGGCGTCCACAGGGCACAGTGTGAATGCGCCCAAAAGTAGAGCCAGCACCAAAAGGGGGGATGCGGCCCGATAGCCCGCCATGATAGTCGCTGGAAGAGGAAGCAAGCTGACGTTTTCGCGCAATGCTAGTGGTCAGGGAAAAGAGAAGGGGCTGTCGATCGTTGAAAACGTGGTGCTAGTTTCGGTGGAAATGCGGAGGACAATTCCTGATCGCTTCCAAGGACTGGTGCATTTGGTTTGATCAGATGGATGTTCCGTAGCTGATCTCTAATGGACGAGCGTCGCAGCCTGATTCGTGATCTTTGGATCAAGGAGCTCACGCTAGCTTTTGGCGTTTTGCCCACGGAACTTTGTGCTGTGGAATGTGGATCTGGGTACAAAACATTGCAGTTTGCAACTTTGCAGAGCCTGGAGGCATTTTTTCAGACCGGTCACTTTCGGGAGGTTGCATAATCACGAATGTCAGCAGTCTGCCGACTGAGGCCCAACTCCTCTCTTCCGACAGCAGGCTGGCAATGGCGGATTGAGTCCAGGGTTTCTTACGGCTCGCTGTAACAAACTACTGAATAAGCTTCCAAGCAATTATGTTGAAGCTTCGACAGCTTACTCGTACTGACCTTATTCTCAAACACTGATTGATATATCGTCGGAAAATGTGAAACTTGTCGCGCCGACCGTGTTACCGAGGTGAGAACGTCATGTGTGGGAGGGTCACTCAATTCGTGTCGCCGCGGGCGGCGGCGGCATCTGCTGAAACAATGATTTTGCCACGTGGCTCCTGTGGGCAGGTCGCCGCGTCATGGTGGACCGTCATTTTGGAGATTCTAGACTAATCGACGGCGCGAGTGAGATCCCCTCGAAGAGGATATGTTACTGCTCCAATCATTGGCCTCGACACACAGCCCATGGAGTCCAGACTGCCACTACACAAGCTGATGATCGACCCGAGTTCCAACTTCAGCATTGAACAGCGTGGTTGCGCTGCGCAATTTGTCATTTGCATAACTCGGATACGGTTAGTATATCCGAATCTGTCGAATGCGCACTTAGCAATGTCACGGATACATACTGACGAGAATGCATGAGTATGATGTAGTGTGCATGCTAGAATTAACGATTGCCCGGCTAGTGGCAAAATTCAGAGCCAACGGCAAAAACAGCAGATATTACGCAACCTAAGTGCAACCGTGCATTGCACACATGATGAGTTGGACCGAAAACTGCATGTATGCAATTAATTTATAGGCTTTTGCACTGCAACATGTTTGATTACGATTGACGCTATATAGTACGGGGATAATTAGTCCCTGACATCAACCTGACATCATGCACGCAATTCGGCGCATACGATTCAATCAAGGTATAACTGCACGAGTGGAGTCTCGGTGATCGACAATTCTAGCGTGAATAGCGGTGCCTCATATTGCAAACACACGTAGAAATGCTTGAAACAGATTGGCATGAGCACGGCATGTGATTGAACCGGAGAACGTGAGAGGCTACACTTTGGATAGACTCAGAAGCTCTAATGCGCATTGTGCCCGATGTACAAAACCCTTTCACGAGCCTACGTCTTCGATCCCCTGAAATATTTGTCCCAACTTCTTTGTCATGATGTCATGCCCAAGTCCCTCATGCGTCCGATCGCGTTCTTTGCTTGCACGTTGGCCGGCTCCAAGACCAAAGCGTGCTCAAAATCTGCACGCAGCAATGCACTCCAGCTTAGACAACAACCGAATTCCTTGATCGTCCAGCTGGCTCGGTGCTAGAGAACCGTCCAGAAAAGGCGAGGAATGTGCGTAATGTGATATTGAAGGACACGGGAAGAATGGTAAACCGAGCGACTTCCCAAAAGAAGGAGCCCAATATGACAAACCAGACAGAAGCAAGTTCAACAAGCCAAGAGTGCCTTCCATTCTCAGATGACGTAGCCCGTCATTTTGTCTATCACCCCGTTCGCAAAGTGAGAGCATTTAGCCCCTGTCAAAATGATTGTAACATGTAACTCATGCATATAATAAGCAGAACCCGAAGACTTCCCCCATTCCCAGAAGCAGGGGCGGTCAGAGGAGGCTGGTTGCGAATACTTTGCGAATACTCAAATGCTGTGACGTGCGAAATGGATGCTCGGCTCACCTTGTAATGCTTGGTCGTACGCCCCTATTTGTTCTCGCGTGAACCCTCGTCTCAGCAACGCCTTGACGTTCTGCGTTCGGAGAGTCGAAAGGGCTTCAGAATTAGATATCGCGGCACCAGTAGTAGCTTTCAGCAAGGTACAACTCACCAGTCGGAACCCCCAAAGGTTGTTACAAACCCTCACATACGTCGCCGTCTATATTACAACCCTTTCAGATTGCTCAGGAAAGAGAACTGAAACGTAATGCGTGCCGGGGGTGTACAAACTAAAAACGTGCTATGATGTTATGTGGAAACTCCCAAAGGCTGGCAAAGATGATCGGCGCAACTCCGGACGGACTGATGCGAAAGCTTCAACGACTTTTTTGTACGCGGCTCTCTTTGGCAAAACCAGACGCCAGACGGTAACACCAGGAGCTATCAAAGTGAAACGAAGGCCATTGACCCTCACCTTCGGATCTAGGTTCAGAGCCTCGGTGCAAGCTGCCTCCGCGTCTCCATTCCTGAAAGACAGCCGACGAACGAAGATAGATGAGAACGATGACGTCGCAACATCGGGGAAACCAAAATAAGAACAGACTCATCTGTCGATGTTCAATGCGAGGCGCCCCGTCACATGCAAAAAGGAGCGGTTCAGACGCTGGCAAACCTGTGCGGCCATTGAAACAGCCCTTAAACGTAGACGGAAACGAAAGCACAGACCCCAACACGCATCTGAAAGCCGTATTGCAACGAGTGAAAGCATCTCGAACGACGCGGTTCCTTTAGAAGAAAAGACTCAAGATACATCGGCCCCGTTGCAGCCTTAATTAGGCCAAGCTGGCGTCAGCAAGCGAGAGGGATTTGTAAAGCCCTGTTGCTCGACGCCCTAGCGAAACGTGATACCAGGAATTTACTCTCTCGTTGTCTCGCTTTGCGAAACTGCGCACGTTTCACGATCCTGCCATTCCCGCTGCTTACAAGCGCAGCTCCGCCGACCTTGTTGCAAAAGCGTCCAGATCCTCACCGTCCTAGTTGCATGAGCGCCAGTGCTTTATTGCTGAAGTAGGTCGCGTTCGAGCGATCCAGCCGAATGGCCTCGTTGTAGTGCTTCACCGCCTCCACGTACCGCTTCGCTTTCAAGGCCTCGTTGCCCTACGGCGCAAGCGACAAGCAGGTTTAACAAAAACCCTAAAACTGGTTTCTCCTTTGATTTCTTTTCTCTCCTCCCTCGCTCCTCCAAAAACCGAAAATAATTTCGAGTCGGCCATCTTAGTTTGTGATTAAGCCCTTGGTGTTAGTCTCTTCGATCCTTCCGTCCTTCCGTCCTTCTTTGTTGATTTCTGGAGTAAGAGCGGAAATAATCTCGGGCTAACCTCTTATTTTGAGGAGCCAACCTCTTATTTTGAGGATCGCAAGGTCTGTGCGTGCAGACGCAGTCGACTTCACCAACGGCATTCGAGAGCTCTCGACCTTTAGACAAATAGCCACGCCGATCTGAATGTACTTATGATGTTACAAATGTACCATACTTTCGGGTGAGAACCAAGCTCAATGATTGCAACGATCCGGGTCGTTTCGAACGCCATCGAATGCAAACACTCCAAGGCTACCAATCGCAAGCTATTCAACTCAGAAACACCTAGAGGTATAAGAAAACCAATATTGCCTGCCACCAAAGAGAAACGAGTTCAGAGACTAGGCACACGCCCGCACCTTGGTTTTCGCCTCCTCTGCTCGGTGCTCCGCTCCCCGCGGCCCCGCTTCTCGCCCCCCCCTCTTCCAGTACATCTCCGCCACTTTGGTGACCCCCCTGGAAAGTTCGACCGCCGTGTCCAGCAGCATCGCGTCCGTTCCGTGGCCGCTCAGCACCGAGAACGCCAGCGGATTCCCGTCCTCCTTCCCGTTCTCCGTCCCCATCGGAATGGTCACCTGCAGCAGGCCAGGGCCCACTTGATCATATCATGAACGCTCCCGAATTCCTTTTTCCTGCCTTCTTCTTGCAAGAAATTATCGATACGGGCAACGTACACTTTGAGCAAGCGCCTATATGGAGGTGACGCCGAGCATTTCACACGAGCTCATGAGCGTTTTGACCCCGTGGTGGAAATGCGCCACCCACCCCGACCACTAGAGCAGCCAGGTTTCTTTGCCGTTAGAAGTCCATAGCCCTTTGTGCTGGTCAAACAAGTAAGATACGAAGGCTTCATAGTTTCATGACTTCAGATCAAATGAATGGAACACCGCTCAGGTCTCCAGCCTCGCATCTTTGCGTCGAGTCCACATATATTCGTTTCTCTCCGTTTCTACTCGATGGACCCTTGAACCATCAAGCTTATCCAACGGTTCCGAAGACTGCGGGATGGCATCGCAGATTTTGGTCGACGCCAAAGCTCTTCTGCAAAGACCCAACGGTCTAAAAAAGTGCGCTCGCAATCTAATTGCGAACGCAGTTTTTCAGTCTCAAGTCGACGCCAAGCTTACCTGCGGAAAGCCCCCAAGGCTGGCAATGGCCACAAGTTGCATTGCTCGGTTCCGCAAATCGTCTAGGGACTTGGGCGGAGAGTTCCGTTTTGGGGGGGCGCCGGGGGAGGGGGGGAGGATCAGCACCGTGTCGTTCTGCAGCCGAAGAACTGGCGGTTAGCTCAAATAAAAGGCCTACAATCCTAAAAACAAAAAGGGGGGTCCGCTTCTGACCGAGACGGAGGGGAGAGCAGCGGGGTCAACCTTCTTCAGCTGGAGAACCGGGCAATCAGTGCTGAAAAGAAAGGGCCTTCGAAGTTCGTGGTCAAATGAGCAGAGTCGCTTATTAGAGAATTGGGGGCGTCGGGTGAGGGAAGAGAACGTGAGCCCGGTGTCACTCTGCATCTTAAGAACCTGACGGGAAGGCGTGATTTTAGAAAACCTAGATTCTTTCTGATCAAGAGGGGGTTCGCTTGCGAGGGCGCGGAAGGAGGGGGAAGCCTGAGCACGGCAGTTTATGCTGCTGACAACTAGCGTATTGTTGAAAGCTGGAGGGATCTGCAAACAACGACGGAGCATACGCATTTGGTAAAAGCACTCAGGCAAGACCAGTCTAAGAAAATTTACCCAGGTAAGAGCAGTCACACTTTGGTTAAACCAGCCAGGCAAAAGTTGATTTAGTCTTGACTAAATCAACTACTACTTGGATCAGACTTACTGTGAGCAAAGCGTCCAGCGCAGCGCGCAGCTCTCGCCGCACTTGCGCCGCCTTCTTGGCTGTCTCCTCGTTCGCGCCCAAAGCGGCGTTCACGCGGGACGCCACGTCGGGGGCCATGTCCGGCTTCGCTGACGTCACCCACTCCCCGTGGGCCTGCTTGAACTCCCATCTGGAGGGAGTTAATTGTTAGTATGGGGAACCCATGGAGGTTTGATCCTTACGGGCAGTGCTCACAGTGGCAGCCTTTGGTGAGACAAGGGCCACTTGCTGTGGAACGACACTTCACTCTTTAGTTCGATTGTCACAACGAGGAATTTGACCAATGTTAATGGAACCCGCTCGCTCGTGCACCATTGCCATATGAATGTACCCATTGAGAACTCGCCATCCGAAGTACGTCAACGCTTCTGTCTTGTGCTTGACCCATGAGTTGCGAGGAGCGGCCTTCTTTCAAAGTTCAGCGGCTTCCGACCAGTCCGTTAGAAACAGCCCCATATTCCACAGAGGTTTCAAGGTGTATTGTTTCCATATGGATTCCTTTCTGCTTACACAAAATATAACAGGTGGTAGGAGGGCTGAGTATCTCCCTGCAGCGAGCAAAGAGCAAACCCAGTCTGAAACTTTCCCAAATCCTTCCTTTGCCTCGGCATCGCAGACTCCGGCTCAAGCGCGTGTCGCCTCCCAAAAGCCCAACTGCCTAGCGGTTGATCAATGCATTGAACGGAACATCCTCGGGAAAACTCTGCTTCAGGTGCAAATTCAAATCGATCCTCCTGCAGAATACTTATCCCCCCCCGCAGTCGCAAGCTCACCCTTGCAGTCCGCGCATTGCTTCCCGGATGCCCGCGACCGCTTCCTCCCCCGTCATCCCGTCCTTGCCGTCCCGCGCAAACTCCCGCAACGACGGGACCTTGCTCGCAAAGAACTCTCCGATTCGCGTTCGCTCCACCCGTGCGGCTGCGCAGATTCGGAGAGTAAGAGACAGTTTAGGCAGCGCAACTCCATGCCAGTGCCTTCAGGTCTGCCAAACTCCCTCGTTCTGGACGGGTGTGCTTGTCTTTCTAATGCTCTTTTACCCCCCTTCAGAGTGACAAAACGTCCTTTACGTGGCTGTCAGCGAGAAGAAAGCTACAAGACTCCGCCTCAAAAAGAACCAAGGACATGAACCCAAAAACAATTGTGGTTATACAAAGCAGCCCCGAAAATCAACAAACCTTTTAAGGGGACTCTAAAAGGATGAAAACATTCTCCTCAGCGAATGGCAAAACCGGAAAACGACCCCAATGACCCAAAACATCCAGCGAGTGTAGCAACAGCAGAAATACTTCTACGAACGCGGAATCAGATTTCAGAGTATCATATGAAGGAAGCAAGCAGCACTCACAGGCGTTGAGCTTTGCGAGGGTGCCAGTCACTGCTGCGATGACCGGTTCCCGTGGGGCGGTGGACAGGCCGAAGAGGTCCTCCGCGAAAATGACGCGCTGCGCCCGTTTCGGAGGGGTCTGGGGGGTAGGGAGGAGCATCGCACCGACCAAGCGCAGGAGAGAAGCATCGCGGGCGAACCAGCCTGTGGAACGAGGGGCGAGAGTCGGTGTGACGATCGGTTTTCGCAAGCAAGTACTGAAGATAAGATTAATGAGGAGACGGAGAGGAAGATCCAGGTCGCAGGAGCGATGACACAGCAAAGTGAGAGTCTGGTAGATAATAAAGTGAATCATAAAATGTTAAACACCTTGCGAAAGATAAGTAGCACGAATGATCCTTCAAACCGGCTTCACCCTTGTCTCGAAGGTGTCGGCATGGTGATCCGACGTCCGGAGCAGTTGCAAACGAGAGAGTGTGTTTAACAACGTACGAGAAAAGACGTCAACGAACAAAAGAGCTCTTACGCCTTTCCTCACCTACGGCATCGAGACTCGGCGACATTGGGACGACACCAGCCGCAGATACGCTTCCGTGCGACGGCCGGAAGCTGTAGACCCCATTGTACGCCGCCGGTATTCGCAGGCTACCCGCTGTATCCGTGCCTGTGCGTCCAATCAAAGTGGTCACTCCCAGCATAGACGCAAATCCATGAGGGATCATGGAGAGGGAAAAGCAGAGACAGACAGCCGGCGCATACACAAGCCGATCTCAAGCTCGTTGGATGGACTGGTGTATCGGCTCTCAAGTCGCTTGAAAATTGATCGCCAAACTCATCACACCTCCGAGTTACTTGAGAGTGTGGCAAAACTTCCGGTTTGATTACAACCCTCGATGCTCGTGACAAGGAGACGAACAAACCTCTGTTCCATCACACAATTCCTTGTATTACTTGAATAACGAAACGCAATGGCGGCCATTGCTTGAGAACACTCCAAGAAGATGCAGAGGAGATATGTGCCTCCACCCACTGCACCGGCCCCGGAGCCTATCCAGGGGCTTGAAAGGCAAGAATCGTCACACTTCACATGCAAACTCTGATAGATTGCAAAACGGCCTCCGACTTGGATCCTGTATGCTTTTCGCCCGTATTGCGTCCCTTACCACCCCTCCATGCCATCGTAGTCTTCGTCAACGGACTACCAAAAGCGAAAATACCATCCCAGCTGTCACGCCGCTGATTCGAATTCTGATGGATCATGCAGCATCAAACAACACTGCAGAATCAGAAGCACATCATTTTCCCAGCCCCAAGTTCTCCTCCGTTTTCATCGTGGGTTCTTACCGATTGCAAAGTCCACTACCCCGGCCGCCACCGCTGCTGCGGATCCGCTCGACGAACCGCCTGGCACGCGGTCAGGGGCTGCGCTGTTGAGGGGGGTCCCGTAGTGCTTGTTCTCGCCGTTGATGCTGAAGAAAAAATGCCACACGGTATCAGAGTTGGACACACCTTAGTGAAACAGGTAACAAGGACTCGGTCAGAAGCTCTTGTTGCGAAGATCACGAGAAGTAACAAGTAAAGACGGTAACAAGAGTTTCGCGACTACAAGCGCAATCAAACACACCAAATGACAGGGTCCACAACCTCCCCTGTCAAATCCACAAATGGCAGTGCGGCCGAGGAATCACGATTCACGACCAGACTTATCCCCACTGCAGGCGCAACTCCTTTCAAAGATGCCCCTTACTGCACATATCATATAAACCCACCCTCTTAGACTTTGATTGACTTACTTCTAGAAATTTGAGAGATTGGGCCTGTCTTTACCTGAACGCCAGCTCATCCATGTGTGTTTTCCCCACCAGGGTGGCGCCGTTTCGCAGCAGGGCTGTCACCACGTGCGCCGTGCTCTTTGCCTCCTCGTGCGTCGCTCTCCACGTCGGGTTGCCGAAACCCGTCACGTGCCCCTCCACATCAAAGCTGCACGTGCAGGGGGGGTGGACCAGGTCTATAAAGGAGCTCAATTGTCATACTCTTGAGGACGGCAGAAGTAATCTAGCATTATCTGTCAACGAGAGTTTCACTCGCCAGGCTGAAACTACCAGCAGGATCTTCAACTAACTAGAAAATAAAGTCGCTAGTCCGCCACTTCCGTGCTAAGGGCCCCATCTTGCGAATCAACACCAAACTGCCGCATAGGTTCCAGGATTTCGCAGCATTGCAATTACGAGGTCATCCGTCCGATGAGTTGACTTTTTTTCAGATCGTAACTTTGAAGTTGTGGGAGGGTGTTAAAAGAAGTGCACCGAAAAGAGACCATAACAATCGTGGTAATGGTGGGGCAAAGCTGCGACCACTTTCAAGCAAATTGCATGCGAACCTTGATTCTTGCATGTGCCCACTTTTAAGGGTTTGACTGCCATACATGCAGGTTTAAATTGGAGCAGGCATTCGGTCAAAGGGCCAGGGAATAGTGGAGAAGTAGCCTAAGAAGTCAGCATTGCTCGCTCATATCGACCTTACATCTCTTCATGAACCACTCTTTGAAATTTGATCGTCACATCTCGGCACAGAAGTCCAAAAGAGGAGTGAAACCCTCACCTGAAGGCATTTGGTGGAAAGTTGAGACCCGTGTTTGCAGTTGGCAGATGACATCATCAGAAAATTCTCAAACACCATAAAAGAGAAGCGCGCAGCTTCTTCACACATGCATAAGAAGATCTGTCATCTCAACTCACATGTCCTTCGCCGCAAACCGCAGCCCCGAGAGAGGGAGCGGGGCAAGCGGCGGCAGAGGGTTTGGCGATGGTTGCACCTCAAACTCCTCAATAAATGCATTGAGCTGCCTCTCTTCCGGCTCCTTCTTCTTTTTGGACTTGAGATAGAAACCCAGCAGTCCCAAGGATACAATGATAGCGGATAGCAGAGGCACCGTCGAGCCACCAGGGGACCCCATTGCGATGAGCCAACAACTTTTGCAGTGCTTTGTTGCTCAGCGCCTGTGCGCCACCCTTCGCAGATCTCCCTTCTCCTCGTGATTTTTTCCAGCTGCCCAGCTCGAGCTCGAGTGGTGCTCTATTCTGATCTGATGAAATTCCTTTCAGAAGGACCATGTATCATGGCATGACCAGGATACTGACGCCCGCGTATCCTCTTCATAAGCGGATTGTCGAGGTATGGTTTTCCCGTACGTCTATATTCCCACCTCAGTCACAGATGGAGGCAGGAAATTGCCAGTAATGACAAGGCCGTATGCAGGAGGCTTGGCCGCTTATGCAATCATCCTTTGACAACAATAGGTAGCCTATAACAGGAAATGCCTCCTTCCGAAGATACACATTCCCTGACTCCTGACTCCTGAGCCGAGGACCCAGACAAGAGGGGGCGCCACATTGCTGAGCGCTGCATTGGCACCATAGCAACCATGGCGTCTTTCCCCCGAGCCAGTCATGTGACAATCCTCTGCCAGCTTGTCTTCATTGCTGCCTGCATCTTGGCTTCGTGCGTAGAGGGCGTCGATTCCTCGTCGGTGGTGGATGTCTTTCGGATGGTCCAGTATGACCTGGGGGGAAAGCCGCTGGGGTCTAGAAAAGCGGGTTTGAACCAGCATGTCAGCTCAGGGTTGGCGCTGCCAGGTGCAGATATTGCTCGGGCTACGATCGTGATGCCAGTGGGGAGCATCAATGAGACCCTCTTCAATGGTAAGTGTCACAATTTCTTTTCTGATGTGGAAGTACATTGTAGAATAAATGAAAGGTGCGATGGCCAATGTGGCGCCACTGTAAGAGACAGGACATTTGAACTTCCAATAAAAGCTATTGAACGCAGATCCGCTTACAAATTAGTTCTTTTTGCACTGGATGACCGTGGATTAGTTTCGACTTGAAGAAAGTATGTATGCCTAACATTTAAAGCGGTGAGACCAACAGGGCCCGATATTTCCACTTGAGGTCCGCAACTGATGCTCATTCTTGCCTGAATCCTTCACAAAGTGCCCTCTTTGTGATTACATCATCACCAGAGCGTTGGTGTGCTGTTTGCGGTGCAGAGGTGTTGCAAAAAAGAATACACGTTGGGAGCCTGCTCTTCCTGTTACCACGAAATTATGGCGCCCAAGACGACGAGGAAGGTGCGAAGGATGCACACAATCTGGCGGCGCTTGAGCAGAAGCTGATCCAGGCCAACCTGGGGGTAAGCTTACCACCTCTTCCCTTACTTGACTTCATATCTGCATCAAAACGTTCTTGACTTGCTTTCATGCCTCTGAGAGATTTCCAAGCAAATTCCTGCTACGCCTGTGCACTTATCAGCTTATCTTAGATCTCTCCTTCCGCTCCAGGTTTGAAGTACCATTGGCAAGCTTGGACTTGCCAATTGAAAGGATCTTTAAGATTGGTTTGTCCGGTGGATCTTAAGAGTCGTTTTATTGCAATGATTTGAGCAATGATCGATTCAAGGCAGGTTGGATTGCTTGTTCGGAGCACTGCATAGATGTCCTTGGTGTTGAAGACATTCTGCGCTTTCGGTATGGTAGAAAGACAGTGTTCTCTACTACCGAGAGATAATTCAACGTCCCCGACAAAAGGCGTGGATGAAATTCCCAGGCTTTGTAATGAGCCTCATGATCCCAGGCTTTCACCTGCCCCGCCCTGAAGCCTGACTGGCTTCTATGATTGGGCAGGTGCCAGTGTATTTTGCGTATAAAAACGAGGTTTTTGCTGACATCCTGAGCGAGCTCAAAGCAAATGACGAGGCTGGAGTCCCTGCGAGCGCAACCAGCGGTGGTTATCGGTTGGTGGTGAAGACGCCGGAAGGAAGGAAGCTTCCGGCGCCAACGCTGGTCAACATTCAGGTGGGGCTGCGAAGTTTCTTACTGAGCATAAAAACAAAATCATTGCAAAGCAAAGGCCATGAAGCAGAGTTTGGATCCTAGGAAAACGCTGAAAGGGTGGGCTTGCTTAAGTTCAAGTTCTCAATCTTATTCTAAACTCCGATCTGGGAACATCAACAGCGACAAGAGTATCTATACGTCTTCCCAATGACAATCTGCTATGCTTGGACAAGCCTGAACGTCAAGCAACTGCACAGGAATGACTTACATCTTGTTCAGAGTAAGAAGACCTTCTGAACGCACAGACTTGATTGTTCTCTGCCATCAACAAATGCGGGGGCTAACCCTCAACTCGAACTCGCTCCCCTGCAGGGCTGGCTTCGAGGCGCCCTCCCGTCAAACTCTCAGCCTTCTGCCATTCAAACCATTGCTATCGTGGCCTCGTACGACACATTCGGGGCAGCCCCGGGCCTTTCGTTCGGCGCCGGCAGCATCGGCACTGCGGTGGTAGCCCTTCTGGAGCTCGCGCGGCTCTTTTCGAAATTGTATGCGAGCGGAGCTACGCACGGAGGGTACAACCTGCTGTTCCTGCTGACTGGAGGGGGACCGTACGATTATGACGGGACGAAGCAGGTGAGCGGAATGCTTGGTCGTTCCGATGGTGCAGGCGACCCTGAACGGAGGGAGTGTGAAAGAGAAATGCAAAGAGCGTCACAGGATGTCAGTTGCTTCCTGTCCATTGGGCAGTTCAGCGTCGACCTTCCTTTTGGTTACTTCTAGTCTGCTCCGTGTAAAGCAGTCTGACACTCATGTGCCGTTTGGAGGGGTACCATGGCTTCTCCATCAGGTGCCAGGGATGCCGTTAAAAGCAGCTGAAGTCTTCACGAGTTTCGGCGTTCCCCAATCAGAGCCTAACCCACAACACTCGGTTCACGAACGTAGCCACATTTTCGGGGAATGGAAGTGCGTGGCTACATGCCACGCTCTCGAAAGATTGGAAGTGCGTGGCTACATGACACACTCTTCAAGGCCTCCTCTTAAAACGTCCAACAAGCCAATGAACGGCTTCAGAAACAGGTGGAAGGACGAGAACGAGTCTGACCTTGTTGTCCCGCTCCGCAGTGGCTGTCGAGCCAGGACAACCGGCTGCTCGAGACGGTCGAGTTTGCGCTGTGCCTCGACGGTCTGGGCGCTTGGGGAGACGGCGGCCTGAAGCTCCACGTTTCTCGGCCCCCGAAGGAAGCTGCAATCCAGGCACTTTATAGCACGTTCACGGAGGTTGCGGATGGGTTCGGGATTCCGCTTGAGATCGTGCAGAAGAAGGTTAACCTGGGAAACCCGCGGGTGAGTTCTCGGTTCCTGAGTACTCAAGCCCCCCTAACAGGCGGGTGTACTAACGGCCTTCGTTAGTGCGAACACTACGAACGACGGCCGCTCTGCCCCTCTTCCTTCTCTTGACGGAATTCTGTTGGACTGGCTGCGTCAAACATTATCTTGCTCAGCCGTTTTCGAAACATGCACACCTCGAACTACTACACATGCATTTGCACTGCATCAAACACAGTCTTTCTACTTTAGTTCTAGAGGTTTCTTCTTCCCACTTCAATCATTAGGAACTGGCTGAGCGCGTTCTTACACGAGGTCATTCCTACCATTCAATCAAGTCTCCGGAAAGGCGGGAAAATGTTGGCCTGCAATTGGATTATCAAGTCAGGAGGACCGAAGTCACGTCTCCTCATCCTTTCGGGTGCACGCCAGGTTTCGAGACTTGATAATTTTTCTGACGTTCGTTCTGGGACGTCCCCTTGTCATTCTCGCTGCGCGCCAAGTGCTGAGGACTATCATTGAAACGTTTACTGAGAAAACTTGATTAGGGTATAGGCATAGGGTATTAGGTATAGGGTATAGGGTATTATATTATATACATATAGGTCCCTATATGTATATATTGTATAATAATACCTATAGGTCCCTATATACCTAATAGGTCCCTATATGTATATATTGTATAATAGGTCCCCGTGTCTTTCTCGCTGCGTGCCAGGTGTTCTGGGAGCACGAGCAGTTCTCCCGACGGCGCATGGTGGCGGGCACGCTGTCCGGCCGCCCCGCGCCCCCCGAGTTCCTGGAGGACACCGGGGGCATTGCTGACACGCGCGCTAGAGTAGACCCCGCTGCGGTAGCGAAAGCCGTCAAGTTCGTGGCAGAGAGCCTTGCTGTGAGTTCCATCGATTGCGCTTCTTGTTTCCTGGCGGCGCTTTCTGCTTGAAAGGACTTGAGCGACTCTGCTTTTAGATTGACAGTCGGCTGGATTGGAAGCGGTTGCTGAAGACTCAACGCGTATTGGCTGACTCGACTGCCACCGGCTTTGTATCTCGTGTCCACTTGTGAGCAACATCAAAAGGCGATTCGTAAGGAGGAGAACACTCATCCAAAAACTCCTTTCAATTGCACTCAAGTTCGCGAGCTAGGTATTATTTTGCCATTCGAGGCTTTTTTCCTACATCAGATAATTCAAGTCTCTCAGCGTTGTGATCCGATTGTTGTCTTGTGTTGCAGAGGCACATTTACGGATCAGGTAGCGTGGAGGTTTTTGCGGACAACACTAGCCTGGCCGTGAGCACGGAGTTCGTGGCGCACTGGCTGGGCCTGCTCGGGAGCACGCCCCGAGTGGCGGCGTTCCTGTCAAAAACGAGCCCCATAGTCACGGCTCTCCAAAAGGTGAGCAGCAAGAACGAACTGGGTGTTGGACGGGCAAGATTCAGGCATGGGGCCGATGCCTCGGTTTCGAACACGGTTCTTCACAGGGGTTCCACAGGGCAAGTCTTTTGCTCTTGTCCAGGACAAACGAAAGATGCAACTCGGCAGGAAGTCCCCGCAACATTGCAAGATCCACATAGACTGTGTTCGAAGTGTTCTCCAATGCGACTGCCACACGGGTACAAAGACGACACTTCGGTTCAGCAGACATTGAGTCCCCTTCGAACATGGCAGGAGCGGTGATGTTTATCGATCAATCGCACTCTGTGCTGTTTCTTGGGTATCTGCTGCATTCTGGAAAGTAGGAGCACCTCGCACCAAATGCTTCCAAGTGCTGCATGTCATTGCACCTCCGCATATCAACTTTGGAGATGCAGGACGCGCTCAGGCCTTGGACACAGGTTAAGGTATTGACCGGCGTTGAATCTGTATTTTCTTGCAGCAATTGTCCGAGTACGTGGGGGAGGTCTCGTTTCACGCCGCCAAGCTCGAGAGTGACCTTGTCATGTACGACGCTTCCACGGCAAAGATGAACATCCATAAGGTGACCGCTCGGCCTTCCACTCCGTTTCTCATTCAGAAACAAGCATGCCAATGTGTGACTTTACATTGAAGGGTGCTTTCTATTTTGAAGATGTCACGCAACAAAGTCCCGGCCACTTGAGACGTCTCCCAAGCTCATGCCGCTAGTTCATCCCGAGCTTTTTGAGAGTTGGAATTGATTTCTGCAAGCTTCTTGCAGGTGGCTAGCATGACCTTCGACATCTGGATCCTGCTCGCCGTTGCTGCTTATTTGGCTTCTTTGTACGCGATCCTCCACATCGCTACCAAGGTAAGTGAATTTCGAAGTCGCCGAAAGATTTCGCATATGACTTCTTCTGATACCTCACGTACTCGAAAGGTTGAGCTCAAGACTTTCAATCTGCTTGAAAAGTTCCTCCGAGCTCCTTTTCAAGAGAGTATTGTTCGGACTACCATTGTCATTATCCCTTCCTGCCAACACTTCTTCTTCTACTTTTTCGCGAGGTCATTTTTTTGGTGTTGTTTGCAGGGACTTGATGATTTCTTGGGGGTGTTTAGGAAACCTGTGAACAACAAGAAGTCAAAAGCGTTGTGACGCGGCAAGTAGGTAAAGCAAGAAAAGCTAGGTGCAAAGAATCGTGAGCACACGGTGTTATGACCGTTCCTGAGTTTTTCTCTTTGAGGAAGCAACGTTGAGCCGAAAAGCAAAGAATATTGATTGCAACCTTTGTCGTTGCGTTTGACTTCTGATGTCCAAGATCTTTCCGGCTGCGGCTTTGACGGCACCTTATTGATGGTCCATTGGAAGTGATTGCTACAAACCCATGAGCCACCCGGCCAGTGTGGCCGCCGACCGTGTTCCACACTACATTGCTTTAAGTGGCAAGGCGCTTAAAGCAATGAAAATGGCGTCCCTAACCGGGAGGCCTTTTCTGGGTTAAGAGGAGGTTTTAGCGTTTACGGAGTTCTTGGTTGCTCGAGGTTAGGTATTCGGTTCGGGGCCAGTTACTTGCACATGCAGAAGTTTAGATAAGGCGGTATACGGTATAGGCCTACCGGGATAGGTATGGCTACAATATTACGTAGCTTGCGTTTTGCCGGGTACAAGAAAGATCATCGCCCGGGGACTGAGTAGGTTAGGTTGGGGGTTTAAGTGGGTGAAAGTGTGGGGCACCTTGACAAGTCAACCAAGTCAAGGTCACGTGGTAAATTGGTAAGGGTTTAACCAATAGGATCGCGAATAAAATAGCTTTACCGCGAAATTGACATGCCAATACAGGGAGGCAACCATTCTCTGTTGCAACGAAATATAGATCAGACTTGATTACTTTCAATGGTGCTCAGCCAAGGCACTAGACCGAGCGGCACCAGGAGAGATGCCCTTGCACATCTTAAGGACTATGCCAGGCTAGGGCGGCTGCAAATTTTCGAAACTTGAAAATGCAGCATGTTGCAATCTCATTTTGCATGATGCACTATGGCCCTCACGCATAACTCAGCCCGGAATTCCTGAAAATGCATGTTTAATCAAGATAGATCCAACTTCATACAGTCATTTGGGCCCGACCATGGACCGCGGCGGCACATTCACATTTTAGGAAGGCCAATGCATAATGGGATTGCAAACGATCGCTCAGGATGATGGTAACCGACGCAACGCGGGGCCCTAATACCTATTGCAATTCTTTGATGAGGCTCGAAGTCTGCCGCCTGACGAGCGTGGTGACTAACGTGCCAACTTGAAGCAGTGCAGCCTGTACACGCGCGGCAAGAATAGGCGCGGCGGGCGCGCGAGGATGAGAACGCGCGTTTCGCACAAGCAACGTGCGAAGACGTCGATTTCCAGCTGAATCGACGGCTATAACATGCGCCCTCCATTTTGGAAACTCGTCGTGCAACGAGTTTGCTTTCTTTCAAATTCAAATGGATTTCGGCCAGCCTAGTTGCAGCCCAAGAACAAGCACGAAGATGGTGCAGCCGCTAGAATTTAGAAAGCTGGCGACGGAAGAAAGAATCATAATGCCAGCCTGCTGACGCGAGCGCAAAAAGGCTGCCTTTGCCTTCGCATGGTATAGCGCACTTTGCATTTGAATTCAGAGGATTAGCAGAATTGAGGGCTTGATTAGCTGTGCTTCCTTTTCGCATTGGGTATGACCACGCTTGGCAAGAGTAGGACGTTCACGTGCAGAAGCGACTGCAGCCGGTTGAATTTCGCTTCGTACCAGCTTGCGGAGTGAAGTCATCGAGTCTCAGGGGGTAGAAAGGTCCCACTATGGCTTACTTGATGACTTGGCAATCTGACAACCTTGCTGAACAGATGAAGACCACATTTGGCCATACTAGTAACACACGGAATTGATGTTGACAATGTTTAACTGCTTAGTTGGTCAAGTAGGTTAGGGTTGTTCGCTTGGTATCCCTTTGAGTTGCTTGATGGGTATCCAAGGGTTGCTGCCGGTGTTCAAGTCAATTTCACAGAGCACTCACATAAGCGAGTACGCTGGGAAGAAGGTAGCGGTAGACACTTATGGCTGGCTGCATAGAGGTGCCTTGTCCTGCAGCAGGGACCTCTGCCAGGGCAGACCAACACATAAGTATGTTGATTTCTGTATGCATCGGGTGCGGATGCTGAAGCACTCCAAGGTCATCCCCATCCTTGTCTTCGATGGGGGTCCTCTCCCTGGCAAATTGGAGGAAGAGAGCCGACGCGAAATGTGAGTGCACTGTTCTCGTGAAGGCCACCTGAGCAAAGATGCAATGATTGGTCACAGACCAACAACAGGTACCTGATTGAGTGCAAGCAGACTCGGTAGTGAAGCCTGCCCGGAATGTGACAGGGGCGCGCCAGCGCCAAAAAGTTATCCGTCTGGACGCCGCTGGACTTTGTCAAGATTTCTGCCCGTCTGGTCTGTGCTCGGTGGTGGCCAAGTACTAAGATGCTGTTGAGATCAGCGGCATCTTTTCTTAGGGCAGCACAGGGGCAACCGCTTTGAAGCCATGCAGTTTGCACGAAGCAGGAAAATTTAGGCCCCGGCCCGACCGATGGTGGTCAAGCAAATGAGTTGTTCTTGCTTTGTGCAGTTCGCGGAAAGAGAACCTGGCCAAGGCAGTTGCGCACGAGGAGTCAGGGAACCATTCAGCAGCATATGAATGCTATCAGAAGGTGAATATGCTCTCAGATTGGTCGAGGAACTTGTTTGCTCAGGTGACTAACTCTTAAAGCAGTTTTCTCCGGTGGCTGTATCTTGAAGCAGCTCTCTCTGGTGGCCGTTTCTTTCAGCAGTTCTCCATTGTGAAATTAGAGCTATGTACGAGGATGATGTCCAGAAAGGGCCAGGCAAGCAACACAACCAAATGCAACTGTATTGACAATTTCTTTTTGCTGCAGGCTGTGGACATCACACCCGCTCATGCACTCCGGCTGATCAAGGTCTGTCCACTGATATTGAGACTACAGCATCTGAAGGACATTGGGCACCTTACTTGTTACCCACATTTGCTCTTATATTTGCACCCCCCTTTGTCCTTCAAGTCATGCGGCAGGGGCCTACTTTTTCTCCGCAGCTCGACGAGGCATGGACTTGAAACTCCTTTGTGCAGGTTTTGCAAGAGGAGAAGATTGATTACATTGTGGCCCCTTATGAGGCTGACGCACAGCTTGCATACCTCGTAATCAATGGTCTCGTTGATGCAGTCATCACTGAGGTAAGCGCTTGCTTGCATCAATTGCTGCCCTCAGGTTTCAATGGCCTGCGAGTTCATGGATGTCACCCCCCACATTGGTCTCATGAGTGCTAAAGCGACCTGCTTTCCGTACACTTTGGTTGATACCAAGAGGTCCTGCAAGTAAATCACTGGGTTGCCACAGGTTTGGAAGATATGCAAAGTGTTGTCGCAATGGTGTTGCTTTGCGAAGAATATTTACCATTTGCGCTGACGTGCTCCTTTTTCTTTTTGACAACAGGACTCGGACCTCCTCGCTCATGGGTGTCCTAAGGTGGGGTTTCTCTGTCCTTTTTGCGCACAAGCCACCTTTTGACTTCAAGTGCCAACGTTCCTCGACTCGAAATGCCTACTCTTTGTCATTTCCACAAGAAAGTGCGTTCCACTTCCTTTTCTTGCCTGCTCCCTTTGCTTGCTAGCATTCTGGATTTGCATTGCTAAATACCCAATACTCTTCCAGAGCACGCATAATTCAGACGTCATGCGTCATTGCCCGAGATTACATGCTCGCAACCGGCTCCTTGAAGTTGAACCGACTAACCAATTCTGACTCTGCTCCGCTCAGGTGCTCTACAAGATGGACAAGTTCGGGAACGGCATGCAGATCCTGTACGCCGACCTGGTCAAGACCAAGGAGCTGTGCTTCACCAACTTCACGCAGCAGATGGTGCTGGAGATGTGCATCTTCTCGGGCTGCGACTACCTGGCCTCCCTGCCCGGCATGGGCGTCAAGCGAGCGCACGCGCTCGTGAAGCGGTTCAAGACCTTTCGAAAGGTGGGGCGCAGCTTGTTCACAGCCTTGTCAGTGTCTTCGACCTCTCAAAGGAGACTTGAGGAAAGCCCTTTTCGAAGTCCATTCTCTGGGGTTATCCGTGCCCTCGCTTGATTGTCGGTTGTGACGGTTTTGATTGATATGACAGATTCGACTGAGCAATGAGCATTGCAATGAGCGGACCGCCAGTCAAACTGCAGTCCCCCGGGATACAACTTCCTTGCGCCAGCCAACTGTAATTCAGGGGAATCTGTAACCTCGCCCGATCGTCTCTCTGCCAAGGATCTCTAAACATATATCAGATTGTTTTGTCTGTTCACATCCCAGCGAGCATCATCTCTGGGCGCCACTGGCGCTGGCAGCGTGTCAGTTTCTTTTGCTTTTCCTCCTGCGTCAGAATCTCTCAGCTACAGAAGCATGAAGGTTAATTTCGAGACGGTGCCGTTAACCATACTCGAGTCGGACTCTGCAACCCGGTACTTCTAGAGTTTTGTCCTGTCCCTTTCCAGGCAATCAAGTGGCTCAAGTTCCAGGGCACCGACATCCCCCCGGGTTACGAGGACGCGTTCCACCGCGCCGTGCTGACGTTCAAGCACCAGCGGGTGTTTGATCCCGTCAGCCAGCGCGCGGTCTTCCTCACCGAACCCTACGGCAGCGACGTTCCGGACAACCTGGACTTCGTCGGACCGCCGCTGTCGCCAGAAACGGCACGTGCCATTGCCGCGGGCCAGATCTGCCCCATCTCGCGGACTCCGTTTGAGGTGGGGCTTATGAGCGGTATCTCGTGTCATCCAGCGGTATGATCAGATGGCAAAATGGTTGTGTACAAGGCCAGTTGCCTGCTTTCGTCTCTCTGTCATACGTATACGAATGGCCGCTTTCTCCCCTAGCTTCGTCATCGATACGCGAATCTTTGGGACAATCTTCATAACCTCGCCGCAGAATGGAAATTAGAATACCTCATGCTATGCCGCTTTGAAAAAGATACAAGTTTTGCGTTTGACAAAGATATCTTTCCGCTTGTTGCAGGATCTCAAGCATTTCGAGAAAGGAACGAGCGCCAGCAAGCGGAAAAGAAAGGCGGACGTCCTGCCAGAAAGGAACACCATGCACCGATACTTATGTGCGTACAGTCATCCTTCCTCAGAAGTGCACAGATTACCGCTCGCCTAGCTGCCGCGTCTTCTCACCTGTCCCTTAGTATCTCAGAGTCGAAGAATGCTGCAAATGTGGCTGTCAAATCCGCAGGTGGGCGAAATCCACCGAAAGCGCCTCATTTCACGCGCCTACTCTTGGCTCACGTCTCACTCCATTCGAGTGCAGCCGTCAACACTTCCACGTCCGCCAAAAAGCCGTTCAAGCAGCCAAGAACTGCCGTTGCGGCTGCCCCTCCCTCAGCAGCGGAAAGGCCGCAGCAACCAGAACCAGAGGAGCAAGTCCCAAGGACTGCCGACGATCTCGACGAATGGAACCGCTTACCGTCCGCTTCTCTGCCGGAGTCTGACGTAAGTTCTCCGTCCGCCTTGCGCTTTCCTTGCGGGTTGTGCATTTCTGTTTGCGTCAATAGACTTTGAAATCGATGAACTGCAGCGACCGGGTACGACAAAGTGGAACGGAGTCAGGATCTTCAATGCGTCTTGCAATCAAGACGTGTAGCGGCATATGCGCCCGACAATCCATATGACAGTCACCGTCCCTGATTTGGTGCCGCTTCTTCGACTCGTGTCTCCGGTGAATCCCGTCATATCTGAGATCGCTAACTTTTCTAACCCCGTACAGGAGCTGGATGCGCCCACCCCCTTCCAAAACCAAAAGCCAACTGCAAACGTGGAGAGGCGCCAGACTGCTAACGGTGAGCACCTTGACGGGTCTGGCACGTTCCTGCTTTTTGTCGTTGTTCTTGCGTTGTTTGGCACGTCAGGTTCTCCTTCTGGAACCGGCAAGACCTGCCAAAGCTGAAGATTCGCAACACCCGACGAGGCTCCAAGGCCGTCTGCTAGGCAGGGGACGGCACTGCTTTTTCTGGCGGTTTTGACTGCGGTTGCATTCATCAACATGACTTTGCAGTAAGCAGACCGTGCATATCTGAGACCGTTCCTCTTGCGAGCGTTCCCGGTCACCTCCCGGGCTCAGGCGATGGGCTTTCCTTTCCATGCTGACGCCATGCTCACGTCAGCAGCACAGTAACCGCATTCCTCGCTCCATCCGCAGCTTTTGAGTTCGACCTAGAGAGAGAAGCGCCGCTGGCCAGCCTCGACTTCGACTCCGACCTCGAGCTTGACAATCCGTTCGAGGCGTTCCGCATCAAGGCGCGGAAGAGCCCCGGGCGGAAGGGCCCCGCGGATCTTTTCGCCGCCTTTGGGGACGACTGGTCTACCGACGAGGCGTTGCCAGCCACGCGCGCCGCTGACTCCCCGCGAAGAACACCCCTCTACACCAGCGGCAGACTTGAGCCGCGAGCAGACCTCCAGCCGCGACCACAAAGCGGGCGCGAGTCGGAGAACGGGGGTTTAGGGTTTGGGGAGCGGTCGGGCGCCGGCGGCCGCGGCTTCGACCGGCGCGCGGCCGCGCTGCAGCCCGTGCGCTTGCCGGATTTGAACCGGGGCGCTGTGGACCGGCCGAAGGTGGCCAAGAAGACGAGCAGCTTCTTCAAGAAACCGGCCGCCGCGGCCGTTCATTTGGAGGAGCCGGCAGTAGTTGGGGGAGTGACGGCGGGGCTCGGAAGGACGGGCGACGGTGGCAATGGGCAGGGGACGGGCGAGATGTACGCAAGAGAAGAGAGTCCGCTCGAGGTGAGAGCGCGGAGTTGTCGCCTCAAGAAGGCTGCTTCGGAACATAGAAAGAGAAGGTCCGGTCATGAGTACAGTACAGGTTTAAAAACCTTGCAAGGTCACGCAGCACTTTTGTACCGAGTAACGGGTTCCTATAGAAGCAGCACTCTCGCTTGCTTACATTTTGAACCTGGTGCAGGATCACGGTGTTGAGGAGGAAAACCGGGACAGACCAATCAGTCGAGGATTTGGTGTAGCTACCACAGATTACCGGTTGCAAGGGCTTCATGGTAAGACATTCCATCAACATCTGGCATCTTTTGTCCACCATTGTGATCCCTTGAGAAACTATTGTGCAGCTTGCTGTGGATACCGACATGCTGATCCTGTCAATCTCCGCGTCTCTTTGCGCAAAGCGCTGTCTTGTTTTCTCTCTGCTATGTCCGGATGTTTGAAGACAGATTACAACTTCTCGCGCGTGTGTGTTTCCTGTCCTCTCAGACGACGGTCAAGGTGACGACGACAGGCAAGGCCAAGGTTGTTCGAAAAAGCTCGAGCATCTAGAAGCCTACAGCTCGACAGCCACAAAGGCCATGGAGGGCCTAGTTGCAAAGCTTCGAACTTTCAAATACGTACCGAGCAGTAGTAGACAGAGCGCGCTTCGAAATCCTCTAGGAAATAAAATGCGGAACGCTTTCCCGCGATGACTCGTTCTCAGATTAAACAGGGCGAGTTTGCAATTGCCTTTGCTCTACAACATTGAGCTGCAAGTCGCGCACTGGCATCGATCGCGGCGGAGTGACCCTGCAGCAATTGGTGTTGATCAGGAGACGACCTTTTAATTTCATTGCATTCTGGATTGAAGGGTCTTGGCAGATCTGCAACCGTGTGAACAGCGCGTGACACTACCTGAAGATGTACTTTTTCAACCTCCAAAACGGGGTACGCGGCGGTCCGGTCGGCATAATCAGATATGCCGCGCTGCATGTGATCTACGTATATATGAGTATGTCGATGAAATTGAATGTGCAAGTGAAGACTGATGCAGCGCGTCACGTACCTCTTTATCTACCAAATGGCTGTCTGGTGCATTGATATGGCAACCTTCAATATCTTTTCGAAAGGAGAGCTCTTGCACTGGTGAAGTTGATGTACGCCAAGGCGGCGCCCGCGCCGCCGTGCTGTACTACAGCTACGGTAGCTGCTCACTACTAACCAACAAAGAGCCATGAGGCCCCATGCCAGCTAACTTACTTCTGAATCGCGCATGTATGCGCTGAGCCAATTAATTGTATCCGAATCCTCTACTGAGTCAATTAATCTGCATATACTCGTAGAGACATTGCCATTCGATCGCACCAGCTTATGGGATAGTTTTTATTTTTTCGCACTGAGCCCATTTACAATTGTTTAAGCCTGTTTTGCCCCTTTTGATGCTGGTTTTGGATTTTCTTTCACTTCGCATTTTCGCACCAAGCCCAGACCTTAATTTCGATTTTATCGCAACGGCCTAAAATGGATTATTTTAGTGCGAATGGGAATGTTGCTACGTACGGCCTGCATATACTAATGCGGCACCAGAAGTCTGAGCATGCGCAGGGACTGTGCAAGCGCTGCGCGCAGCCGATTGTACTCTCAACTGCACTTGATGATCAATGATGATTGAACCGCACGTGCCATCGATAAATGGTACTGTCCTCAGCGAGCTCAGGCTGACAACGCGAATTCACGGGGTGTGTTATGCAACAGAATCATAGCCAGGGTTTACCTAAACCCCAAGCAATCCATATTCGGTTCATGCATCTTTGCACACGTGGGGAAAAAGGAGCCGTTGCTCCACATGCTAACTGCAGGCCGGCATTGCAATGGGCTATAGAATTCATCAAAGAATGGCAATGAAGCATCTGCAAATGGACGGCATGTGCGGCTGAACTTTCGATGGTCGTCGATCATGTTTTGTAACACCACAAAGCTTAGCACTCTTGATGGTGTGAGATGGCTCCTGCTAAGACAACATGCGGGCTGTACCCGTTATGATGATTCCTCGGACAGGAGAGGTGGTGGTAGAGATTCAGCACTTGCACGCTGCGCAGATGGAACACGAAAATCGCGACGCCTCTGTATCGATTGTCAGTTCTGCGTTGCCGTCTTGCAATTAATTTACGGACCAGCAAGCGTCTTAGAAGGATTCGCGGGATCATCGCGACATGGAAGTTACCCGTTCTTTTCAGATCAATGCTGGAATCGTTTCGTAATGTCGCGAACAATGCGTTACCACTCCTTGACAAACGCATCAAATCTCTCGAACACCTTCTGAGGAGTTTGAAGAGCTTGCACGGCCTCTCCTCGAAGGTGCCGGCTTGGCAGTGCTGACACGAGTGAAGATGACTTGCTGTCTTGCTCATATGCGTAAGCGCTGATGCTCTCGTAGCCATCATTTTGATCTGCTGAAATACATTAGTCAGCTAAAGGAATCAGCAGTTTCCACTGCCTGCATGTTTTCAACACTTGCCACTCCTGTGAAAAAGCATCCACCTGATGATCTAGCGAAGCACACGTCAATGCTCTGGCAAGTGGTCTCATCGCTGGCCCGAAGAGATAATCATCATGGAAATTTGTAAGATCCACAAGAAATCCTGTGCGTTAGATCTCGACCTACCTGTGACAGGGAGCTCTTCAAGTCCAGCAGTTCCTGTTTCGAGAGGAGCCAATAGCTTGTCGGGCCACTCAAAGTTCGTGACAGCAAAGTGCTGCCTGCGGCGCTTTCCTGGGCTTGTGATCAAGCTGTGAGACTCGTCCCAGCGTTGCTGATCCCTTTTGAATTCTCTGAGCAAGACAGGGTCCATCACATCTTCAAACGTCAGAAGCGGCTTGGAACCATGTGACTCTTCTCGAGGTCCGCACAACTGCTCCTCTGTTCTCTCAGGGCTTTTGCCATCCTTTGAGATGGATTCCTTTTCTGACCTCACGTTCCTCATGTTGTTGAGGCTGCAGGAGCAAACGAAACGGGTACAATGTGAAGATTTCGAAAAGATTGACGTTGACGATTTCGTTGCTGAAGCCTTCAGTGCCTCAACAAGGCACAGGAAACCTATGCAGTTTAAACACGAGCAGAATCTGAGATTCCTGATAGGCTTACAGGCAAAAGGGTGCTGTCTGTTCCACAATCCATCTCTAAGAGGGGAACCGCTGCTTAATTAACTGAAGGCTTTAGATGCATTTTGGTTGTCTTCGAAGAGATTCAACCTTACCAGTCCTCGAACTTCCTCAACACAGAGCTCCGTTGCATGGGGTCAGCTTCGAATTTTGATGGCGGGCCTCCTGTCAATCTTCCGTTAGGGTACTCGAGGCCATCACTGGCATTCTCAACAGGAGCCCGGAACATTGATTGTTCGTTCTCTGCTCCTGAGTTTCAAGACATTCGATCGTCAGCATACTACTGTCTACGTTCTAATGCTGCAGATGGAACGGCTCGTCTCAAGTTGATCTGCCTGAAACCTTGCTTCTGCTTTGAATCCTGCATAAGTGATTCTGATGTTGAGACCCCTCTTATGCATGCAATTTTGAACCTCAGTCACGGAATGAAGAGTGTGAAGCTGATATTGTCCAGATTGTTCACAGCTGAGAATTATATTTGGAATATTGGCAGCCTTCACCAACGACCGAATCGACTTGGAGTTTCTCCTGGCCCTGGGTGCTGAAGTGCTGAACTACCTTTTGCAGCAAATGAACCAAGGCCATACAGCTCTTGCTGTGATTCGACTGTCGATGGTTGATGGGTCGGTTATCGGACGGTCCCGATAAGCAACAAAGCAGCACCGTCGATCAATTTCAGGTATTAGAGCCAAACTTTGCGCGCGCGTATGAAAAGTGTTGCGTGCGTACGTTCTGGAAGAAAGTGACCGCGCGCCGCGACAGCTAGAACGCAAGAGCCAGTTTGTACACCACACACGGTAGATGACAGAAGCTAGCCTCGAGAGAGTAGGTAGCAACAGCTGGCAATCCTGCCAAGGCCTTGAAGGGGCAAATTTGAACCTAGTCAGTAGCTTTTCTCCCCAGAGACCAGCCCGTAAGCCCCCATAAAGGCTTGATCGGCAACAGAGTAATCATCAAAGACAGGGCCGAAGACGTGCCACTTTGTAGCTCTGCCACTTTGCTGCTGCCTCTGCTTCTGCACTTTTTTGCTTGCATTCTACCTACTTCACCACCGCAGCTGTCAGAAATTTGGGATCAGAGCTGGAAGCTGTCCTATCCGAAGCCCATCCGAAGTAGGCTGCGGTATACAGCTCTAGGCAGCTATATCAAGCTCCACGCGGGTCCACAGCCTGGAATCTTTTTCCTCCAAGCTCCTATTCATAATCAAGAAGTAAACCTTGTCCTTTTTGCGTAAATTCACAGCTGATCATGGCGGCAACTGAGGTGCAGCAACCCTTGGATAGGGAGGCTTTCCTTAAGATGGCCAAGTACCCACTGATCAAGAGCTCTGGTGAGCATTGTTGGCGGCCAAGATCTTTGTCTGCCCAATCATGAGTCAGCTGGTGCTGACAAGAGCTAAATCCTGATAGACTATCAGCCGGCTACAGTTTTAGCTGCTGTCAAGCGAAAGTGCTCTGCTTTCAATTTTTGCAACACATGCGTGGGACAGTCGAGGGTGGGCAGTTTTGAAAAGGGAATTTGAAAGGAAGTGCTTTTCTGAGGAAGAATCCCAATGACCCTCCAGTCGTCTCAAGAGGGATCGGACGCAGATCTACTGTACGCATATAACCCATCAGTAAAGCATTAGTGGGTGGTAACCACGAGGCACGCGCTTTTGATGTATGGGCACTCGCCTGCAAAGCTTATAGAGATACCTTTGCTCCAAGATATGATGAAGGAATAGATTGCCATAGCTTACTGAGATGCCTTCGTTCATAAGGTGATGGGAGAAGTGCCCACCGCTTATCGAGCTCCCGTTTTTCTCAGATATGATGGAGGAGATGCGGAACGAGGCTGTCGAAATGGTCATAACAGCGGTAGAAAAGTACAGCAACAACTACGAGCTCGCGGCGCGGTTAGTAAAGGAGAGCATGGACAAAAAGTTTGGTGGACCGTGGCACTGTATAGTGGGTGAGCTTCTTACTCAATCTGTCCCGTAGTGTTGTTGCAAACATGTGCCATGACTTTAAAAGCTCTCCGCTTGATTCCGGTTTTGTTTGCAGAAAATCTACGGCCCCCAAACGTTACTCAGTAAATTTCCATTAATCTAGGAGCTGAAAGAGCACCCGCCTTGTGTCGTGCGAACAGAGAAAGTAATTTTTTGCAGCTTTTTTAGTGCTTTACAATACCTGAGTGGCCTTCAACCGGCGCCGTTTTAAGAATGCGCAAGGGCTCAGTGGTTCTGCCAGACAATCAGAAATGGAGATAGTCTTGGTCAAGCCGAAGTCCAGAGTCTGATCGAGCGTGCCAGTAAATCGTGACCGGCTTTTAACCAGACAATTGCATCTGAAAGAAGCAGACGCTGGCTCCATTCCAAATAGTATGTGGCAGTTGATGTCCTCCCTAAACAGGACCGGCAGCGACAGGAAGCTGTGTGCTAATTTTCTGGAGCGCCTTGATTATTCCTGCAAGCTGGCGCCGTCATGTGGAATCGGCTCCTTGAACCTGATAAAAGATGGAGCACTGTCCAGTATAATTGCAGGAACTATAAGCTCTGCACTCATTCAAGGTTATTTTCAATCTGAAGGAGAATACTACGGCTTCGAAGTCACACACGAAGTGAAGAATCTTCTGTACGTGTTTGCGGCTGGGTATCTCGCCATCATTTTGTGGAAAGGGTGACGACAGGCCAAGCGTTCGATCAATCCAGAAGTTTGGGAAGACTGTGATTAGGTCCAAGTCAGATGGCATTGTAACGTTGCTCTGCTCTTTTAACCTATTTATTCCATCTGGTTAGAGTGCATTCTCTATGAAGGGCTCACTTGCACAGGCCAGAAATAGTGACGCGAAACCGCAGCGTAACAGAGTCAAGTCGCGTGACACGTAGTTCCACGCAAGAAGGGCTCAACCGAATATTGTTGACCTTCTTCGTTGTAGTCACACCTCGAGTCAAGTTTCGGAAAGGATTCTGCATTGCTCATGCAACGCTCCATTCGCCTTTCTTTGGAGGGCATTCGATGCTCAGCAGCAAAGTTCCACTTTGTTTGGGATGCACGTCGCGCTCACAAAAGGCATAAGTGGCGGTACTTATTTACCAACATCTTCCGTCTCAGTAACTTGAGCAAGTGCGGCGTGAGTCAATTGCCCGCCTGAACCGTGTCAGAATATACTACCGGTAGTCGGCTTGAGGGCAAGACCGGTAATCATGGTCTGTTTGGCTAGTGCAGCCTGACATGATGCAGCAACGAGTATTCGTATAGTCCTCTTAGAGCGCCACTTTATGCAGGGCCACCAATCTCGTCAGAACGTCCGACTTATCCTCCAATGGACCCGGGGCCTCTTCTGACACGATCATGCATCCCGTGAAATGGCATCTGCAACCTGCTCAATCTCATGCCCTCTGAGTCTGCAGATTCATGTCAGTATACCCGGTCCGTGGGTGCCCCACACCCCGATGTACGCCAGTAACTACCTTGTGCATATATAAGCACTGTACCGTCAGCCTAAATCAAGCATCTGCGGGCCTAAACCAGATTGTTGTCTACAGTACATTGAACGACGGTGCACTTCCGAGTTCATATTGGCAGGGCAGCGCTGCCGCGGTACCAAGACCTGCCAATAAGCACTGTATGGTGACAGCCTTTATCTTCTTGTCGAATCATGCAGTCCATATATATGCGCCGCCGTGCCGGAGCTAGCCCAGCTTGGGCACTTAACTTGAGTGCAATAAGCACGGATGTGGGTTTGTGTGCCGTACATGAAAGAACGGGCCACGTACATTATTTGTTTTATACTCACAGCTAGACAGCGGCCACGGAGCGATATCTGACGGTGATCGAGTTTAGGGCCGGCCATGTGAGCGCATAAGACGCGGTCCATTCACATTTTATCATAGTATATAATACTCGCGCAGTGATGCACACAATCCTTATCCGCCCGCGCTGTACCTGCAATGTATATACACACATGATTGGACGAAGGCCACCCTAGGGCCGGCCATGCACCGGGTCAGCTGTCTTCGAAGAATCAATTTCCGGCCAGTGAATAGCGATTGAAATGAGATTAGGTGGGGATCGAGTCAAGTGTGACACGCTTGACTGCTTCAATCGCTCATGCATTCACAAAAGAGGATGGACTCCCAGTAAAGCTAGGATGGTCTTTGCAAGCTGTGATCTCGCTTCAGTTTCCGGGTCAAGTTGTGTTCGTTTGGACGAAGCAGCTACCTACGTGACAGACAAACCGGCCTGTTCCTTTGGACCGTACTTTTGTCAACTACCTGGTACAGTAGTGTACTTTCTAACTGAGCTGATAAGGTACAGTACCAGACCGCAAGCTTGGTCAAGGGCATGGCATGACGCAATTCGCGTCCACTGGACTGTTGGTCATAACCGGTTTCTGTACAACTCTTTCATGACCATCGGGGCTGTTTCTAGACCCCGTCAACCTACTTTACAACCTCCGTCTGCACTACGCGCTCCTTTGAGATCTAGAACTTCGAAGGAGAAACCAAGGCAAAGCATGCCACGTTATAGCTTCACTCGTACTTCGTATTACGTCCATGGTAGCTGAGCTTACGCCCAGGCGGTAGCAGCCCCCTCTGCCCATCAAGGCAGAGCAGCCAACCGGAGCAACTTCCGCAATTCCCGAGGCTCTCTTTCCGCTCTGCTGTCATCGTAGCTCCGTTTCCGGCGGCCCCTCCGGATCGAGCTCCTCGAGGCCCTCCATGGCGTCCTCTTCATCGTCCCGGTCTTGTTGGGCGATGTCGTAGTTGATAGACGCCAGCTGGGACAGGTTCTGCAGAGGATTTGCGAGGATGATTTCGTTAAGCTGGGAAAGCTGTGGGTTCCGCTTGGGCAGGGGTAGATTCCATTCGGACAGGGGTGGGTTCCGCTTGAAGCCAGAGGGTTAGGCAATCTCACTTGGTTCCTCCAGTCGACCATTTGGGATGGAGCCGAGGTGGAAGCCCAAGCCGCTCTCAGCACTAAGCTGTTAGTATTTAGGTCTAATCTGCCTGGAGCAACTGCCAATACCGTACTACCCGAAATCAACCTTGACGATACTACAAGGAGAAGGCGAGATTCAAGATCAAGGATCGGAAGGACCAGCAAAGGGACCAGGAAATGGCGCACAGCATGTGAACATCGCCAATCACATCGTCTAAAGCGGACACCCCTTCACACGCAGTAAGGCTGACGATTCGACACCCTGCGAAAATCTTAACCGCTAACAACTTTCCATAACAAAGAAGAGCTTCAAGACGTTGAAACCATAGGAACGCCAAAGCTTACAGCAGAAGCGAAACTGAACGCCGGTAAGGAGCTCCAATGGCATAGATGCACCAACAAGGTAAGGAGACCACCAGATCAGGAGAACGATGCTCTGAAGCACCACTCAAATTCAATGAAATCAAAACCCCGGAGAGCAGATACGTCAAAAACCAGTCAGATACACGAAATGCTGAGACCCACCTTGAACGAGAACCCGCTGAAGGCGTTGAACTTGGCGCCGTGCTCTTTTGCGCCCTCGAACCCCTGCAACTCATTCACATTATCCCCCTCCTCCCCCCGCAAGTCCAGCTCACTACTTCCGCTCGTACCACTATAATCGCTGGAATCCTCAAACTCTCCGCCCCCCCCCTCGGCCGTCCGGTGATTCGCCCCTCCCCCGAGGGAGTCCCACTGTTTCCGCGTGGTAAAGTAGCTGGTGTCGTCCAGGGAATCGGGCGTCGGTATGAAGGCGGCTTTTTGCCGCGCGAGCGTGTCCCAGCTGATGTCACGGAAGAAGGGATGGTGCTTCACCTCGGCGGCGCCGCCCGCGCCCAGGCGCAGCTTTGGGTCGGGGGTAAGCAACCTGAGAAAGGGGCGTCAATCTGGGTTAGCAATATAGGATCGGGGCCGGGGTTGATAACCGGGGATGGGACTAGCACGCTTTTAAGGCGCAGCTTTGGGTCGGGGGTGAGCAACCTGAGAGGAGGGCGGCAATCTTGGTTAGCACTGTTAGCATTGGGTTAAGAACCAGGGATGGGAATAGCAGCTTTACGGCGGAGCTTTGGGTCGGGGGTGAGTAACCTGAGAAAAAGGGCGTCAATCTTGGTTAGCATTATAGCATTGGGGCCGGGGTAAATAACCGAGGTTGGAACGCACGCTTGAAGGCGCAGCTTTAGGTTGGGGGTAAGCAACCTCGGTCACAAGGAAGTGCATCTGGGTTGATGATGTCGGGTTGGGGATAGCAACGGGGGATGAGGAAGCACGCTCTAGGCGCAACTTTTGGATCGGGGTACGCAATCTACGGGAGAGGGTGTGAATCTCGGCTGGCGGTTGGGTCAGGGTTAGCAACTAGGGGAGCGGAAGCCGCCCGTGGATCTGAGTTTGACGACACCCGTTGAAAGAGTGGCAAATCTGGCCTCGACGACGCACGCTGAGACAGTGGCAAATACTAATTCGTGGGTACACGCTGAGATAGTGGCAAATACTAATTCGTCGGTACACGCTGAGATAGTGGCAAATCTTACTTCGACAACACACGCTGAAATAGGGGCAGATCTTGATTGATGGACTATACACAGAAGTAGGGACAGCAAGTGGAGGGCTTCTTGGCACCCACCTGTCGATGAGGTCCTGCGCCTCGTCCGACATTTCGTCGGGCACGTGGGGCCACGTGATGGTCCGGTTGAGGATGTTGTCGAAGATGGCCTGCGGCGAGTCCGCGTTGAACGGCGGCACGCCCACCAGGAACTCGTACAAAATCACGCCTACCGACCACCAGTCAGCGGCGGCGGCTGCGGGGATGGTTTAAACTGGTTTACTGGAGGGTTCGGTTTTGATCAACGTGGCGAGGTTTTGAGGAGGGGGGTTAGTGAGGATGGAAACGGGGTCAGCAAGAGTATGCCGTTAATCTTTGAAGGAGAGTTGCAAAAGGGCGGCACAGATAGCAAAGTCTCGTACAGGATCACGCCTACCGACCACCAGTCAGCGGCGGCGGCTGCGGAGAAGGTTTGCAGAAGTGGTTAAGACGGGGTCAGGAAAACATGAGCGAAACTAGAATAGCGTCGTAGAAGGGCAGCACGCCCACCAGAATCTCGTACAAGATCATGCCCACCGACCACCAATCAGCGGCAGCGGCTGTGGGAGGTCAACGAAGAGGGTTAGAAAAGCAGGGTTAAATAGCAGATTCTTGGAAGGGTATGGTTTTGAGTGAACTAGACGAGGTTTGAGCAGGGGCACGCCCAGCAGGATCTCGTACAGAACCATTCTTATCGACCCACCAGTCGGCGGCAGGTTAAGACGGGGTTAGGGTTAGTGGGGAGATTGGAAAAGGTTTAAGCAGGATTTATGAAGGAGCGACTCGCCCACCAAGACTTCGTTACAAATCCATGCCTACCGACCACCAATGAGCGGCAGCGGCTGCGAGAGAAATCTGCAGAGGACTTCGGTAACGTTTGCAAAGGGCTTCATTGCGGGTTGGGACGGGGTTAGGTGGGATTGGAAAGGTTCGACAGAGATTTGAGTAACACGGGATCGATTGCCTTTGCGCAAGAAGCCTGACACTGACCTGAGCTCTTGCGAACTCTAGTTGAAATCCAAGACTACTCTGCAAAGCAACGGACATGTCTTACACGCCCCAGGGCTAAAAGGAGCTGATACAGAAAGAAGCAGGAGTAGAGCGAAAGTCCGTAATCCAACCGGTCTGAAACACAATTGCAACACTTACTATGCCCGGTTCCCAGCAGGATCTCCGGGGCCAAGTAGTCGGGGGTCCCTACTGCCCCTCGCTCGCGCCTTAGCCGTTGCTCTTCCAAGGAGGGGGGGTGGCCGTCCTGCCCGGAAGACCCCCCCGTCGAAGTGGAGGCGAGTTCGTCGGTGCTGTTTATGAGGCCCACGCGGGAGAGCCCGAAGTCGGTCAACTGCACAACAAGGAAATATCGTCAAGAAACACGTTACGGAACGGTACGGTTTCAGTGATAGGAGTGCCTCTCACACTTGGGCCCATTCACTATTTTACAGCTAGCGGCCTCACATGCAACTGTACAAAATCGGTGAAGGTCAATGGACAACGTCAGCTGGTGTGCATTCGGGTGGCTTGCGATAAGCTTATGGCAGGTCAAGTAGTCAACGAAAAGGTCCAACACCCCAGACCTACTAACATCCTTGAAAGAGGGCAGAGTGAACGTCCGGCGGCGCCAGTATGCCCACTCTGACTAAGTAGCGGCCAACTTCAGTTGGTACCTTGGTTCCGTCCAACTCAAACCCTTGGCAGCTTTCCGAGCCCTCAACCACCCACCTCGATATTTACGTCATACACGATCAGCATGTCGTCGCGCTTGATCTTCAAAACCTCTAAAAAGCCCAAGGAAATAACGAATTCCGCTCAGCTATCAAGCAATAAACGTAGTAGGGGACGATTCTGCTCGTCCTTAAAAGAAAGGACAGATTTACAAAGAGGTTTCGCTCACCTTGATGTGCCCGTCGTGCGCGATTAGCATATTATCCGGCTTCAGATCCCTGTGCACCACTCCCAGCCCGTGCAGATACTCCAACGCCAACACCGTCTCCGCAATGTACCTCATCGCCATGTCCTCTTCAAAACAGCCCAGGCCCCTCAGAAGCGAGTAGCAGTCCCCCCCGTTTGCATATTCCATGACGAGATAGAGGTTGTCGCGGCACGTGAAGGAGTAGAAGAAGCGCACGACGAACGGGTTGCGCGCGTAGATCAGGATGTCGCGCTCCGCCTTGACGCTCTCGACGGCGTTCTTGCGGATCATGTCCGACTTGCGCAGCACCTGCGGGGCAAGAGAGTCCGTGTCAATCAGATCTCTTTTCCTTCTTCGGAAAAACTACTGAGCTTAAACCCTCTTAGTGCTCGCAACGGCGTTTTTACGGATTACGTCCCACTTGCGCAGCACCTGCGGGGGTTTGAGATCCGTATCGACAAAGAACAAAGACATATCCCGCTTTGACCGCTTTCCGATATCATCCTAAGAAGGCTTGTTCGTTCATTCGGCGTTTTTGGAGAGTACACTGGTAGGATGTCCTCATTCTAGTCGTTGAACATTCAAACCTTTTGCTATATGTTGTTTGATGACCCAAAGCAATAGCAGGTCATCTAAAAAGTCCGCTGGCCTGATCCTAGTATCGACCTCCTTGATTAAGCACGAAAGACGTACGTGCAGTAACCTGTCTCATAGAATGTTTCTGCTGGTGAAGAAAGTTAGCGTCACTCTCTTATGCCTAAATCCGGCGTTGTTGACTTGAGTAAACGAATGCAGAACGCCTCTTCAAGAGGCTTCATTTGAATCAGACCTCTCAGCAAGAGCTTACAGAACCAGTCTTTCATCAGACGGGGTCTAGGGGCATTCCGTTCAAATTGCTTACCCAAGAATTTTCACGTGCAACTCAACGAGAACTCGTCGAATGGTCTACCACTCATCGTGAAGAGTTGGCCGCATGAATTCTGACTCGCTATATAGAGCCTCCTTAAAGAATGTTGCAGAAATCACTGGGAAGTGATAAACTTCACCTTCATTGCGAAGAGGTCCCCAGTCGCCCGTTTCCGTGCGAGAAACACGCGCCCGTACGCCCCCCGGCTGATCGGTTTTATTATCTCAAAGTCGTCGATCGTCACGCGGTCCTTTGGCGGGTTGGAGGGAGTGCCCGGCGCGAACTGCGCCCCCGAGGCGTCTTCCCGCGGCGGACCGGCGTCCTCTCCCTCCATTGGAAGCGCCGAACCGGCGTCGGCAATGGACGTTTGGAGCACCTTGTGCTTTTCTCTGAGAAGACAGGAAAAAAGGCTCGACAACGACGGATTAAAGCCTGAAGACAATCTGGAAATTGACTCTTCGATTCCGAATTGTGAGCCCCGGCAGGAGTGCCCGGAGTGAATTGCGCCCTCGGGGCGTCTTCCCGCCGGCGGACTGGCGTCTTCTCCCTCCATTGGAAGCGCCGAAACGGCGTCGGCAACCAACGCTTGTAATGCCTTGTGCTTCTCCCTAACAAGGAGAAGAACGAAGCTCGGGCAAGAGATATATAAACTTGTGAATAGGAACCGGATGAAGGGGCCAGTTTTCTCTTCCTCGAGCGGAAGTGCCGAAACGCAGTCGTATATTGCCGTTTGAAGCACCTTGTGCTTCTCTCTGGCAGGACAGGAAAGAAGGACGGCTCGACGACGGAAAGTATATATAAGGTTGCGAGTTTGAAGAGAGGCCCGAAGCCGCGTTTCCTTCAGAATGGGAAGTTACGGCAGAAGTACTGGACGAGCTTTCGGTTTCAAATTGCAAAAAACGTGTTTTTACATTTCTCATGGTTGAAGTGCCAAATCCTTTTAAGTCATGCAATCCTTCGACCCTATATGCTGACTCTACTTGAGATCGAATCCATGTGCCGCCCGACCATCCAACGACGTCCTGCAGCGTCGACAAGCCGCCTCTTCGATCCGGCACGGCTTGCAATTCAGAGAGTGCCAAATTCTCTCAGTTCCCCAAACCTTAAAAGCCATTCCAGAATTTGAAAACCCACCTTAGATTCTGATCCACGTGCCGCCCAAACGTCTCGAACACGACCTGCAGCCACGACTTGACCCCCTCCCAATCCGACTCGTCTCGCAAAGCAAGATTTGCCGGGGGGTGTAGAGCTCAAGAAAGTGAAGACTTCGCAATCTTCAAACAAAGTCTTGAAACTCACCTCAGGATCTGATCCACCCGCCGCCCGAACGTCTCGAACACCACCTGCAGCCACGACTCGCCGCCCCCCCATTCCGGTTCGTCCCGCAACACCCCATCTAATAAGTCCTGGAGATCCTCTATGCACGACCAGCACTGCTCGACGGCGTCCTCCTGCTGGGGGGTCACCTCCGCGCCGCAGTGGGCAATGTCGACCAGCTCTTCCATCTGCGTGATGGCCCACTTCTCCTCTTCCGTCTGGTCGCGCCGCGTGTCCTCCTGCAAGGAAAGCAGTTTTCATCCATTTGAAAGGGTTCTTCTACTTACCAAGTATTAAACAAAAACTCTTCTATTGATGAGATGGCCTACTCATCGTCTTCCGTCTGGTCGCGCTGCGTGTCCTCCTGCAAAAGAAGGGTGGTCTCATCCAGATTGATATCAACTTTCTCAAGAAACAAAGTGGCAAGTGAGGGCCCATCGTTTGCAGCTGCGTGATGGCCCACTTCTCTTGTTCCATCTGGTCGCGGCGAGTGTCCTCCTGCGAGAAAAGTGTTTCTACTTCCTGGAGATATACAGATTTCCCATTGATGCAAGAGGGTAGGCTTTCACTTGGGATGCCACATGCTTTTATGTGGGGGGTCTTGTCGTACCCTGAAGAGGCAATTCCGGAACGAAGAAGGAACGAGAATGGACACAAGCAGGAAGTCAGGACGAGAGCGAGAAAGGCACCAGACAGACGGGGCTAGAACGCTGAGCAACTTTTAACTCCACCATACGACGCCAGGTAGAAGTCAAAAAAATGGACTCAATCCCTTAGCGACTAGCAAGTTCTCCTAAGCGCCCGATACTCAACATCACAGGCCAGAGAACTCCAGCCCGGGTTCTAGCTTTTTAAAGACTGCACAAGAGCGTCCAATGAACCCTCAGCGTCCCATCAGCTCCGTTCGCGATATTTCAGCGCCCCGATTTCCTCACCTCCTCGTCCCAGTCGGAGAAGTCCTCTTCCCGTCCGCTGTGCAGCACCGACCCCAAGTCACTGCTGCCCTGTTGCTTCAGGTCTAGGTCCATCGACCGCCGCAGACTGGCCTCGAGCGCGCCACTCCCCTGTTTGCGCGCCAAAAGCGTGGAGATGCGCTCCCCCGGGAGCTCGTGACTGCGCGGCGTGCCCGACGCGCCTGCAAACAAGTTGCCCGAGGAAGAGGTTAGTCTCAAAAGTTAGACATGAGAGTCGGACCCAGGTAAAGCTTCCGGGTAGAAGCTTGAGGTCCAAGGTAGAGAAATGGACTGCAAGTAGAGGGTTGGAATCTTAGGTAGACCAAAAAACTTCCCAGGTACAGACTGGAATATCCAGGTAGGGTTTGGAGTACCATAAAACATAACGATAGAAAAGAGAATCGTACGCTTCAGTTATGCAAGGAGCTCAGAAAAAGGTTCTCCTGCTGTCCGGTCGGCTGAGGGGTGAGCTTGAGAGCGAAAGGGTTAAGATCATTTAACATCAGCGGAAATGCTTAGAGAAAGGAATACGACAACGAATCTGCTCCGACCTAGAGTTTGTAGAGCAGTGCCCTACTCGATATCGCTCGGGGAAGCTTGTGAACTGAAGTGAGCCTTGAAGGCAGGCCAATCTGGTGGCCGAAAACTCTTAGCGTCTAACGCAGGTGTTGTCAGTCCCAACAACCAATTGAAAGCTCTAAGGCTGGTCTGCTCCCTCAAAAAACCATATGCATTGCGCAACAGGCAGAAAACCTTCCCAGACCCCGGTCAAGCTTAGGCCCACACCCTCACCTGACGACGGCGACCCCTCTCTTTCTTTCGGCGCCGGCTCCAGAATCCCCGCGGCCGCCGCCACCGCTTCCGCGTGCTTCCGATCCTCCAACGTCGCGTAATCCACTTCGTGGAACGACGCACTGCGTCCAAACGGCGACTTCACGTCCCCCCCCTGCGGCCGCCTCACGGCCGGGCTGCCGCTCGAATCGCTCCAGGTTCCGCTCCGGTGGTGGATCGACGTTTGGACGGCGGGGGGCCGTCCGGGGCTGTCCGAAAAGCTGCCGGACGTCGTCACCCCGGACTTGGTCCGTATCGGGCTCTCCGGCCACTTATTGCTCTTGCTGTGGCCCAGTTTCGTGAGCTCCGATTCGGAGCTGTGAGTGGATCCCCCCAGTTTGAGCGGGCTCAGCGCGCCCCGGCCCTGCCACATCGGCTCGTGCGGCTTGAGCGGCGAACTCGTGCTTCGCAGGGGGGACGCGAACGAGCGGATCGCGGGGCTGCCGCCGAACGAACTCCCCCCCCCGCGCCCCGCGAGGAGCGACTCGTGCATCGGGGACATAAGCGGGGAGACGAACGCGCCATAAGGTCCTGCGGAGAAGCGCGAGTCGGGCGTGCCCGCGAACCCGACGCGCGTGGAGTCGGTGAGGGCGTCGTCTTGCGGGTTGAGCATGGACTCCATCTCGTATGCAAGGTTCTGCAGGCGCTCGTCCAGGGAGAAGTGCTTGGCGTCGCAGCGGTCGGCGGCCGCGCACAGGCGGCTGTGCTCCTCCAAGTATGCGTTGCTCACCTAGAAAAAGAAGGGCGGACACTCACTTAACAAGTATTCCAAGCAGATTGGCATTTCAAGGAATACCTCAGGACCGGCGTTGGATTACGTTCAATGTGGCTGCCGACGATGCTACAAAGTTCATTTCCCGTACAATAGCGTTCACCAATATTCCTATGTGTTAAGTAAGCACAAGCGCGTTGCACCGCGCGACGAAAAACCTCGACTGCAGTCCAATCTCAAGAGTGAAGGCGCACCACCTTCCTGACCTTTCTACTTAGACAACGGAGAACTCATAGAAAGATGAGTCGAAGCGTTAGAGAACATAAGTACTACGTGAGCCCAGATCCATAAAAGCATCTCGATGATCCAGGCCCCCACCTGGCGCTCGCAAATTCGGCACACCACAAACCGGTGCCGCGCCGGCGACTTGCTCGGCGCTCGGACGTCCGGACTCCATGCCCACCGACTCCTCATCCGGTCCGCCGTCCGAGGACTCGGTGACGCCTTTCCGCTCCCCCGGGCTCCGCTCTGGTCGCTTCCGACGCTTTGCAACGAAACCAGCGCAGGCTCTGAGGTAACCCGGGTTAAGCCCCCAGGCTGCATCCGGGTTAGCGCGCCGGAGCTCTCACGCGAGGGGGGCGGGCTTTCCACGGCTTCATCGCCCCCCGCATTGGGGATGCTCACTCGTAGCTGCTCGTTGGGCTTTTTGATCGAGGGCGACCGGGCCGATTCGGACGGGCTTCGCGCAAGGGGGGGTAGCATCGCCCCTGGCCGTGACCCCCCTGGGCTGACGCCGTCGCCAGCTTCGGGCGGCTTCTCCGCGGCAGGGGCCGCTGCCCCCGGGCTGATGTCACCTCCCCCGAGGTCGTCCTTCGCGCGCATCGCCGCCGCCCGCCATGACGTCACCTTCTGCACCAGCCCAAACGGCTCGGCCTTTGTCAAGTCAGCGGGCGTTTCTTTGGGGCCCTCGTCTGGGTTCTCTAAACCCTCCAGGTTTTCGGACCAGTCCGACAAACCGCTTTCAATCCGCTCGAGCCGCCGTTGCTTCTCCAGTGAGTGTAACCAGTCTAACGGAACCTCCGTTCCCACGGGCAAGCTCCCCGCGCCCGCTAGCCGTTTTCCGGGGGATCCCCCTGGCCCCCGCCGCTCGGGACTGCGCGCCGTCCAGGCCCGGTCCAACTTCGGCTCGGCCACCGGCCAGCTTTTCTTCCCGTCGCCCCCCCCCGGGGCGTTCCACGTAGCAGACGACAGATCCCGGTCGATCGCAAACCCCTCTTTCTGGAATTGGAGCAACCGTGTGCAGCGCGTGAGGATGAACAGGAGCCGCGTGTGCAGCCGCTTGAGCGCGCCCACCGGCAGGTCTTTTCTCTCCTCGTCTAGTTTGGCCACCAGCGCCTCGCACTCCGTCCGGAACGACTCCGCCGACATTGCCTGGCACTGCTTCGCGGAATCCAAAAGTTTCTCAAGCTTCGGCACATCCACTTCCGGACTCGTCCCCGTTCCCCCGAAACTGTTCCGCCGTGACCCCGTTTCCTCCCCCCCGCGGCTGGCCCTCCGGCCGCCCCCCGAAAAGAAACCCAACAACGAAGTCGTTCCTTCCGGGGTCCCAACGGAAGGCTTCGGCGGAGCGGATTTGTCGATCATTTCCTGCACTTCTCTCGTGAAGGTTTGAAGCTCGGTGTTCACTTCTTCCTTCGCGGCGTTGAACTTCAAGTCTAGTGCCTCAAGGAGGCCGTTCACGACGCCCGAGGCGACCTTGCTCCGCCACCCGACGGGACTCGCAAGCGGGACGTTGGGTTCCAAGCTCGCGCCGTGAACGTCCCAGGAGGCCGAGATTTGACGAGCCAGGCTCTGCATTGAAAGGAGAAAAAAAATCTCCTTCATAAACCTTCGGACAGTGGGACTCTGCGTGGCTGTGAAGCCTTATTTTCAGTGGGGATCGATGAACGAAACTTCTCGAACAGGCCTGGAGGCTTAAAAGGATCGCCCTTCCAGAAATCCGTTCGCTGCATAATTAGCAGAGACGAAGTTGAGAGAGTAACCCTTGACTGTATAAGAAAGAACATACGAAGGGCACGTGTGAGCCTGTGTTGAGGGATCTCACAAAGAGGCAAAGACAGTCACAAAACTATTTCCGAACAATCGGACAAGGACAAGAGACTAACCTGAGGAGAGAGTGTCCCCCCGTTGGATGCCCTCGGAGACAGCTGGCGGGGAGTGCTGGATGCGCGCAGGAGCGCTGCAATGCTCTGAGACTCTGCAGCTGCGGACCCGAGGCTAGTGGGGGAGACAATGGGGAGGGACGGCGAGAACTGCATGAAACGAGGCCAATCAAACAAGGAAAAGTGACCCTCTTAATGCACAGAAACGCAAGGACCGAGAGGCAGAATGCAGGTGGCTCCATTCTGTAAGCAGAACCCCTGTTCAGGACAAAGGTACAGATTATTCGAGGCCATTTGGAGCAGCCGCAAGGGGAATGGAGTAGTTGCAACCTGGTGCTCCTTCGCTTAACGACCGTTGGCAATTAAGGGCGCAGTTCGCAAGGAAAATACTTTGAAGCCGCAGCCAGATGCTGCGCATCTTCTCCCTCCTGATTGTAGATCAGGGGAGAATGGAAAGACGAACCTGCACTTCAATATGCCGGCGACACCTATCAAACACCAAGCCCAACTCGAAGTATAAACATTCCTGCCCAGCTGCAACAACCAGTCATCTTCCTGAAAAGAGACGCCACGACATGCTGATGTCACTCACCAGGCCCTCGGGTACCTGGTAGCTCGGACTGTCCGGGGGCTGAACCACCAGGTCGTCCCACGCCCGGAATTTCACGCGGCTCGTCGGTTCCACTTTTTCGAGGTCGTCCTGCATAGCCAGCTTCCCCAGCTTGTCCGCAAATGCGCGCATCTCAGTCCGTGCGTCCGAAACCCCCCGCGCCAGGTGCGAGCGCTTGGGGGGGGAGCCGACAGCGGAGCTGGGATGCCGAGGGGAGCGCCTGCTTTGAGAGATGGGGGGAAACTTTGTCACGACTGATCAGATGGGTTAAAGCATGGGTTAGCCTTACTGGCTGCCTGGTATTTCCACCGGCCGAGCTGGGATGGAGGAAGATACTTGCTCGGAGAGACTGGAGGGGAGAGGGGTGATTGAAAGCAGTGGGCATGGATTTGATTGAAGATAGTGGTTCGGACCCTTTTGCTTCAAGGACGTGGTCTACGAAATGTCCTGTGTTTTCGACATATCTGCAAAAGCATGCATTGACAGGCACCAACTGAAGCAATGTCACACACGCCCACGTTGCGCCGTAGGTAAGCTGCACAACGTCTGCAAAGGCAGTTCAACTCTCACCTCTGTGGGGGCGAGACCGACGACGCCCGCTGCAAGGGTCTTTCCCTTTCCATCGACTCCGCAGGGTCCGTGATCCTCCGAGGGGTTTTCAAGGGAGGGGGCAAATGGTCCGGCCCGGGCCAGCTCGCCAACCCCCCATTATCCTCTTCATTGGCATATGTATAAGTGAGCGCAATATCTGGTTGCACTTCCTGAGACCCCGCCCTCCTGAGCAACACGCTGGTGGTGGTAGGCTGGGACGGTGCGTCAGAAGAGCGCAGCTCGTTGTGGGGGGGCGACACTTGAGTGGGAGCGTCTAGGGAGAAGAACCCCCTGCCCCCCGGAGGAGACGACCCAAGAGCTCCGTCAAACGCCCCTGACTCCGCTGTTCTCTGAAGCAAACTCCGGACTGTGGGACTAGAGAGCGTGCTGCCACCGGGGCTAGTGAGCCCCTCGGCAAAAGTGACCTTTCGGAGCAGGCTAGGGGAGCGGACCTTGGGGGAAATGGCCGGCTGCTCCCCAAAGGTCCCCATGACGGGGCCGGGGGTTTTCTTATGTGTTTAGGAGTGCTGGCCACCAGGCCTATAAGCAGTGTCGCCCATTGCTTGGAGGGATTTCTAGCATCTGAAGGACATCTCTGGCAAGCTCCTCTTGATGTTGGGCGTGTGTCTCAACAAGGCCGCAGAATAGCAGCCTGAGCATACTCCAAATGGCGCGGCTAAGAAGTTGCGCAAACTCATGCACGTGGGTGTGGCTGAGACATTTGGCAAGAGACTCCAGGACTACCCGCAGCCAAGGTGAGCTCCGTTCATGCTCCAAGAGCAGAAGCACATTTGCTATGATTGACACATCCGAATATTCCGCTGACTAGCAAGCCCCCGGCTTTGAACAAGATATACCTGATTAGGAAAGCCACTGGAGCTACAAAAAGTCACCCAGAGCTCCTTCTGCTTTCCCTCTTGTCCTCCAGAATTTGTGCTGGTGCCAATCTCCTCAGCAATATGGATGGAGCCACCTGCAATTTCAAATGTTCTCTTCTCATAAGCCCGTACCCATCAAAGGCATGGGGCTGCTACGACAGTGTAACCTGTCGTAGGGAGCACTGAGGTGCTCGGGGATTGCACAAATCGTGCTTCGTCGGGACACTCGCAAGTTCAACTTCAACCGAGTTCAATCGAGCTGCTGCAGCCTGCCACCAGTGCCACACGGAAGTGACTCTGTGCAGTGAACATGCACTCACATGGTGTTCGTGCTAAATCAGGGCTGGACTCTGACCGTTGGATAGGAAGACAATGAGAAACGGATGGCAACGATCAGGTCTCCTGACGCCCTCAGCGTAGTTTCACCGGGCGGGCAAAAGCATTGTAGGTATTCACCAACTCCTGAGAGACTCCAATGTCCATGCTGCACAGTGCTTCTTCGACTTGAAGTTGAACTTTCAAGAAGTTGGAAGTCTCGCATTGCAATAATCTGCACATTGCAGGCGAAAGCCTAAGGCAGGTGGAAGGAGGGTGGAAGGGTGATGCCGCATGCCTGAAGGTGATTGCGCAGCATATATCTGACAATCAGCACCGTGGGGTGACAGAAACGATGGCAGTGGCTAGCTATCTGAGGGTGATCAAGAACACAGACGCTTGCGATGGGGACAAGAGCAGCAATGCGCGTGCCACTACAGAGAAGGCAGCACAATCGCCTCAAGGGACAGTCCAACAGTTCAAGTCTGTGGGCGGCTACTACGGTTGCAGGCTATATGAGAAAACATACTTCTCTTCGAAAGACATCGTCCAGTATTTCATGTAAGTAACGTATCATGACAATCAGGGTGAAGTCTTTGTACTGCACTGTGTTGCACATACATGTTACAAGGTCGATCTTGTGGCGCAGTGGGTAGAAGTTGCCTCTTTTTTTGACAATCTGCTGTTGTGTGCAGCTGTGCAAGGTGTAAGAGCCTGCTTGACAAGCCGGTTATGCTTCCAAACTGTGGTCATAAGGTCTGCAGGTGAGTTAGAAGATGCTACCTCGAAGAGGTTGTTGACCGTTGAAGCTGTGGCTGCACCCCCGAGAGTGCTCCTCGTTGGAAGTTCCACAACATTCTCATGCTTGTCCGAGATTATCCCCATTCATTTTCACCTGATTCTGCGTTCCTGCCTGCGCTTGATGTCCCTACAGGAATGTCTGTCACATGTGAAATGTTCGCAGAAAATGGCGTGAAGGCTGAACAGAAGACTTTGTTGCAGAGGGTGCGCTCAGGGCGATGATGACAAAGCTACAAGCTGTTGCCCAAAATGTCAAGGAAGATTCTTCAAGAATAAGATACTCGCCATCGAGGGATACGATCGAATAATGAAGAAAATGAAGCGCTGGTGTGTGAATGCTCTCGGATACGATGAAGAAGAGGAGGCGATTGTGCCGGTAAGCCACTTCCCACACTTTGCAGGAACTCGTGTTGGTTGGCGCCTTGGGCAACCAGCGCAGCCCGGCCTGTTTGAAATCCAGTTCATTAAGATGAGTTTTTTTGGCGTCCGATGGATGCCATGATCAGCAACTGGGTTGCTTCTTGTCGAGTACGGTTTTGCCTTACCCAGCTCTGATCAATTGCGCAGAGAGTTGTCGAGGCAATTGCACAGCTAACCACGTCTCCATATCCTTGTTTGAAGGATCCTGAATCTTGCAGTTTCAAGGGCTATGGCCGATTCTTGGCCGAACATGAAAGCACATGCGGGTTCAAGGTTGTCACATGCACCTTGGGTTGCAAGTCGCAACTGTGGAAGAAGGACGTTGAAGCGCACGCAGACCTCTGTAGCTATGAATGTTCAGCATATGCTTGTCGGAAGCTTGTTCTGGCCAAACATATGGAGCATCATAAAAAGGTGAGCGATTTGGTTTCAACGGCAATCAACAGATGAGTCGTCTCCTTCCGCAAAGTGCACGGTTTGCCTTTGACTTGTCTCGACCAAGAAGGATCTACTCGTAGAACCCGATACTTGCTTGGCCAGCTTCTCTTGCAATTGAACACGGAGTCAATTCCAGCGAACTTTTCAGCAGTCGAGTATGGATGGAGTACCAAAAGGGGAAGTCGTTGATATTGAGTGCTCGGATCTCCAATTGACGCTTTTGGATCCTTCTCAACAGGAAGAGTGTCCTGCCACGGTCATAAGTTGCCCGATGACCAGTGAAGGGTGCACTGTATCCGAACAACGCCGGTATATGCACGGCCACACCGAAAGTTGTCCCTACATGAAGGTGAAGGACAAGCTAAGCGAGCTCAGCGAAGCGAAGGCAGAGATTGAAAAATTGAAGCGGATGGTAAGATGCGCATTGCAATTTACTACTTGTAGTCAAAGACCATGTGACTTGCTGAAGATTGCACTCATGAGATTGTGAACAAAGGTGTTGCTCTTGTTCTTCCTCTTTTTGGTATTTATGTTGCCGAAACGAGCAGCATGATCCTTCGGTTATGAAACTTGAGCAGATAAAAAGCACTAACCTTGATTCGAGCAGGCTTGAGGGCATCTGAACAAATGCTTACTCTCAAAACTCGTGACCTTTCATGCAGCTCGAGACGAGCACGCCAGAGAAGGTAAAAGAAGAACCCATCGTGAAACGTCTAAGAAGCGGAGCTACGAAACGAGAGCCGTTGTAGTACTTTACAATCATTGCCTTAGTCTGGTGCATGTAAGTTACATCGACAATCTATTTTTAAGGGTCGAGCCGGATGCAGATGTTTTGTTTACCTTGTAGTTGCTGTCGTCCAATGGTCTTGGTGGTATGGCTGAAAGACCACCAAAATTGGGCAGATGCCAACGTACCTCCACACTGATTGTAGTTGAACCAATGCAACAATCTGCTCAGGTTACGCCCTCTAAACCCACTGACTCGCTGAGCAGTGCACAGGGCCGCACGGCAATTAGGGGCTTACGTGAGGAAAAAAGAGTTTGTGCAATGATGGCCGTCAGTATAAGCTCCAAGGATCAGATTGGTTCGCCATGCGACCATGAGTTAGTCAGAGATCAACCTGCGTATAAGTACCTGAGCCTGGTACGTGTACCCGCTGATCGACCTGCACACATGGGCCCAGCATGTGACTATGGAGCCACATGTCGAATCACACTGATGAGGCGAGTGACTAGCGCCACTGAAAGATAAGCATGCTGGCACTAGCTTGCACATATGGGTGACGTACAGTGCAGCGCATACGTTAAGCAGCCCCTTGAGTCACGGGCCATCATCACACCCGTTGAACATTATTCGAAAGATCGATGGTGCAAGCTACCTTGACATGTGGGTACATGCAAGATAGGTGATACAATTTGCAATATGCACCGCGCGGACCTGGCCATGCAAGGGATTTATGGACGAGAATTGGACGGTGCCGCCATGTGACCACACAGGCTTGCCTGGCATGTTGGCAAGTGACCATACTAGAAGCAGCTAGCCTGAATGATCGCGAAGCATGGTTGCATGAATTTACCAAACTACGTATATACACTCGCGCGTTAGTATACGGTCGTGGTTCAGCTCTCTGTACATAGGGCGGCCTAAACGCTTCGGATTGCATAGCTTGGCTACTTGTCTTGCAGTACCTAGTGGTAGATTAATTCAAAACAGATATGATTGGCAGGCGGGTGGATCGAACGGCAACGATCTAGATCAACTTTCCCCTGCAGGCCCCAGACGGCTGCTTGGAATCACGTGCAACACGCTACAAGCTCAAGAGACTCAGTTCGATCAAACTCTCGGATACGACCATCTGAATGAGAGGACCGCATGTTCACGATAAGTTGAGCCCAATCGGCCTATTGAGGACAACGTTTACTAGCAGACACACCACCTTTGAAGAGGGTCCCTTGCCATCGTCTAAGTTAAGTCTGTGTCCTACAGGCCAAGTCAAAGCAAGTTCTCTTAGAGCCTTGATTCTAATTCTGAACCCCGTACAGCCTGCGTGACCTTTGACACCGGCCGCTTCCCAACATGCTGACTGATAAACTTGGCGGCCTCTATCACTTTCTCAATATTTACATTCGTTTTTATCCCCAACCCGTTCAACATATACACGACGTCCTCCGTAGCCACGTTCCCCGACGCGCCCTTCGCGTACGGGCAACCCCCCAGCCCGGCCACCGACGAATCCACCACGTTGATGCCCATTTGGAGCGCAACTAGAATGTTCCCCAACGCTTGCCCGTACGTATCATGGAAATGCACCGCAAGCCGCGCGGTCGGCACCCGTTTTGCGACGGCTTCGAGCATCGGGACGACGCAGCCGGGCGTCCCGACGCCGATCGTGTCCCCCAAGGAGATCTCGTAGCAACCCATGTTATACAATTTCTCGGCGACCTCCGCGACTTTCTCGGGGGCCACCGCGCCCTCGATCGGGCACCCGACGACGCACGAGACGTAGCCCCGGACCGGAATTCCGGCGGATTTTGCCGCTCGGCACACGGCGGAATAGCGCTCGAGGCTCTCGACGATCGAGCAGTTGATGTTGCTCTTAGAGAAGGACTCGGAAGCGGCCGCGAAAACGGCGACTTCCTTAGCCCCCGCTTGAACGGCCCTTTCGAAGCCTTTCAGGTTGGGGGTCAGAACCGGGTAGCGCGTGTCGCCCCCGAAGCGAAGTGCGCGGAGGACCTCGGTGTGGTCGGCGAGCTGAGGTGGCACAAGAAACGATGTTACAAGGGGTTCTCCGCCCATCTTTCGTGGCTTTTTATTTGTGTTGTTTGACGCTTCGCTGCAATTCAAGGGTGGGATATGCGGGGTAAACTTTGGACGTCTGTTAATTCTGTCTGTTCAACTGTAGTTTTAAGTCAAGCCAGGACCTCGAGCGAAAAGGAGATCCGAGCCTGCAGTACAAACAAGCGTCCCTGCACTGCGTGAACAGGGCGACAGAAGGCACAGCAACCGTGTCATGCCTGCATGAAGCCCGTTCAGCTTCTTTGAACGAGAAGCCGCCGTCTGGTAAAAGAAGGTACGAAATGGCCGCACACATAACTAAGAGGCCGCTTGCAATAAGCGAATGGCCGCATAAGTACACGGGTGAGCACACAGAGTGATGAGAAGTGCTTGAATGAGCAAGTCGATCGAGCTGTCAGTATGGTCGGGCACGAAGAAAAGCGAGTAACAAGGATGGCAGCAGGTTTACGAGATTTCCAGAGATCCTATGTTGAAATTCTACACAGCACAGACTGCGGTCTGAACGTTGCGGGCACCGGAGACTGAAGAACAATCAAAGTAGATGTTCCTTCTTCATGGAACGGAGATACAGAAGACCATATGTTCGGAGAAGGTGTACGTCACCCCAGCAGCGATGCAAAGACATCAGAAGAAGTCACTGAGGGGCTGGCTTCTCAAAAACCGGCAAAAAAATTCCGTGTCGTGGAATCCGTTTGCCAGAGCAGGTCACTCTCAGTTTGGTGGGGCAGGAAAGAAACTGTACAGCGTAAGTGACATACAGCCAATGCGGAAGAAACGCAGAGCATAGGGACCAGCAACTTTCAAAGCACTAAGGGTTGGCACCCAAGAAGCAAGCAAGCGGGCCAAAACCTCTGGATCCACAACGGCTGCAAGCTCCCCAAAACTAAGACCCTTCACCCTAAAGTACTGAAACCCTGAAAGCCTCACTACGACCCTGCAAAGCTTCTTCAGGCAATACTTAAGTGGCGTCTCCTGGAGATGAAAAGCCCAAGAAACACCGAAAGTCGCTCTAGCAAATCATAGGTTTGAAATTCCTGCAAGCTCACATCATTGATAATATGTGTTGAGCCCACCTGGAGGATCTGTCTGGGCAATACAAGGCTTACGAAAGACTGGACTTGTTTAGAAAGTCAAAACGTCAACTCTACATGTTAGAGATACTGATATTCTCGTGCCATGAATACCAGGGTCCCATATTTTGCATTTCGCCATCCAGGAGGAGGCGGTGTCGCCAGATATTGGCCGTTCGATTTTTGAAGACCTTTCTCGATCGGACGATCGCGGCGGTCCGACGTGGAAAAGTGCTCCGAAAAGTGCGGGCACTGTTTACCAAAAGTGTCGCGGTATGTACCCAGTATGCTACTTGGTGAGAGCCAGGATATGCGGAAAGCTGCCACGTCAGAAACATCCCTCTACAAGCCACGGTTCAAACCGGCACTCCAAAATAAGAACACCCCAGACTCGAAATGTAGAAAATGGGACCCTGATATGAACGGCACGAGATTGAGAGATAAGCTTACCTGGGGAATCCACTTTGGAGATACAAAGCTGGTGGCTTCAACCACGGGCAAGCCCGCCTCCGCGAGGCGCTCGATGAGCTCCACCTTCACCACAGTTGGGACGTGCGTTTTCTCGTTCTGGAGACCGTCGCGGGCCCCTACTTCTACAATTTTCACGTACTGCGGCAGGTGCTGGAAGAGCTGCCAAGCAAAGGAACCAGCGGGTTAACGTCATGGTGATTAAAGATTTGGAATTGCTAAGAGGGGTCCTGAAAGACACGAAGGCTTGGGACGCTTGTGAGCAACCTATGACTCCAGGAAGCATTGCGACGGAAAGTCAGGCTTTGGTGAGGGGTCCTGTGAAGGTCAGGCGTTTCTACACGGTTGCATTCGTGTTAATGAGCAAAGAACACCAAAATGCTGAGGTTTTTGAAAAAGGTCGGTGAGGGTCTTCGACTATACGCGAGTGAAAAAGCGGTGTCAAATGATGCGCTGAGAATCATTGACTGTTTCCGGAAGCGTATCTTGTCACCTTGAAAAGCAGCGAGTAATTTAACGATTCATAATGGAAGACTATCACTAGTGTCTCAAAGGCATGATGGAGGGGCGCCGTTCTTTAACAAAAACTTTCTGTATAGGACCAGAACTAGTCTTGCCGTGAGTCTAGCACTCTCTGGGCAACGTTATTCTTAGGGATCTTCCCACAATGCCAAATGGCTCAAACAGCTCTTTTGAAAGGGATCCCCCAAAACACAACACAATGGGGGCATATCATAGGTCGCACATTTCCCTTCACTCTGTTCCACACCTCAACAGTTTCAACCTCAAACCCCACTGACACACCAGAACAGCTCTTGGCAACAGGAAGCGATCTGAGGTTGGTCCCATGTAGTCCATAACTGCCACCTGTCGCAGACGGGACAAAGAGCTGACGCTGGCATAAAAGACAGGGATCCCTCAAACCCAAAGAAAGGGAGTATTTCATAGGTTTCAGTCTACTTTTAGCTCAAAAGTCTCAACATTGAACCTCAACGACATTCCAAGACAGCTGTGAAGCCATACAAGGTCAGTTCCATGTAAGCCGTATCTGCCACCTCTCACATGATGTGACAAAGAGGAGCTGACGCGAGAATGAAATTCCACCAATTCGACGCCCAACGACAACTCAGTTCAAAGCTGTCTCTGTATTCAAAGATTTTAGAACCCCTGCATTCAAGGGTTGTAGAAAAGATGATTCAAAAATAGCCAAAAGGCCAGAGAAGAAAGAAAGACAAGAAAGGAAGGCAGTACCAACCGGGATCCGAGATGAGAGTCCGCTTTCCCGCAGCTTCATTGCGGTTGCGCTCTTTGCCTGCTCCCCCTCAGCCCCCCCGCACACGGCTGCCTCTGCCTCCGCCACAGTATGCCGCCTCCGCCCATTCTGGACCTTTGGTTCTTTGACACCGTTTGCTGAGACAGAGAAAACTCTGCCCATAGAAAATGACCTTCTGTGACTCCCTGAAGCCCCTTCCTTTTGGTTGGTGTCAAAAGTTGCCTGGGTTGCCCCCCCAGCTGCAGAAGCTTCTTGGCATTGCCTTGCTGAGTTCTCCACGCCGCCCCTACTTTGACACAAGGCCGGCATGTGGGCTGGACCCTCAGCCGGCGGGGAAAGTTGTGTCAAGGCCCCCAGGAGGGCCTGTCGGAGCTGGGCAGGCCTAATGGCTCTCAGTGAGCACAGCATCTCTGAGGCTCCAGCATGGGGGCCGGCAAGACCTAACCCTAATGCTGTCGGTGTATGGGGTCCTTTGTGCTTCTTATTTGGGGGTCAGGTACCAAACCCTAATGTGGACGCGTAATCTCAGTGGTTTTTCTAGGGTTATGAAGCAGGAAAGAAAAGTTTAGGGGCTGTAGGTGGGAAATGCTGCTCTTCAAAGCAGACGGCTCTTAGTGCAGGCACAAAGTAACAGCGAAAGCCCTTGACAATGCCACTACTGCGCCCACGTATTTTAAAGCCCACTTTCCAGACAGCACATTAAACAGGAGACCCTGAAGAGCCACCAATGCCCTCATGCAGGTCACTGAGCACGTGAACCTCCCGCGTCCACTGTGCAACCCCCTCTCATGCAGTCTCCTTAGTTCAAACTTTCAAAACGTTTGCTTCTCAAAACTTTCTCAGTTTCTTGAGTGCTCAGTGCATCTTCCTGCGACTCCGAATCCGAGTTCAACTTGGCTGCGCTGCCACCAGAAGCTTCGCGCGCGCGTGGTACCTACAACCAAGTATTTCATAGGTACCGCGCAAACGACGACCGGTCCAAACCGGAATGCGGACTGGTGCAGACGGAAGACTGCACGAGACGAGAGAGAACCGCACAGCATGACGCAGCAACACTGACAGGGTTGCCAATGGCCATGCTGCTGAGTCGGCAGCAGCTTTTCTGCTGACCTCACGTACTTAGTTCTTTCGAGGAGGGGCCTAAGTGCGCTGCACTGTCCCTCCCGCCTTTGTTCAACCATGGCGGAGAGGCGGGTGCAGGACGCGCCATGCGCTTGTTGCCCTCTCGCGGGGGGACAACGTTGGCCGGTGTTGATGCTCAGGATCGCACTCTTGTCGTCCTTGCTTTTCTGCTGTAGGGGGGCAACAGATGATTCTGATCGGTCGAGACATTCCACAAGGGATGGGTACTATGGTCAGGGACACCCACGGTCAGCAAAGGGTATTCTCGGGGGGGTGTTACCATTCAGGGGGGAGGGAAAAGCGGTGGAATCTGGGGGGGTGGAGGTTGAGCTGAAGCGTTCGGGGGGCGGGCTAGAAATGGAGCCGGACAGGTGGGGCGAGTTTGACCTGAAGCGCTTCAAGCCGGCTGCGGCTGGGAAAGGAGCGCAGCTACCGGGGGCAACAGCTGGCGAGGTGGGCACCTTTTGTTGGGCCGGGTTTGGAAGTTAGCTTGTCTCAAGTGTGCATGTTAAGATGCGAGTTGTTCACACGCGTCTCGTAAACGTAAGGTAAATGGCGAGTAATCAGTGGGTCCTTTTTGTGTCTCCCTGATTCTTCAGTTGTGCTGATAGAACGAGTGCGCATCTTGGGTGCTCCTTTGCACTGTAACGAGGTGCCTAGTTGTAGTTCGGATGCCGCCTTCAGCATTTGTTATTTTAAGTACCATAGGGTTGAGCAGTGTGTCGCTAGGGGCATCCAGCGGCTAGAGCAATGTCCACAGGCTACGACAAGCTGGTTGTTTTCCGTCAGCTACTTGCTGTGTTTTTGTTTCTAGGCCTCAAGCGATAGTCGGTTCTGCTTCAATATTGCTGCTGATTTTGGAGCAATGGGCATGAGCATGGGTATGATAAAGTAGCCGCTCCTTTCTACGTTCTCCTAGACACTTTGTTCTAACGCATTGTCATGGTGATTATTTCTCCTCGCTCGTGTTTGTCAAATTGACTCGATCCAGGTATTGCCGCCATAGCCAAGTATTTCATGCAGGTCAATCCGAGTTCGATTTGTTTGTAGCTTTTGACCAGCTACCTGTAAGCTGTTCAGCTTCATTTAAGATTCTCTTTTTGCCACCCGGCCGACAGGCATGTGGCGGTTTTGTTGACCTGGAGATTCCATGCTGCAAATAAGCCTGTCTCAGCGGGTCTGTATCAACCGAGTCGGTACGAGGTTCCTCAAAGCTCTGTCCTAGCTCTTGTGTACAGCAATTGCGTAACTAAGAGAGCAACGCAAGCCCTCACCGTGAAGAAGCCCCCCCACTTGATAGCTGCTTCTTCTACTGAGAAAGTTGCCTTGTTCCTGCTGCCAGGTTGCTCCCCCCGCTACTATCTTTTTGGAGAGCCCTGCGGGGCTTGAGGAGGCGACCAAGTATCCCGTCAACATCTCGGGCACGTATAAAGGTGAGAGAACGTGGAGCGAGATGTTGGGGGGATTGCAGACCACACTTCGCCTTGGCAGGTTTTCGCCTTTTAGCCCCCCTTCTTTAATGCTTCAGCTGCTCTTTCAACAGAGTTGCATGATGCTTGCCGGTTCTTTTTTCCAGCGGTAGTGTCGCTCTCTTCAGAACGCTTTGTGGGTGATGCCGCATCAAGTCGCGCCTTTCGCTTGTAGGCCTCGCGCCTTAGGACATGCTAGCCCCTTCGTGTCCTTCTTACATTGTTTCTTACATCGTTACATCGTTTCGTGGGCGTCGACGGGTTCTGGCGCATTTACGTCTGTTTCCCAGATTGTGAATCTTTGTTGCTTCTCTTGACCTTTTTTTTTTTCTGGTGGCTTCAGGTACCTGGGAGGTCCAGGGCAGCAACACCTCGCTGCGGTTTCCGGACCTCCAGAAGAGTACGGGGAACATCATCTTCCAGCTCACGAGCTCGCGCACCGCCGAGCCCGAACTTCACTATGTGCACGTGAGTCTGCTTCACTTACCATCCATAAAAACGGCACTCTCGAACCCTTGGATATGCAACACACCCTGATGCAGTGACTCAGAAACGTACTTATGCTGTAGGTATGCCAAAGCTGCCTGGAATCGAACTGTGTTTTCTTTCGAAGGGGCAGATGTGGTGTATTTAGTTTGCAAGTCCTTTGTAATTTTGTTCCCATGCTGACTGCAGGGCGAGATTGTGCTGCGCGACGGGAGTTACATCAGCGACGGCGACGTGCACATGAAGCTCGAGGGCACGTATGTGCAGCGCTTTGGGGAGCTGCGGATGGTTCTCAGCAGCAACGGGCGGGACGAGGACGGGGGGCGCCTTTCTGACGGAAATGAAGGGGGGGGAAAAGTGGGAGCGGGGCTCGGGCCGTATCAGCTGGGGATGCGAGAAGGGGGACGCGAGCGGCGGAAAGCAGGGGGCAAGATGGATATCTACGAGTTGGCGCGCAACTGCAAGATTAGGATGACGACACAGGTGAGCGAGACGTGAATGATTTTGCAAGTTCTGGCCACTCTCGTGCACAGAGCGTGCGCTGTGCGCATACCGCGAGGTTGAGTCTCGGCCAGGAGTTGTCCCTTGCTTGGAAAACATCGGTGTAACTTACACTAATCAAGGCATGTGACGTAACAGAGCCGAAAGGCAGACAAGCACCGAGCTATGGGAATCGAATCCACAAACTTCTCTCCTCCTAGTGTTTCTTTGCGTGGAAGCTGGTGAACGGCGCTGAACAAACTCTTGCTTTTTAACCAAGAGTTGAGCAGCAGTTGTTCCGTTGACAGAGGAACAACAGTCTGGACGGCAACGGATGACCGGTGTAGACAAAGACCACATCTTTCCTGGAAATTGATACAACGTTCAATGCTTCACCCCCAAGTTTCCCACCTGGCTAGTAAACGGCCGGAACGAGTACGAGGTAACGGGCAAAGCTCTAGGGTGGGCGTCTCTTGAGATTCTGAGCGGCAAAGATATATCCGCTGTAGACAAAGATGTGAAACGCTCTCGAATTCTGAATTATTGTCCATTTTTCCAGGTTGCTCCCCTCGCTTGGAAGCTAGTGAACGTCGTCAACGAGTACGAGCCCAGCTCCATGGTCGGCGTTGTCTAGACCTCAAGCGGCAAGGAACGATCTGCCGTAGATAGACAAGTTTAAATACACTGAAAGTTGACCAACCTTCTGTTGCTTCCCCTCCCAGGTTTTTCCCCTTTCCTGAAGCTCGTAAACGGCGTCAACGAGTCTACCTCTATGGTGGGCGCTGTCGACATTTTAAGCGGGAATGGACTAGACAAAGAATCAGACACGTTCGACAATTAACCATTTTCGATCGCTTGCCCTCCCAGGTCTCTCCCCTTTCCTGGAAGCTAGTAAACGGCGTGAACGAGTACGAGCCGAGCTCCATGGTCGGCGTTGTCAAGAGCCCGCGCGGCGAGGAAGGCGGCGCGTGCTTTGCGCCGCTCGCGCTGAACGTGACGGCGGTAAACCTGGAGGCGTATTACAACAAGGCGATCAACTACACGCTGATGGTCACGTTTGTCTCGTTCGTGCAAGTGCTGCTGCTCATCCGGCAAATGGAGTATACCAACACGCAGTCGGTGAGTGCTCCTCGAATGGCTTGGTTTGTTAGTGTTCGTGTTTTTGCGCAGCCTCTTGAAATGGGGCGCTCGGTTTTGAGCAATCTTGTGTTGCTCATCCAGTAGATGGCGTTCACGTACACACATGTCGGTGATTTTTTTCGAGAGATGGTAGTTTTGCTGAGTTTTCATGCGGGTAGCGCCTGGAAGTGGAGCGTTCGGGTGATAATGAGCGGTCTTGTATTTCTCGATCGACAGCTGGGTACCAACCCATTTGACAAATACACATTGTGCTGCTTCTTAGATGGTTTCCTTACTCATCATTGTGCTAGTGCCAGGCACCTGATCTGAAATTTTGGGGCTCTCAAGCTGCTGTTTGCTTCTCACGGCCCTTCCTTCACCTCCTCTTCAATTGCTCAAGAGGGAAGGCTATTTTCTTTGGGTTCTTGGTTGGGAATCGAGGCAAATCGAGGGAATCGAAAGGACTTCTCGTCTCCAGCTCCCTCAAGGGCGCCATCTAAGCGTTGTAGGTTTTCACCGATTCATTTGAGTCACACCAACCTGGGCGTCAAGCGTTGCCTGCTACAGTGGGCCGCAAAATCGCAAGTCGTCTTGACCAAAACTTGACGCCTTTTTTGAACTGCAGCCTTCGTCTCTGCAGGGCGCCGCAAAAGTGCCACTGCTCATGGTGGGTCAGCAGATTTGAAACCATAACTTGACACCAGTTTCTAGGTCACCCTTTGTTTCCTGCAGGACGCTGCAAGAGTGTCGCTGCTCATGGTGGGTCAGCAGATGCTCCTTAACCCAGTCTTAAACCAGTGCTTAATTCACACTTCATCTTCCTTGTAGGGCGCCTCGAAAGTGTCACTGTTCATGGTGGGTCAGCAGATCTTGAATCAATCTTGACACCAATCTTGACATCACGCTTTCTCCCCTGCAGGGCGCCGCGAAAGTGTCACTGCTCATGGTGGGTCAGCAGGCCATCATGGACGCGTACCTGTGCCTGCTGCACCTGACAGCTGGCATCGTCGTCGAATCGCTTTTCAACGCGTTCGCGACCGCTGCGTTCTTCAAGTTCGTGATCTTTTCGATCTTCGAAATGCGCTACCTGCTGTCGATCTGGAAGGCGCGCCGGCCCGCGAGCACGGGCGACGGTTGGGAGTCGATGCGGCGGGAGCTGTCGATACTTTACTCTAGATTCTGTGAGTTGGCCATTCTCTTAAGTTGGCTCTTGTGTTCGGCACTGTTTCTGTTGGCTCTTTCGAAGGGAAGATTGTCACTTAGGTGCTTTTGGGTGTCTTCTCTTCAAAGCTTCAGAATACGCATGCGTCTGCCCAGCTTTTCTGGACCAACTGCAGCTGACTTGATGTCCAGCTGCTATGTTTTGGAGTTCTTACCAGCTTCTGCGAGTGCTGTGCCGCTGAGTGCTTCCGTTCTCATCTGAAACGACTCGAAAGCAAATGTCTGTGAACCCCCCCCTAAACCCTTACCCGCTAACTAAACCTCAACCTCTCCCGCAGACGGGTTCCTGCTGGGCGGCATCCTGATCATGTACCGCCTGCACGCGATGCTGAAGCACATCCTGCTCCTCTTCTACGCCTTCTGGGTGCCCCAAATTATTTCCAACGTCATGCTCGACGCGCGCCGCCCGCTGCACCCCCACTACATCCTCGGCATGACGGCCACGCGGCTCGCGATCCCGCTGTACACATTCGGCTGCCCCAAGAACTTTATGAGAGTGGAACCCAACCCGGGGTGGTGCGTCGGCCTTGCCTGGTGAGCATTTGGATGGGCTCATTCTCACTGCATAGCGCAAGCACTGTCCAGACGAGCAAAACTTTGCTTTCCTCCTTCGCTTCCTGCAGGGGATTGGAGCGAGAGACGCCGTTTTAATGTTTTTTGGAAGTTTTGACGCTGTTTTACATCTTCCCAAAGTCAGTGTCGGGCGTTTGACATCGATAGTCCTTTCTTGATAGTCATTTCTTGCTTTTGCCTTGTAGAGATTTCAGATACGAAAACCGAAGGTATTGCCGGGTTTGGGCGTCGACCGACTTTTACTAGACCAGAAGTTTTCTGGTAGTGTATTGGACCCTTCTATGGTTCGGTGTACCCTATTCAGACACCGATTTCCGTATTGGCTTGACGCTCAAGAGTTTGCTCTCTGGTCGCTCTTAGGGAACGCTTCGACTGGTTTTCAAGCACTTCGAATGATTAGATTGGGGTTGCGAGACATCATCCATATCTGAAACTCGCGTCCTCCCCTCTTCGCAGCTTCCTGTGCGGTCAGGCAGGCGTGCTGTTGCTGCAGCACTACTTCGGCGCGTGGTGCTTCATCCCCAAGCGCTTCCGCCCGGAAAAGTACAGCTACTTCCGGCGGATCGAGCGGGCCTCCATCCCTGGGGGGGAGGAGGCGGGCCACCTAGACTGCGTTATCTGCATGGCGCCAGTTGACGCTGCCCCCCTCTCGCGGCAACGCATGGTCACGCCGTGCGACCATTTGTTCCACTCTAGTTGCTTGGAGAAGTGGATGGATATCAAGATGGAGTGCCCGACGTGCCGGCGGCAACTGCCGCCCTTGTAACATAGAGAACGGCGTCAGCATGATGTCAGAATTGACCGAAGAGATTGGTAGTTGTATAGGTAGAGTGCGAGAGTCCCCATTAGAGATAACAAAACGCGATGAAGACACGTCAATAAGCTTGCCTTGCCTTACGATGTTGTTGAGATGAGATTTGAGACGCAGCTCGTGAGGCTGTGCGTCTCGCCAAGTGAACACTGTTGTTAATTTGTTGTTCTTCACAGGTAAACGATCGCAGATGCAGCTTTATCAGACTATGTGCATGATTCGAATCAAGTGGTGCCAGCGCTGCTTGAAGTCATCCCGTTGCATGTTGCCAACATCCGCCATCCAAGCCTTACATGCGCCGCTACAGAAGACATAATTCAAGCTGCATGATTATTCGTCCGCGTTTTTGTATGTGCACATCTGTCTGAACAAACGGATGAGCTTCATGAGATTAATGTTCTGGCAGGAGCAGCACATGCATGTGAGTGCAGCTAGCATGCAACCGCGGGCTCTCGATCAGTACAAAGACTGTACAGGTGTGTCGAATCCGTCACACAAAATTATACATGGCACCATGCGGGTTCCAATTGGACAAGGCAGTCATAATGCGTGCAAGCTGCCAACTGATTACACTTATTACAAGTCTATAGCTCTGTTCCTTCGCATCCAATCAGTAATACGAGTAACCCCCATAGTGCGTTGTTGAACCACAAGCGAAGCATAACAGATTATTCAGAAAGGTCACAATCCAGCATCTCGCCATAGCTCAATCAGTGACCCGGTCAATCATACCATCGTTGCATCAGAAGATTTTGACGGCCCTGGGCCAGTTTCAGGACATGGAAGGTGAGAGAGTGCTCCTGTACTACATGCATGCACTTCAAAGGCTGCAAATGGACTTTGAAACCAGACAATCATGGAAAAGTCTAGGTAATGGCTCACATTCAAAAGAATTCTTATCAAAAGCAAGCCCTCAACGATCTCAAACATAGCGACCATTGACTGTGCTCCCAGCAACAACACGTCCATTTTACGCCTTTCTCAACGCCGCTTGCAAGTCAGCCTCCAACATTTCTATGCATCCAAAGCTTCCGCCCGCTGCATCGCACTCTTCACCTTGTCCTGCGCCACTTTACACCGCGCCAGAAGCGTATCGTACTTCCGCGCCGCCCCTACTAGTTTCATATCCATGGCTAGCAAGTTCACGTACCGGCCTAGCTCCGTTAACTTCTCGTTTGTTTCCCCCTGGTCCCTAGCCTTGTTCATCTCCTCCTGGATCCTCTCTATGACCACCTCCGCCGAGGCCTCCATCGAGCTGCCCCCGTCCTCAAACGGCCGGTCCAGCATCCCTCCTAGGAGAAACAACAACTCAAAAATGACTTCCTTAGGAGTCTTTGACTTTGCCTTTTCCTTCCTGAGAACATACACCGGTTCATCCGTCATCCCCTCCACTTCATCCTTCAGCGACCATGGTGCTGATGAGTCGGGAGCGCCGAGCAACCCCGCCGCTGCGGCTATGCTCGCTTGCACTTCGGCATCGGAGATGCCTTCTTCCCCCTCGTCGTTAGCAGGGGCCGCCGACGGACTCTCAGGTTGCGTGCTGCTGCTCTCGGGCGATGCTTTGATGGCGGTGGTTCGACGAGCTGTCCTGGAATGACATCCCTTTCTAGTTACTGGCTGGTCGCTGGCATCCTCAACTGAAGCCAGAGACTTTTCAGCAAAGAAAGCGGTGCCTTGAATCTCCTGCAGAAAGACAGACCCTTTGTATCTATGCCTTGCGGGCTGTCTGCAAGCGCAGATGAGTCTGACGGGCTGGCAGGCAAAGGAGGATGAGCTTTGGGAAAGAGCTACGGCTGGCTTTAGTGGCATGAACGTTTGGGAGAGCTGGCAGACAGCATTGCTGTAGCCCATCATGCACGCCCTACACGCAAAACAGCGCAAGCCAATGGCGTACCAAACACTGATGGTGGCGTTCAACTAGTACCAGAACTGCTGCACGAGGGAGTGGCGTGACCGCAACGATAAGTGAACAGGCTTGGTCCTGTTGCTTGCGCCCCAGTTAGGTACCAATTCGTTTCTGAAACTCTCGAGTCTTATGCAGGCAGCAGGCAATGGCTGGCGACTGCATTCACATGACCATGCACATTGCAAACCTCAAGCTAGGAGACTCGAACTCTGGAGAGTTGGAGAGTCGAGACTGGAGTCTGGAGTCAACTCTGGAGTGTGGAGTCTGGACTCTTCTCCACTGCCTAAGAGAGCTAAGAGATTTTGCGATTTTGCAGGATTTGTTTTGAAGGCAAAGATGATCATCGAACCGTTGCATATTCACCAAGTCGATGAATCGACGGTTGGCAACCTCCAGAGTCCACATTCCCTACGGTAAATCCTTTACTAAATCTGCAATGTTCAATGACTGAGCCTCACCCAGGACTGAGAAACTAGTAGTTACCAGTAACGTCCCCAGCGGCAGTCATACTCACCCCTGCCTCTGGCCATATTATACACGTACGGTAACATCAAGACATCAAACAGAGGTCAATGTCTGCAGATATTCATCTACACAAACATTCATAGATACACTTGTCCTCCGAAGAATCCAGTCTTGCTTTATCGCTTGATATTCAACCGGTAGTGCACCACAAAGGTGTGCATTCCGATCGTCATCCACATCGTCGTCCATGGGCAACGATGGAGATAGATGAGAACCATACAAGTGGCAAGCCAACGTACAGGGATCGTGCAGCGGTGACTGGTTGCAACTGAGGGAATCGAACCCTGGCGACAGGGTGCTGTACAAATCACTCGATCAATGGATTGCATCGAGCACTTGGTTCAAAGTGTCACACTCAATCATTGTCTCGTCTGAATAAGGTTGTCGCACAAATAAACGACCTTTGCGTGTGCAAGAGCTAAGTTCATATTAGCATACAATATTTAGAGAGCAACAAAAGTTCCCTTGCCAACCGCTCGAAAGGGTGGCCATTGTTCCTCCAATCAATGTGAGCAAGGCGATAGCGCGAGCATGTAATGCCAAGGTGTAGTGCACATGGACGTGGGCTGCAGAAGAGATAAGAAACCGGAAAAGGCACACATGTAGTCACAAGCCTGCCGCTGAGCTTGATGTCAATGTGTACCCAAAAAAATCGTGGTCACTAACTTCAATATGCTCATTCCCAAAAGCTCCAAAACGGGTTGTCTCAAAGCCAGCAAACGTCTGCAACCAGTGCACATCCTCGACGATGAAAATTTTTCCAGTGCGAGGTTTGACGACCGAAACTGAACCATCTGAAAAACAATTGAGCTGGAGAATTTCTGTTGCAGATGTAGGAGTGAATCTATAGGGTTGTGAGCCCGCATGTCCAACCTCAAAAAGAAGCACAAGCTTGACGAGGAGAGATTATCGCAACACCACACAGGGGTTTGAAACAACAATGCGAGCAGGATGCAACTTGCCAATTTGGACTCCTGGTTACATAGATTTTAATACACTCTACTAGCGATTGCAAAGAGCAGGTTTCCAATCAACCCATTCGAGTTACAGACACACAGAACTTTCACTAAGTTGAACCCTCCATCGGCAGACTCAGGAATCAGGATGGCAAGATATGAGCTCAAATGCTACTAATCGGGACCTGCTGCTCCCTCACGCCCAAAGGTTTTACTCCCTTCTCATTGTTTGACTATGTGGATAAAGGCGCCAAAGCTGCAGCAGCAAAACTTGCGACATCCCGAACCTAGCCCTGGCAAAGAGATTGCCTAGGCCAGCCAGAGTGAGCAGAATCCAGCCAAGTGAGCAGTACTAAGAAAAGGAAACCCTGCTTTCCAAGGTCCAGATGAGAAGAAGAAAGAATACACATTTTTGATGTGCAAACCATTACCAATATCATGCAAAGCGAACGTGATTGCTAAAATGGATGGCTCTGAAGAATCCTGTGGTTTGACACCAACCTCAGAATACATTGCGCTCTGCACAAATGTTGTTGAACAGTCGTCCAAGCAGACGGGCCCCTTGCCTGACTGAAACCCAGAACTCTACATCAGCTTGCCCTTGGTGCTACTGCAAGACCAAAGCCTGGCCGAGTCCGTCCTCTGTACAAGTCCAGCCAAGGCAGTCTGCTGCACGACCCCTCCCCTTGCGCAGAGTTCTATGAATCCAAGACTTGTTGGCGCAATCTGCATGACTCAACCTGCTCTGTCCAACAGAAGACCGCCCAACCCATCGTCAGGCCGTTTCTACTTTGATCTCTGTCGCATCTTTCTGCGCTTCCTCTTGAGCCTACGCATGCGCTTCTTCTTCCACTGCAATAAAAGAACAGAGCTGTTCAGTAAAAGAACTGCAAAATGAGTGGGACCATTACCCAATAAGCAACACTTGCGTCACACTTGGCCTGAGGATTCTGCAAATATGTATGATGCTCGGGCATCCTCGCAATCATATTGCGGTACTCAGCAGACAAACTCATACACAGTCCAAGACCGCCAATGTGTGTCACGAGGACAGACCAAAGACCATTACCATTACCAAAATGGGGGTGTCTGTCAGAGGTTAACCATGGTGTGTGAGCCTTTCTTAGCTCCATGAAGCAATGCAAGACACCGTCCTATCATCAGAAACACGATGCACGTGCTTTGACTGCTGTCCTCTGTTGCTCCTGATACTACCCGCATCCATGAAAAATCTTCGAATGATCCTCCAAAGAGACGTTAAGTGGAAACGTATTTGCAGAATCTCTGCCCCTCCAAAACCCCAACCGATACATTTATATAAAGCACACGAAACTGCCAAAGAAGCCCCCCAAAAGCATCAAAAACCGGACAATGCCTGTAAGCACGCGCTGGAGGCTGACAGATTTATACTGTCACGCTCAAAATGGTGAATCCTCAGGGACCTGCAGTGACCTCAGGAGCAACACCAGAAACGGAGAGCGCTCACCTTCGCTCTCATGGTGGCCGCTTCCTTCCTCCACAGACTCGGGTTGGGAAAGAGGACGAGTCCTGCGCTCCTCCCTTGCTTTCCCAAGTCAAATCCTCTGCTGTATTGGTCGTCGCTTCCCCTACTTTGAGAGCTTTGCCACCCACTCTCACATGAAATGCCGACGAGGAATACAGGATGAAACGTAACGTATTAACTTAAACATGTTCTGGCGTTTCATTGCGAATTTGCTCACCTTCGGCGCTGGCGACATGGAACTTGAACTCAAGAAGTCAGCCTGCTTGCCACTGGATGCAGAACTTTCTGAGATTTTCGTCTAGCTAGCTTGAGCAGTGTCCCCCATGGCCAAACAAGAGTTTCATGCTGTTCCACCTCGTGCAACACAAGGATAGAAGATCGTCATTTCAGCAAACTGGATGCAAGAAGCTTCAATTCTGTTATGGAGTAATGCGAGACTGCATGACACGCTCCAAATTAGGGTTTCAGAATGGCCAGATCAGCCCTTGAGCAATTGTTTTTGGGAAGCCATGATAAAAGTCCATATAAAGTAGCTGTACAAAGCTGTGATAGTTTCAAGGATTGCCAGACAGCCAGCTAGTTGTTGGTCTACTGAATCCATGCCATGCTGGCCTCCCATGCTACCGTCCAAAAAGACTTCTGCAGAGAAACTTCGGCCCTATCCACCGAGAGTTCAGCATTTGCTCCCAAGGTCATTCTGCCAGGCAAAGCTGTGCCGACATTATTTCCCGTCAATGTGGGCTAGTACATGGATAAGTGATCTTAGGAAACTTCTTGAGGTAGCATGGAAGCAAGACTGAAAGAGAAGCAGGCCCTGTCTGAGGTGATCCGCATTGGGCTCAACAGGGCCCAAGACCTTGAGCTCCTCTGCCAGGTAGGCATGCTACTGTGCCCCCTCACGCTTAGAAATCATCGGCAATGCTGCTTATATGTATCTGTTAATGCATGCTACCTGTGCCCCCTGTGCCTTAGGGAACACTAACTATGCTGAGACAAAGGGGCCTGGCAGCATAATATGAATTTGCAGGGTATCTCCCATCACCTCCATTCCTGCTCCCTTTCATGGTCCATGAGCTGACAGCTTTGCAGCTATTAGTTCTTGGTTAGGGCATACTGTTCAATCGGACAAGGGACCTGAACGCATGGCCTTGTTCCCTGTAGCTAAGAGCCTTTCAGAATCAGCGTTTGAGCTTCACTGCTGCAGATAAGTTTTCCTGGCCATCTTGGCCTATTCCAAGCAAGGTTGATGCGCTTGAGTTGCCCACTTGCTTTTGATGGACGTTTAATGTGCCTCGCTGATGGGGCACAGAACTGTGCCATGCATGCCATAAGCACAGGGAAAGCAGCAACAAGATAGGAGGCGACAGTTTGCAAAGGTTGCGAATATCTGTGTCTTTCTCTTCAAGTTGGGAGCACTGCCCATAACGGCGCCGTACTACAACTTTGTACTTCAACTTTGAGTGTTCCTGATCCCTGTCAATGGAAAGCAAAGGCCCACATCATCTCAATGTCAAAACAGTTCCTTTTCTGCCAGATCAGGACGTTGGCTTTCGCAAGGAGTCCTGTAGACATACCGAAAGGTTACTCACCCATTCGCTTCTCTTTCTGCAGATCCAAAGCGCTGCCTTCGAGAACCCCTCCCTGGCCCGCCAGGTGGCGGCAGAATGCAATCTGCGGGAGGAGTGGCGATGCACGCGCGAGGCAGCCGTTCTGCAGCAGATGGAGGGGCTCAGCTTTGCGACAGCGGAGGAAGGTGAACTGAGGGCCACTTCGTACCTCTGCCCATGCTGCCAGGTAGATTGGGTCTCCATTCATGAAGATTGCCAAATCGCGGCTTTGCTTCGCGGCTGCTTCAGACGGTGTGGAAACTTTCGATTGTCTGCAGAAAGGCCGAACTCACCAGACCTCATTGTTTCAAGGTTGACGCCCCTCTCAAAGTCTGCAGAAGATGTCTCACTTCCGCTGACGTCCCCTAGGTCTGCTTCCTCTCTTCGTTTCGGCTGACGTTTTCTCCGTCCGTCTGTTGATTGCAAGACCTCGGTCATCTGCTTGCGGACAAGGCCCGCAGTCTGCTCCAGCGATCGCCTTCGGGCGCTTCTCTCAGGAGCTCGTCGGCGTCACTTAGAGCCCCATGCACCAGGGACTCATCTCCTTACCGAACTGCACGGCAGAATCGGAGTCCGCTGCAAATAAGGAACGGGCCTCAGAGTCCCGACGTGGGTCGGAGAAGAGTTTCTAAGAAGGATGCGAGGGTTTTGGAGGAGGGCAGTGTCAACCGCTCGGTAAGATCTGGCTCCACTTCGCTTTAAGACTCGATCTCAAGCGATGGGGACTCGATTCCGAACGACCGTCACTCTTACTACAGCAATCGAGCACGAAGCTGGTACAATCGCGTTGCAGATAGCCCATGTTTCGACTGCTATTTGTCTTGAAGACACAGTTCCGGTCGTACCGTTTCCCACGCGCTTGATAAATACTTTGAAGAAACATAAAGCTCTCAGTTCTTAGCGATATCAGACCCAACCAAGGCCTCTCGCAGGTGTCGCCTCTGTTGCGGGCGTCACGAGACCCGCAGGTCTTGGCCCTCGTGCAACTTCACAAGACGTTGCTGCATGGGTGAGCATATCTTTCTCGGTGGCCCTCTTGCGGCCAATTTCAGATTTTTGCCAATCAAGGTGGCAGCCTTGTCTCATCTACTCATTGTTTTGTTGCTTCGCTATCTGAAGGAGCTCTCGAGTCTTTTTAGTCTCTCTGCGGAAAACGCACCGGTGGAGCTTGATAGAGTCTTACAGATATTTCACAAAGCGTGGAGGTCACAGCGATCCGCAATATGCACGGAGGCAACCATAACTTTCACGACTGAAAACGGCGCTCCGCTAACAAGCTCTCGCCTCGCTGTGGCAGTCTAAAGAGGCACGCTGCCTGCGCCGGAGAGAGTGCGGCCCACGTCGCTCTAGAAGGTGCGCTCCAATCAAAGTTTCCCACTGTACATTCAGAGGATCCGAAGCTCTGTAAGGTCACCTGTCTCTTTCAGGGTCTCAACAGGCTTGTGCTCTTTCCTCGTCCGCTCTCTCACCTTGAATACAGTCTTTAAGCGCGCAGCGGCATCAGCCACGGAATCAGTCAGTGTCCTTGTGCCCTTTCACTAGTCTTTCCTGTGTTCTCTCTGAGTTGATTAAACTGATTGAGCGCCCAACGGCGTTAGCCAGCGAAATTTCTGCGGCTTCATGCCCTTGAAAATGCAGCCGGAGCTTCGTGCCTCTCTCCCCACGTGCGCAGTCACCACGATCAGATGCTTAACCCCGCCGTTCCACAACAAACCTTTCGCTCACCTCCCCGTCTCTGTTGCCACGCGCAGAACACGTCCGAGCGGCCCAGGCTCATTTTGCCGCCTCCCTCGCTGACGTCACCCAGGCGCTCGCTGACGTCAGCCCCGGCAGGCCGGAGTCCAAGCTCGGCGCAGCCGCCTTCGCGTTCGGAGACCTGGGCCTGCCCGCGGCCCTGGTTGCGCGGCTGGTAGACTTGAGGCGGCAGCAAGCTGCACGGACGGTCCAAAGGGGCGTGCGAAAATGGTCAAGTGATCGAAGGAGGGAAGCGGGAGAGGAAGAGGTGAGGGTGTGCTTGGCAGAGAAAAAGGATTCAGACTTTTGCGACCTGCTTGAATGGAAAAACCAGTATGTCGGGCCAGGAAAGAAGATGTGCCTCACCTTTGTCAGTGTGCGACCGCAATAAATCTGCATCGAAAAATTGAGCGCTTTTCGTGACGTAATAGGAGGACTTGTATGACCGTCCTGCGCAACAACCAGGTCCCGGCAGGCCGTAGCGATGCCGGATGGGCCCGACGGGAACTAGCAAGAGTATCAAAGACGAGTACTGCCCATATGAATCTAGTCTCTGTTGAAGATGGACCACAGCTCCAAGCGTTGTCTTTTTTCTTGTTCGTACAGCTTATCCAACGGCAAGAAGCCTTCCGACAAAATCGTGCCGCACAACGGATCCAGGACGCCTTCCGGACAGACTGGCGCAAGCAGCGGACGCGCCTCGCCGTTGTCCGTTCCGTCCGTTTGCGCACTTCCGCTGGAAAGATCCAGCGAGCGTTCCGTTGTCTGCTGCGCCGGCGGCGCGCGGCATGCAAGCACCTAGATAGAGTCGCCGCGCAAAGAGCTGCCTTGCGTCAATGGAAGGCCGATCGGAAAATTGACATTCTGCGGCAAAGAGCGGAATCGGCAGCATTGAAACGCGGGGAGGAGAAACGGAGGTGGTTCGCCGCTGTGCGAATACAGAGCGCGGTTCGCAGGATTTGGGCGAAGCGCGATGCGAGACGGCGGCGGTGGGCGGTGGGCGTGTTGCAGAAGTGGGCGAGGGGGTGGGGGGTGCGGAGAAACATGTGGTGGCACAGGGCCGTGAAGCAGATGCGGGAACGGCGGAGGGAGGCCGCCAGGTGGGCTTTCTGTGAACACTTTGCTGTGCACCCCGCGATCAGGGTTGGTAGTTCGTCTACGTAGTACGGAAGCCTCGCTTGTCTGCTTTCTGCTCGACCGATAATTCCATAAGGGCTTCGTTCTTAGGAGCGAGCGGGTCGAGAACAAAGGCCGAACGAACTCCGCCATCTTAGTCGTTTCTCGGCTCGCAGCTTATACCGTTGCCTGACGTTCGCGTAATAACGGACGGCTGAGACTTTGACACTTGTCTGCCCACTTCGACTTCACTGGGTCTCCAATATTGCGTTTACTTCTTCAAACCACAGAGCAGAAGCCTAGAACAGGCCAGCGCGCGATGCTGGGAACACGAAAGAAAGATTGACGAGAACTGACAATTGCAATCCCTCCATTCATGCGCAGAGTAAAGGCCCGAAAGCAGGCCATTGCGCAGAGTTGGACCGCCGCCGATCGCGCCCTCACCCGCCTGGCCGCGCTCCAAGCTGACGTTCGCCGCACGCGGGACGCGATCGAGCGCGAGAAGGCGGGGTTTGCGGCTCAGTGGGCGCGCTGGCTGGAGGGTTTGGAGCGAAGCGCGTCGGCGCAACCGCTTCCGCGGGGGTGGCTGCGGCAGAGAACTTCGAGCACGGGGAAGGAGGGCTACGTAAACACGAGAACGGCGGAGAGTCAGGTACGGTATACTTAGGGCTAGCTTTGCCGTGCTTGTCGGTTGGAAGAATAAAAGCCCTGTGGGGAGCGGGGTTCGCTGAATCCTGCTACAGCTCTAGAGGATGTTCAAGCCACGGATCTTGACAATATTACCGACACCCGGGTCTTCTTGTACCACTTTGCCTTCGAAGCGGTCCTCCATCGCTCGTCCTATCACATGTTCTGATGCCCACGACTTTCCAGCAATAGGCAATTTCTGACGGCCACGTCGCCTTTCAATCTTCAAGAAGGCTCGCAGTTTCATTTGAGACGAACTTTCATACGACCGTTTCCTCCGACCTTGACCGGTGTAATCCATTGAGAGCAGTCAGTCGTCACCGACGGTCTGGGAGGCCTGAGGTTCGTCCTAATCGCAGTCTATGGGGCTGGACGTATTGGAGCATTCGCCTTTGAGAGCCCCTGTCAGAATCCTCAGCGCTGCCGCTGCATCTGTGATCGCCTCATACTTACCACCGTCTTCCCTGTGTGTTGCGATTGTTTCTTTGCGGAACCGTCAGTCTGTGAATATATTGCGTCATTTTGATGTGTCCGAGGATGCCGTCTCATTCACCCTTTCATTCACCATGGGCTTAAGTTGCTGACGTAACCTCTGTCGTCATCCTGCAGGCGTTGCACCCGGCTCTCGTCGGCCTCCTTCCTGAAATTGAGGTGCAAAGAGCGAAGGGGCAGGAGGGCTTCCGGGCACGGTTGGCCGCCCTCGAGGCGCGGCTCGCTCCGCTGGAAGAAGCAGCCGAAGTAGAACGGAATGACGTTCTGAATATTGAAATGCTCCGCGCTCTGGTCACTTGTACATGATTGTACTTTGATTCGTCAATGAGAACTTCTTCCAGTCTAATTTGCAGAGCGCGTAGTCCAGAACTAGCACCATCGAAGCGCCACTATTTGCTAGCTTACCGTTTACCACGTGCAACTAAAGGTTCGTTCCGTAAGATAAACAATTACAGTGCAACCGCGCTTACGGACATATTCCCGTCAAACCGGAGCATATGTCCTGACGAGTCGTCTGCTAAGGAGTTTATCATTGTAATTGTCAACGGTTACATCCAGCATCCACCGTCCAATCATTTCGACGTCAAGGTGGCCTCCAAGTCGAGGCTTCTCAAAGGCGTACGCACGCATCAGGAGCATGCTAACTTAGGTTCGAGGACCATCCTTTCTCACCAGCTAGCTAGCATTCTCTCACCCTTTGGAAAAGGCGGCAGCCACAATTTCCATGCAGCATTTCTAATTCAAGCTTCAAGCTGGCGTCCATGCAATGAAGAATGTTGTCAGAATCGACATGCAGATCCGTTCTTCTGATCATATCTGCACTGATTCAATGGGGATGCACGTGGTCGTGCATTAGCCGTGGTTAGTGCGGCACGCAACCGACATGCACGCTGCTTTCATACTGAGCAAGTATCGACTACCAGTAGCGAAAATGCCATGATGATCTAGTTTTTCCGCGCCTTCGTTGCATGACGTAAGCTGCCAATCAAGAATGTTCAATGCACATGGAACGATCGACGCCGAGTGATGGCTCATCACGGTTGCAAGAAAAGTATCTGCAACTTTCAAACAAGAGTGGCGGCTAGGTGCGGCCATCACTTGGACTCAGTCAGGTCGAACAGTTCCAACGGTCCTACGTGGCAGGTAAAGGCTGTTGTCGGAAAGATATGCGCGCGCTGCTGGTGCTATAATTTGAGCCGTCGACTTGGAATGAGCTATTTCAAACCGTTTGATCATGTGTCGGGGTTTCCCGCCCTTCGTTTTTGGGCGCATTCGTATGCTTGGCACTTGGGATTGACGTGCAACACACGTGGACTCGTCTGCAGACACTATTCGCAACGCTGCTTTTGACTTCCAGTCACTCTGTGCTGATGAGCGCCTCTCTCTGAGATTGGCGACCTGTGCCAATTCTGCAGGTCTTCGTGGGATCTGCGTCATGGAGCGGTGAAGTTCTTTGCTTACTCCGAGTTGCCTGAGCCAAAAAAGTGGGAGGCAACGAGAAGCACTTTATCCAAAAAGCAGGCTCATCGATGAAGAACTTCAAGTTCTTCGTGCAGCAAAGCGGAAGCTAGGACACAGAAAAGCTCCGGACAAAAGGTGTCAAAACGTGCTGTAACCAAGGTGGTCAGAGTAGTTTTGACAGAATTTGCAAGCACATCTACAAAGCGCATGCAAATCCTGAAGAGCTCAAGAGTGAATCTCAGAGGCCAAATATGGCTCCATCCTCTTCTCCATTTGACTTGATTCCAGATGAAGTGGTCAGTTTCATACTGGGGTTTGTGGGGAACCGCATCAAAGGCTTGCATCACTGGCAGCCAAGGCCCAACTTGAATTGTGCGAAGGATCTATTTCGGGCACAGCTGGTTTGCAGGCGCTTTGAAAAACTGACTCATCAGATTGCTGCCTTAGACTGGCCCTTGAGGAACGAAGAAGAGGGGCTTGGTCTCGCAACTTTTGTGAACCACGAGCACTTCTCGGTGGACACCCTGAACCTGCTCGTTACGGAGAATGTTGAGGAACTTCCGCATCAACTCATCTTTTCAAGCTCTCTCCTGAAGCGTCTTCCAGAGACAGTCAACGTATTCTGCATGCGATCTCCATCTCCCCATGAAGCTCTCGGCCACGGATCCTTGATATACAGGACACCGGATCCGCAAACGAACAACAAAATTGTGGAGAAGCTTCTGTCTGGATCAAACATTAGACGGTTCAGAATCCAAACCACCGGCTGGACCAGCCTTGTGAACATCAACATGCTCCAAGAGACGCCAAGTTTGTTTCTGAGGCACATTGATCTTTCAGGAAAAGTAGCCATTGGTGTGATTGCGCTCAACAATCTGCTCAGAAGGTGCATCAAGATTGAGACTCTGAAGGTCAATGAGATTTTCAGACCCGAAGTCTTCTTCGACGACGACACATCAATCGTTGAAGCTACTGGACCTGTTATTGTGAAATCCAAACACTTAAGCTCCTGCACTTGAAGTCCATCCACTTCCTGTCCATTGACATTCAGGCAAGCAGTCTTCGTCACGTGAAACTTAACCGTGAGTTCTGCTCCATTTCAATGATGACCCCCCTTTTAGAGACGCTTGAGCTCTGTTTGGAGGAACTAGAAGGTCCAGTACTATTTGCCGGGCCTTGCAGCATGCTGGATCACCTTCGCGTCTGCTGCAACAACAGTTCCTGGGCAGAACGTGGTGTTCCTCTCCTTTTTCAGTGTCCTTCTTTAACGGCTCTGACTGTCGAAGGAGGACTAGAGATGCAGGATCTATCAATTGCCACGTTTCTGTCGCAGCTGCCTTCGAACCTTAGGAGGCTGAGTATCGATCAGAAGTTCCTTGCCAGCCTCAGTTCGTCACAAGTTCAAGGGGTTCGGTCCCTTCCAAAGTTGGAGAGTTTGGAAATCGACAGCCACGATCGACTTGGCTCCTTTTACAAGCTTCAGTTGCTTGTTGAAGCTATGCCCAACTTACAGAAAGTCCAAGCACTGATACAAAGCGACATAAAGCAGAGCGAAACAGCAGATATAATAGCCTTCGTGCGCAAAACGTTCAATAACATTCCAGAGTTGGACGTCCGCCTTCGTCTTCAAAAACATTTGAACTAATCACGGAGGTGGAAGTACATCAGACGTTTCACGGACATAGAATTATGGAGGAGTGGGACTCAGTACAATCAGTAGTGCTGTTTTTATTTAGCATGCATTGGCAGGCTTGAAGGTAGTAATTTGAAGCAGAGATAATTCAATGATCTGTGGTCTTTTACACGTTTTGCTACTTCCTTGGTATGACCCCGGTATGACGAGAAAGAGATTCTCAAGACCAGCTTGTCAGACTTTTTGTAAAGACATTCTTGGTTCACTGCGCAAGCTTCGGACCCAAAGGGACTGTCTAAAGCCCGGGGTCTAAAGCCGACAGTCCCTTTCATACTTTCCATTTTCTACTAGCAACGTTAATTTACTGTCTACTGTAAGACGTCTCGATAGACATATGAAAAGAGAGGGACGGTGGCGGAATTATCGGTAGACTATCAGGGTGCACATGACCACAAGCTTTCCATGCAAGTACCTTAAAATAATGCAGACAGTTTCGGATTTTCATCTAATCTCTCGTGCTTCTGGGATTGGCAACGGCAGGACAAGCGCAGAAGAACTCCAATATATAGATGCACATAGCTGTGAAACCATTGGCTTACAATTCAGATATCGGAGTCCGACGCAGCTTAACGCCTTCATTAATGCATGCTTTACTTGGATGATCGATATGTCTCCGTTTTTTCTTTGTTTTCCTCCCAGGGTGACCTGTACCGGCGTTCTGCACGTGTCTTGTTGACATTCTTTCGGGCTCGACAGTATCATATATTCAATATTGACCAGCTTGACAATGAGCGATTGAAAACGCAGGGAAGCACCGAAGATTATGCCAGACCCTAGACCTTATGGATTATGTGGTCTAGCTAGGTTGCAGGAGGAAATGCTCACCAGAGACCACGGCGCAAAATGGGGAAGCGCTGCTGATCGATCCGTCTTCCGTCAGTCAGTCACGTCAATTGTTCAAAGGAGCTCGTCGGGTCTGAACAATAAGTAGATTGAAAAAGTGGCAGATGACCGAGACGGTCGGCTCTACAGCAGCCTGCAGTGATACTGTTGTTCAGTCACACGTCAAAGCTAGTGGTCTCATGTAGCAGGCGCCCTGTAAGATTCGTCGAACAAGCTTGGCTGGATAGACCAGTGGCAGAGTAGGGCTTCATAGTGCACTGAAAGATCACTCCATCATTGTGCGAGCAATTTGATATGTAGGCAACTCCGTAGCGCTAGCTACTAGGAAGGAGTGCGCCAGGGGTAATCTGAGAGCATTGATCTATGAGATGGCTCAGCCATCTTACTTTGACTTGTTGCCGGACGAAGTAGTCATTTCCATCCTAGGATTCGTTTGCGACAATGAAGAGAATTGGCCCGAAGAGGAGGGCACGAAGGACCTCATTCGAGCACAACTAGCGTGCAGGCGCTTCGAAAAGCTGGCTCATGAGATTAGATCTCTGAGTTGGCCTCTGCGAACAGAGGAGGAGGGGCTTGGTCTCAGGTCCTTCGTCAGCCATGAGTCTTTCTGTGCGGAGAAGTTGAAGTTGTTCGTCATCGAAGGAAATCAGGATTTTCCTTACCACCTTGTCTTCACACAATCTGTTCTTGAGCTTCTGCCAAAAAGCATTACTATCATATGCACTACGTCTGACGACTGGTATTCGGAAGGAAAATACGTCAATTTCAATTTATCTGGGCCAGATCTGAGCAGAAGCATTCTGGAGTACATTCTTCTGGGGTCCAGGACCGAAGAGCTGAGCATTCTTTCAAACTTCGATCGTGGTCAAGTTTACCTTGACCACTTAAGAGAGGCACCAAGCTCCACTCTGAAGCACCTCGACCTGTTAGAAGCGATAGTAGACATAACTGTACTGGAAAATCTGCTCCGAAGGTGCTCCCAGATCGAGACTTTGAAGGCTTGGATGGATGGAATTTGGTCCGAACCAGAGGCTGGAGCTGCTAAATTGTTGTTCAATCTGAAACGCTAGTAAACTTAGAGCTCCTGAATGACGACTGCTTAATCATAGAAGTAGAGGCACGCAAGCTCCTCAATCTGGTCATTAGCAACTGCAGCCAGCTAATTCTGAAGACCCCTGCACTGCAAATCTTAAGGCTTATTGGCGTAGATTGCTTGCAACATCCTCTGCTCTTTGCCCAGCCCTGCGATCGCCTCAGGCACTTGCGCCTGGACGACTGCTCGAAGAAATGCTGGACGAAATGGGTGGTGCCAATCCTTCGGACGTGTCCTTCCATCACCGAATTGAACCTGGGGAGTGACGGTGGCAGAATAAAGGATCTTCCTATCAGCCGCTTCCTACTGCAGCTGCCTTTGAACCTCAGGATGCTGAGCATAGATGGTGAATTTCTTTCCTGCCTTCGCTTATCAAAACCTCAAGCCTCTAGAGTGCCCCTGGACTTAAAGCACTTAAAGATTGGGCCAATCAAGAACTTCGAGTCTTACTTTCGAATCCGGTTGCTTTGCGAAGCAATGTCCCGATTGCAAAGACTTGAGGTCCATATTTCTGGGACACGACACAGAGATTCAGCGGGCATCCTTGCATACTTCCACAAGGACTTTCAGACCGTCGACGTGCTAGATATCCGCTTTGAGAATGAGTCTGGTTGAAGCTAAGGACAAATCTTAAGTGCTTGAGCGTAGTAGGATCGTCCACAAACGAGACATTTCTTAGTAGAGGGTTTGGGCCGGCTGGTGTAGAAGATGCATTTCGTTTGCATTTACGTCCTTCTACTGAACAAGTTATCCAGCACAAAGCTGACTTGTGAAGAGCGATCGCAGCGTAAGCTTCCCCAATGACAGAATGACAAGTTCTGTGTGATCGAAGATCGTATGGAGATCATGCAGATCGTTCGTGAATTCATTGTCCAGATGTTGTTTTGGCCATCCAGAACATCGGGTACTCTCAGTATCAAAGGGAGCAAAGCCTTCCACTGGCGGCTTCGCAAATCTCAAACATGGATTATGTGCGCAGCAGATACCTGGGGAAATATACTGTGTAGGCCACGAGAGATTCGGCATGTTGTTTTACCGTGCATGACTCGGACGTATAATGCATCGAATTTAACTTATAGTCGCTCGGCGTGCGGTGAACGTCGATAGAAATCATTGAATGAAATACAATCATGAGTCCTTAGGCTCTTCAGATGTTTATGACACATATGGAAATATATTATACCATGACATTGCATGCCGCATGATGGCGAACTTATCAATCATGCTGTCATTCAAACCCGTAAGGGAATTATCGGTCTTCCACAAGCCGATTATGAACTGCAGCGTCCAAGCCAAGTGATTAAGCCAAGTGATTAGAATAATCGCTTGGCCGGCAACGGGTTTATTGTTGCATACGTACAGGCCTGGCAGTACGCGGGTGTTGGTTGGCAAGAGCAGTTCCTCATGTACTATCTTCTACTTGGTGCCTCTGTATCTCGCAACTTCAGGCCTCTGAGATTGCACCATGTCCGTGTATGGTAGTGTCTAGAATCTAATGACCTGTGTTTGGGTTGGACGCGCTCCCCTCGAGTTCATGTGTACGTTTCCGGCAAGATGACGACTGAGACGTGTAATCGATTCCATTTCATTGAATGACGACCACTGCATAGTCCTAGACGTACGTATACTGACGCCCTTCGACTACTGATTTCCCCGCAACTTATCAATAGCATCGGAAAGGAGCTTCCGGGTACTCTGAGCCGATTCCACGGATTCTGGAAGGCCTTTCACTGCACAGCCAAAGGAAGGTGTATAAGAGCTTGGAAGCCGTGTACCCTATCTTCACAATAAGCCGCTTGTACGGCGTCGTTTAGAAGCGCCCTTTCTAGCCGAGGAACTCCCTGACAGGTCAGCATGCGTCGAACACTGACGAGCACCAAGGGCACGACATATAGGCAAGAGCTCAAGCGCGCTCTCCTTAAGATTTTTCAAAGAGCGAGGCTCTAATGGCAAGTGCCACTTCCTTTGGTGATGAAGCTCAGTTGACTGCCAGAGCCAAGCCCGAGCTTCGATTACATGTGGGCCATCACAACAAAGTCAAAGAGCTATTAGGCACTTGCCTGCACAATCACCGACGCCCCACTCGGACCCCCTGACGCAATACTTGTCCAAGATCTCCTTCTTATTCCTGCAGGTATGCGACGCATGGTCAGTCTACGAAGAACAAAGGCCTCGCCAATACGTAACTCCGGATCAGCCACCTAGGAGTCCGACGAGTTCCACGAGGCATGATACCGAGGAGTGCAATCGACCGACCTTTGTGAAGGTCAGAGTGTTTACAAAGACGACAATAGTTCCGTGAATAACTGGCCCTCCTTTCCGCAGCTCCAAAAAACCAATTTCGAGGAAGTGGCACCAGCTTAGATATGGGTTTGCTACCCACTTTCCGGAGGACGTCTCGACGATTAAAAACAGCCAATTCTGCGCCACAATGCCAACTTGCTGACCCTCATCTCAAATCAGCTTTTGTCTGACGCTTAAGCAACTCTTCTACCCTCCTCAATGTCATCGTTTGTCTCCTCAGACTGGCTTCTGCACCAGCTTCAGTCCAAGACTCAAGTTAGAACCGATGAAAATCCTTATTCGCCACCCTGTGATCGACCTCACGAAACGAGAAGACCCCAGACGGGATGACCTCATCCAAGGCGTCCATTGCAAACGCAGTGGACTCACGCATCCGCTCTTCCGGTTTCACAGACGAACCTGCTGTCCAGGCTTGCTCCTCAACCTTGCAAACTCCTAGAGCACGTCGCCTTCTGAAGGAACATTCCTCTAAGAAATGACGCCTTTCCTCTCAACCTCCACAGCACTTACTTCTCCTTATTGTCGGCCGACTTCTTACGTAGCTCCTTCAGGAGGTCCGACTGCTCAAAGCTGGAATCCAAGTCGTCCTGCCTCTTCTTGTTCCCCTCTGCACAGACATACAACTGTCACCTTCCAGAAAAGGGCGTTTGAACTTTCAGAGCTCTGGTTGCTCCTTCATGGAACAATATCCCAACGTCGCGGAGTGGATCAGCCTGAAAAACGTGTTTCTTGTGCTCCAGTGCAGAACATCCAAGATCTTAAGCTCTAACCCCATGCCGAAGAACTCTGGCAAGCACTGCAGAGGACAATCGAGAAATGAGAAACTTGAGAGGAAAATGCATCACGAAATGCAAACAGCAACCTCGTATGAAGACTCATGACCGTCCGCTTGATGTTGTACACAATCGTTCAAAGCACAAGAGATTCGAAGCACAAGAAATCCAAAGCACCAGAAAAGACGACCACTCTGCACAGATGAACCCCAAAAAGTCAATTTCATCGCCTTGAGTACATCACGTCAACAAATACTAAATCCATGCTTGGCAAGAGCTAGCTGTATACTTACATGACCTGTGAGGGATTCGGGACAACACTTTCAGTTGCCCCCGCCAATTGTCTGTGGACTCACCTTTAATCTGTTTGAAGAGGCCGATCTCAGGAAGCCCCGGAGCTTCCGCCTGCTCCAGCCCTTGCGAGCCTGATAAGATCCCGGCCTGGGCTGCAGCAGGGAGGAACTGCGACATTTCAGCGCTGTCCCCTTGCCAAACAGGTCATCAAAATGTCTTTGCAATAATGAAACATCTTTAAACACTCATGTTCGAAACTACAGAACTGAACTCATGTCAGCAACATCGAGCAGCGGATGACGGCAGCAGTGGTAGGCCTGCCCATTTTCCACAACCCCAGGAATTTGAATTGCGAGCGAGGAAACACCCCGGAAAGCTTCGCCGCCTTAATTGCTGCTGCACCACCAGCTACATCAAGAAATCTCAGAAGTCACAAAGGACATTTGTCGAAATGCCTGCCCATCTACCATCATGGCAAGGTGGAGTGTTTCTGGCTCACTTTGATATGGCGCTTGTATAGTGCATGGAAGGTAAGAAGTAGGACATCAGATACATCATCGCTGACAAATTACACATTCGGAAAGTTCTACAAAAACCAAAAGTCCGATTCACGAGCACAAATCACAGGGCAAGGTACCCGCACCGGGAACTTCTGAAAACCTCCTCACCTGGAGTGACCGTCGCAAGGGAAAGTCCTGCCGCTGCTAGTCCTGCTAAGAGGACTTGTCTCCTCTGGACATCAGCATTGGACTTGCCCGCAACTCCAGTGCTGCGCGATTCCTTCGCGAGGGCAGCCTTGCAGCTAGAACACGTGACTGTGCTACCGGACTTGATGCGTGCACTCCAAGGTTTCCTACTTTGATGGCAGGCCGGCTGGGCGGGTGCGCTTGCAGCAACAACTGTGGAGCTGTTGGAAAATTTGTTCTCCAACAAAGCTGATGGACAGAAAGACACGCCCGGAAGCAGACGAGCTGCGGAGGCCATCGTTCTATTGCACGATCAGGGGGCGCCTTGAGCAGATTGATGTGGCGCGACAGCAGATGTTGGCGCCCGCGATGGCAGCTTCAACTTGTGCACGTTTATAGATCTGTGCACCATGCAGCTCAATTTCATGCAGGCTGCCTGGTGCTCCAGCTTTTAATGAGGAACTAGGGGAAGCGAGGGATAAGGAAGGCCCCGGTAAAGTTTGTCTTTCATAGCAGGAGGCTGCAACAAGTTGCAAGCGGTAATGGTTGGCCCTTCCAGAAAATCAAGCCGCGCGGCAGGCATTCTTGTCCTCACGATGACGTCCCACGTGGAATTCTGCCTATCACCGGCCAGATTTTGGTACACCGTCTGAGGCGCGGAAGCACGGGCCGAGCGATCGGGAGATACGGCCCCCGATTGCACACGCAGATCTGGCCACTCCTGATTGGCGCGACCATCGTCAGCACCAGCTCACGGTGAGGTGGTTCTTGTGCTTCTGGCCCACTGAGGGCGCAACATTCTATGGCGGCGAATCCCAACTGCCTGTCAGGAGTGCTTTGAGAGAAGCATTTGTTCAGCAAGAACGGTTGCGTACTACTCTTGGCTGCCTCTCTTTGGTGAGAGGCAAGCTGGTTGCTTTTCTAAGCTGGACTGTGGGGTGAAAGGTCTGGCTGGATTGCTGGAAAGGGGCAAGCTGTGGCGGACGAGAGAGTTGGAGGAAGAAGTGCTCAGATATCCTTCAGCTCTGGTGTCAAATTCGGGCACAGGGGTCTTTTACGTATTCCGCAGGTTGCCGGTGCAGATCTGCGCAGATCGAGACTGCCACAAAGTGGCAAGATCTGCTCATCCTGACCAGATCTGGATTGCAGTCTGCTGATTACCTCACCTGCCAGGTGCAAAGGCCAACCAGGATGGGATTTTCCTGTTTGCCAGTAGGCGGAGCACAACTAGCAACCACGTGAAGTTGAAGTCCAAAGCCTGAGCACCAACTCGCAGGATGTCGTCCACGATGGCGCTTCTTGAAAGGGCGAGCATTCCGCTAGGGAAAGGTCTGCTTGGCCCCCCGTATGTCCAGCTGCCAAAGCTGCACTCGGGGCACTGCGGGAAAGCAACCATTCTCAGGGGATCTATAACCCAGCCGTTCGGCGAGGGTCCCAATGCCGCAGTTGCAGATCACAGGAGGGAGCCGACTGCAAATCTTGCGTTTGCATTTTCTGTGCTGCTCAGCGGCCCAGACAGACAAAGCAAGAAGCAGAAACGTGCTCGGGGACAGAAGCAGGTGTGCCACGCCCGTGCAAATGAGCACCCAAGCTTGGGCAGTTTGCAGCACTGGGCGAGGCGGCGGAGGGCTACGCCTTTGCAACCGAGGAGCGAGGTTGAGGAATGGGGGTGGGGATCTGGTTCTGATAGGTTGGACACGGCAAGCCATGTGACTCTGGCGACAGGGACTCCGACCCCGTCACTTCCTTTTGCTAGTGCAAGGTGAGCTCAGCGCTCCTTCCCTTCCATTTCTGCATCTTGTTGAATGTTTTGTTTGCAACTTGTAACAATGCTGGTTCACCTTATTGCTCTGAAGTGTGTTGAATCAACAAGGATCTCACGAGGGGAGGTTTCTTGAAATTCGTTGCTGAAAGAAGCGCTGTGTTAACAGTTCCTCGTTCAGAAGTATGGTATGCTGAGTTGTCATACTATCGGGAGACTGGGGACGGTGGACCAGCACAAACTGGTTACAATTTGAAGCGACCCGGGCTCCTTTATGTTGGATCTAAAAGCCTCTTTGCTGCATCGAAGTTGGAGGTCCTGTCACTGGTGGTTCACATTTTTGCCACCAGCGATATGCAAATTCTGTTTGCGTCGGCTACGAGGTCTAAGATCTAACGCGACTGACACATACAAGAGTATAACTCAACTGCAGAAAGGAAGATCATGGCCCCGTCCTTTTTGCTCCCATTGCAACGGAAAATCTGTGAGGCAATGCCTGATAGCCATTATTTGCAGCTTTTTTATTGCTCTGCTCAATTTTTGTTCCAATGGACGCAGCTCAGAGCAAGTTTTCGGCCATGCTTGAAATGCTGCAGATTGTCGGTGGCAGCGCGCTTCAATCCTCGCTAAAGTGCACCAAATGGCAGAGAAATTGGTTTTGCCCTGCAAAATTGATGGCAATTATTCAGCACACTCAACAACTTAAGTTTGTTGAACGCACTGTTGGCACTTCAAATGTTATTCACATCTCCGAGCCTGCTGACTGGCAATCTCCGAATGAATGCAGGCCCAGAATTTTCGAGGAAGTGCCAGCCTCAGCCCGTCAAATGAAGATGAATTGCGTGCCCCCTCTTCGCGACATTCCCCCACAAAGAGGTGAGGTACAAGGCGTCTGTATGTGTGCAGTATAACGTCTATTTGGGATTGAGTCGATAGAAATACTTGTGATTTGGCAGTGGTGCGAAGGCTCATGAGTAATTATGCAGGACACTGTGGACGCAAAGAGGGATCTCAATCAGTCATCCCAAATGGGTCTCAAACGGGCAGCAGCACTTCAAGAACTCTCTGATAACCGGCCAATTAGGAGTCAGGACATGAGTTAGTAAATGTTATGGCGTATCTACTAGATCCATGAGTATTTGCATTGATCTTCCCCCGCCTCATCAAACGCCTTACACGAATGTGCCCCTGCAGATACAGGGATTGCGAGCGAGCAGGAATGGAGCATCGACCTAGTGAACGTAAAATGGGGCCGGGAGACAGGAATCAACGAGGACGGGAGCACGTGGTGGAAAGAAAGCGGGGAAGATTTGGGAGAAAACGGGTTCCGGAGTCGGTGGACAGTCATGGGGGGCAGGAACAAGGACGGGACTTCAGAGTGGAAGGAGACGGTGAGTATACTGTCAGTGCTGAGATGTGATTTTGTTTTTTCTCAGGGGTGTTAAGAAGGGGATACCGATTCACTCGATGGTGGGGCGCGGCAGCTGTGAGGTTCCGTTGCGATTGCAGCGGTCTGATCACTGGAAGGACAGGCTGCAATGTTGAGGATGCTTGAGAAGTGGTTGAATAAACCTAGTCTAAGAGAGCTGACGTGCAGTAGTGTTGCAAGGGCAAAGAAAAGCAAGGTCGTTCGCTTCATTGTGTGGCAGGAAAAATTTTCACGGTTGAGCTTTGCTGCTTGATTACCTCCTTACTTGCTCTGAAGAATTCGACACCCTTTCTATAATTCTTCAGCAAAAGGACAGTCAGAAGCCGTGAAAGTGCGACGTTGGTTGGAGAACCTGCATTGTAGCCCAAGCGGTACTTTTTTTGATGCGTGCACTCACCGGTACTGACTATTTTGCGTGCAGTGGTGGGAGAAGAGCGATTGGACCGGGTACCGGGAGTTGGGCGCCGAGAAGTCGGGACGAAATGCGCCGGGGGACAGCTGGTGGGAGACGTGGCAGGAGGTCTTTAGACAAGACGAATGGAGGTGAGGCAGACCAGCGTTCGCAAAATCAGGGCAGTTGTGGGGGCCACTCGTGTGGCACTGAAATCGGGGGCCTACCAGTACTGTCAGGTCTGGGTTAGAAGCAGCTTCAACAATGCTCCTTGATCTTGTTTGACAATGGAGGGGTTGATTGTTCGTTCATGGAGGAAGTATGACGAAAAAGCATCGGAAGCATCGGAAGCAGGATGAAGAGGTGAGGGTACACAAAGGGTCGGAACGAGGTTGTTCTGAAACTGGATGGGTTTACTCGGCAAACCTTGGACTGTGTGAGTACAAGTTGTCGGATTTTTACAAGATGGTGAGACCAGGCTGTGTAAGCTTTGCACGCGTTTGTAGGGTGTTGACATTCTGATGCAAGTGCGAAGGCAAGACCCGCGAGCTTGTGCTGTGTGCAGCCAGTAGGGGCCGCTCTAAGTTCAGACATGGTCAATGGGGCAGCTTAGTAGTTATTGAGCGGATGCATAGACTTATGCTGGACGCTGTGCAAGGTGTCGTCAAGCCTGCATCGGAAGTGCTCCTTGGATCCAGATGCAAGAATTGTCTCACCGCATTTTTGTTGCATGCTGATTGGGACAGTCATTTGGGGAGCTGCGTAATAGAAGAAGTTGCCAGTCGAAGCCATCGCGAGGGCAACAGAAGGCCTGGTCTAAAGGAGGCTTGCTCTAAAGCCTGGCTCGTCAGTCGAACTAACATTGGGGCCTTTGCTGTGCTCGCAGTGGGTTGACGCGGATAGAAAAGAGCGCCCACAAGCAGGCCAAGTCCAAGTCGGGAGGGGTGTGGAACGAGAAGTGGTGGGAGAAGTACAACGCCAAGGGCTGGACCGAGAAGGGCGCGCACAAGTACGGCAAGCTGAACGACCAGGCGTGGTGGGAGAAGTGGGGTGAACAATACGATGGCCGGGGCGCAGTCGTCAAGTGGTGAGCGCACTGGGTGTTCCTCTCGGACCAGATGGCTTTGGTGATTCGAAAGTCTAGTTGGACATTGGGAGCGCGTTGTCGTCAGTTTACGGTGGGCGTTTAGAGTCGGGGGGCGAATGCTGCTGCGTTTGGAACATGGCAGTTTTTCGAGCGAGAAGCAAGCGTGAAAAGAAGTGTGGAAAGCCATTCCTGCGGACTGTTGCCTGTGAGAATCTACGCCAGGATCCTTTCGAGCTGACCTAAGAGAAAGTAAATTGTATTTGGAAGTCTTCTGGTTTGTCCGCGCTTCATTTTGGTAAAGTTCTAGCAGTTACCATACTGAGAAATGTCCGCCAACAAAGCAACTTGTTGCCAAATTCTGAGCTACTCATTGCATAGGACCTCGGCTCTCTTAAGAGCAGGTTCTGTGCCGTTGGTTTCCCCTCCGAAACATACAAACACGTCTGAGCTCTGAGCGAGCCCTGGGGGATCGAATGCAATGGAAGTGACTGTCGCAGAACGCTTTCGTCTCTGCTTCTGGTTGCTGGGTCCTGCTGAGCTCTTGCCTCTTGACATCAGTCGATTTCGGCGATTTTGGCATTTGCTGATTCGTGAAGCCCTGCATCTGTCAAGCTTTTGCATGAAAGTCGATGACACGGGCTTACTGTCAGCCGCCACTTGCCACGTGTATATGCACGCCGAGCTGTGCAGCTTCACAAATCACGCAAGTGCGCATGTCTTCAACGGTTCTCGGAAGCTTTGCGAAAAGCTTTTATGTCTTACAGACGCTTACCTGGATCCAATTCCGACCGCTGTCGAGACCAACAAGCTGCGGAACTCGCGTGGTGTCCCGTAGTTTTTCAAAGCTGTGCATAGAGCTCTTTGAATAGTGGCACATTATAACATGAATCAGACGCTTACCTCGAGCCGATTGCTACCGCCTTTCAGGACGGACAAGTGGGCGGAGAGCTCGATGGGGACGCGGTGGGGCGACAAGTGGGAGGAGCGCTTTGACCGGGGGAAGGGCATGCGCAACGGGGAGACGTGGCACGTCAAGGAGAACGGCGAGCGGTGGAACCGCACATGGGGCGAGCGGCACGACGGGTCCGGCCTCGTGCAGAAGTTTGGGCGGAGCTCCTCCGGGGAATCGTGGGACATCGAACAGGAGGAGAACACGTACTACGAGTGAGGGCGCCGGCTGTCTTTCTTCGGAAGAGTCGTTGTAGCTGTTGTTGTAATTCTAGTTTCTTAGACAAAGGGTGTAGCTGTGCTTCCTTGAAGAGTCGGTGTAGCTGTGCTGTTGTGAAAGGTCGGCGTGCTGCCGCAAGGGGTGCTTCTGGGTTTACATTCCAGGTATGTTTAATGCAGAAAGCGAAGCGTTAACGGGACTCTGACGAGCTCCCCAGTCTTCCTGTGTTACGGATTGGTTGTAGCGTTGACTTAGAGGTGGTGTAGTCCAACGGTCGACTTGTGCGGTTGTCCCAGTAGTCCAAAGATTTGTGCCGGCGGCGAGCATGGGGCGGCTGCTATACTGTCGCCTGAGCAGATATTGTTGGATCCCTTTCTTGGCGCCTTTCAGAGCCTCTGTTGTCAGCTTATGTCAAGATAGATACACGCGGTTGCAGAGCATCGTTCGCGGGAAGCTCGCTGCCACTTTTGCACAGAAGGACTTGTGACGTCGTATGCTTGTGGGTCACCTTCTCGACATCGAGGCAGCTCCGACCCGTTCCTGTTCCTCCTGATTCTAAACGCAACGTTACAAGCTTTTGTGGGCTCACCCAGCTTTTGACCCGTTTCTTTACCTTATGATCTCACGCGACATTAGAAGCTCGTGGGCTCATCTTCTTGCCCATAAGGCAGCTCTTGAACCGTGCGTTCGTTTCTGTTTTCCAGCGCACAGCCGCACTACGGCTGGGCCGAAGCGGTGGCAAATTCTTTGCAGCTGCTGGCCATCGAGATCAGGCCAAAGCCCCCGGCAGGCCCCCCGAGCGCCCCGGGGGAGCCATCGTCCAGCGGGGCACCGAGCGCGGCTTCCGACGAGTCGGGGTTGACGTCAGAGTCGGGGGTGACGTCATCAGAGGGGGCGGAGAGCGTCTCGTCGCAGGGTAGCCAGGGCTCTTCCGAAACGCCCACGTCTTCGAACGCTCCGCCCTCAACGGAGCCACCCCCTCCCCCGGGCACGTAGATTCACCCCCCGGTTGCGCTGTACATTTGATCGCTAAGCAACCGGCAAATTCATGGGCTAGGGTAGGGTCGCTTCCGCAGAGCGCGGCAGCGCATGTTTCGGGGCGGTCGCTGCTTGCAAAGCCGAGACGCATTGTCTCATGTGCTAGCAGTCTAGGACAGAGCAGTCCTGTCGAGCCCGTCGTTTTGTCAGTCAGGTCTCCAAACGTGCTAAGTGGGAGCTCGAGCAGCCCCTTCATCAATTCGACGTCAGTGCTTGTTGACCCTTTTATTAGCGTAGACTGATTGGCGATGTCGTAGCATTGAGAGCTGTTCTTTGGTGACCACTTCTCGCGGGAACTCTGCAGATGAAAGAAAAGCCTAGGCTCCAAGGCTTATAATGGAAACTCTGCAAGATCCGAGTTCTACTCGAATGGAACAAAAAGTTGCCACGCATTGAGTACCTAGTCAAATCATCGATTCGGATTTCGAGATCGATCTGCATAATGATCCTAGAAAACACGTGGTTCGTATGCAAACCTGTGGAATATGGTCGTCAATGAAGTCGAGCGCGTCGGAGCAGGAACAAGCATGTGAGACCTGGTTGAGGAGTTTACCATCCGTTCAAGTTTTGAGTAGATTTCCGATGAAGGGTGACAACATAGGGCCCGAAGGATCGTGCACGCACTGGCACGTGCTTGGTTGAGCACCATTATGTGTGCATAGCACGTGCTTCTCAAGTGACCGGCCCTTGACTGGGGCACCGTAGAGATCATGCATCTTAAATATGCTTACTAGGGTTAGTACGTGGTCACTCGGTAAATCGTGCACGATTTCTATGTACATCGCCGGTTCGATTGGATGTGCTACGCACTCCAGAATCACTTACACCGTCCTCACCAAAAAGGACAGCTATCTTGATGCGTGCTCGTGCAGGATTCACTGAGCAATCAAAGTAGCAGCAGAATTGGCTCTGGCAAATTGATTGCTTGGCTGCCCAACTTGAAAAACCCGCTGATCCCCGCGCCGGCCAGCATCTTATCTATTCACGTACGTATCTTGCCATCTTTCAAAAGTTCCGGCGGATCAAACTTCCCCCAGACACCACCGGGCGCTTCATTTTCTCATCCAAGAAGAAAGGAGAATATCGAGCGGCTAGTTCAATTTCACTCGGAGGGTGTGCTCCTGGTCTCCCGGCAATTGCCTTAAGGACCTTCCCACAAAGTTTTCTGTACAGCGCCCTCTCCCCTGTTTCTCTTGCCTTTGCCCTACTTACCCTAGAGTCGTACCGCAGGGCTAGAAGAGTGGCCGCTGATAAGCCCACTACTAACGCGTTCGGAATGCGTATAAGTCAGTGCCGAACTGATGGCAACAAAGCCAAAGCTACACAAAAAGCCGCTCGGGGCCGTGACGTGATTCTTCCAAGGAAATTGTCCCGGTTATCTGCGTTCATGTTTGCTCTGTTCAGGTCACGGGCATCGTATTCATGCCGTTGAAACAACTGCAGCAGCTCCGCAGCCGTTTCCGGACTCCACTCCAATTCCTCCAAAGCGTAAGCCGTCCGGAGGTCCTCAGCAATGTGAGCCCGTGCCACGTCAGCAGCTTGCTTGAAGCCCGGACACTGTCCCGGATGAGGCGAGTTGCAGCTCGGCGCTCGCGGAAACGGCGTGGTCCCGATTGCCGAGAAGCGTTACAACGGCGCCCATTAGTGACGGCACTCCAAACTTGTCGGAAATAAGAAGAAGATTTACGAGGTCGCATACGGGCGTTGTGGGCTCTTGCACGCTAGGCGAAAGTGTGCCGCAGTACAGGAAGCAGAGCATCTCCTTGAAAGCCTGGCTTTCTGCAAAAAGGACGGGGAGCCTCAATCATGACATACCAGCATGGCTATGTAGTGATTAGTTTCGTACGACTATCCGCTTTTCAGCCACTGAGAAAAGGGACCGGAAAAAGGTGGGCTGCGCTCGTTCTGCAGTCCTCAATCAAATCATTCACACCGTAGTTCTGACTCAAAGACCTCACACTTTCCTACTCGTCTTGAACGAACAGAAGGGCTCAGGTAGCTGCCAATCCGCTTGCGATGCATAGGGCCAAAAACCTCTGGCCTTCGGTTACATACTAACCTCCGTGTCAACCTTTGTCAGCCGTAACAGCACCTCGAGAGAAATCCATAACGTGAGTGGCGCTAATGCAGCACATCGCTCGCTCTTCGAAGTCAACGATGATGCGGAAGTGCGCACTGTTACGGTCTTGGAGGCACGCGGAAGGGACACGACAAAGCTCACGCACCTTTGTTTGTTACCTTTACGATCAGTGGCGTGTCTTTGTCGGACTCTCTCATCCCGTTGGACATCATGGTGCGCAGCACACGGCTCTTCGCAGCAAGCACGATTGAGTTGACGGGAATCTTCTCGACGTGAGGAGGGAGGGTGTCTGTGAAGAAAGCAAACGCATCTCGCACGGCAACAACGCAAGACTGCACCTCTTTCGATCGGATGTCTGGTGTTGGGAGGCGGAGGAAGCGCTAAGCTGGGATGGGCCAAGTCTTGAAAAAAGCAAGAGGGGTTTGGAGATGCATGAGGTGAGTAGCACTATAGCAGCACAATGCTCATTCGCTTTTTGAAGATAAGGACGATCAGCGGCTCTTGGTACCAATAGACAAACGATGTGCACCTTTTTCCAAGTGAACACTGCGCAGACTGATGGAGATTACATAACACTAGCGGCAGATCTGGGACGTTGCCGTCTTATTGCACATTGAGAAGGACGTCCCAAACGGACCTCGTACGGAACATCTGTCTTCCTTTGAGCTCTAGCGGCTTCAGGCCCTTTTTAAGAGGACGAGCCTAGTGAGGAACGGCATTCGGTCCAGACAAGCAGATCGTCGGCTTCTTGTTTGGACCCAACGCTGCTCGTTACAAGGCAAGTGAAAAGTCAAGACTGTGCAAACCTGTACCAGCTTAACGATTCTTGGGACGAGGCTCACCTCTCGAGCTATTTTTCCAAAGGGATCTCCAGTTGGATAATCCGGTCACAAAACTCCTCTTTTCTGCAGCGACAAATATTGAGCGGACATTCATTCCCTTCGTTCCCAACAAAACGTGACATGTGGGAAACCATCAACAACCGGAATGCTTGACCTTCCGGCTGGACGGTAGCTTCCACAAGATTGACAACCAAGCCGGTGTAAGATTAGAAATCAATCCGCAGTGTTTGCCTGCAACATGAATATCCCCCCCTCATAGTTGGAGGTCCCCTCTCATTCCCAAGTACAAGCAAAGTGGTCACATCCACCGACAGGGCCCTCTGAATCTGTGGCCTTTCGTTTGCATTCATTCTCCTTTTACCTGACCAAGGATCAAGGTCGAGGAAGTAAATGGTGCCAGAGAATTTGTGGGGCATTAATCCAATCCTGCTCACATCCTGTTGAAGAACCAACTCAGCAAATCCTGAACAAATTGTTCCAATGTGTCCAGCTCTTTTCGCACTCTTTAGCTGTCCTCACCCATGAAACGCAGAGAAGTCAAAGAAGTGGCCCTCTTCTTGCAGCTCAGGAGGGAGCGCACCTGAGAGACGTCAACACAGCAAGCCAAACCTTACGAACCCATCTAGTATAAGCTAGGCACTTTGTCTGGCAAATATTCGGCGCTCTGATGCAGCTTTGTAAGTCTAGCTGGAGCAAAGGCACACATAAACATAGAAGGTGGCATATGCCAGAGTTCTTGTCACAGACTGCATTAAGTGCATCTTGAGGACCTCGATGTTTATCTGTGTAGGAAAGAAAGTGGGGCCTTAGTCTTTTGAGCTATAAAGCAGTGGTACAGGAGAGGGGGCTTCATGCAATGCGACTTTGCATCCGGGCCCCAGTGTATGTAACATGTGATGCCCCAGCTGCTGAAGAGAGGAAGAATAGCTGAAGCAAAGAAGCGAAGCATGCCTATCCATGCAACAGATGCCACGAAGAAGTTTCCCTCGATCAACTCAAATTTTCAGTTCTCCACTGGCACAGCTTTCAGTCCGGAACTGCACTCACCTGGCTGCGCCATCCTGCACCAATGTTATGGTTGACGCAAGAGTCTGAATCCCCACTTGGACACTGTGGTTGGAAGTCCTGGTGGTCCTACTGAGGTCCTACCAACAGCTATATTGTTCTGGACGAAGTGCGCCTGGCCCCGGCGATCATGGCGCTGACCATTACATGATTACAGCGTGCTGACATCAGTCACAAATAATCCATAAAATGCATAATCTGCTGCCTGCGAGGTGGTCACATCTTCTCGTCAGAAGCGGATTCAAATCCTCAGATGCAATGTAAGATAAGGCGCGTTTCTACATTTCATTGCCAGACCTGGATTACCTAAGATGGTGGGAGCTCCTGAAGATACGTGACCATAAGTTGGCATGAATGATCGAACAGCTTGGGGGATCACGCTGCTCGGAAGCTGAATGGCCGCTGCAACGTCTCAAGTGTCTACAGCCTGTAAGGCGTTGATAAAGCCTGCATCGACGGCCTAAAAGGAAAGCCAATTATGAGGTCTCCACGTGTCAGCGACAGACTGGACCACTGTTGAAAATGGCGCGAATCAGATGGGCATCGATAATATGAGCTGCTGCTGGTGCTCGCTAGCTCAGTTGCTTTGTTGCTCATACGAGGCATTGCCTTAGGAGTTCAACGTTTGAAGTTGGTGGCGCTTTTATGCAAATGTGAATTCTCGATATAGTCTCGCTTCGTTTCAGGGCTTGCAGGCGCAGGCTCTCGAACCTTGAAGCTTACAGGTCTAGTGAATTTGCACTTTGTGCTCAGTTTGCCCGAATTGCTGGCTTCCTGGTGGCATTCCTGCGGCTGCCATGGAATGCATTCTGAGCGGGACGCAGGTCAAGAGTTTCTGCAGAGCCGTCAACTGCTTAGCTCGAGTTGGGGCGGAGTTGCTGCTTGAAGCTCTTCCAGACAAGGTAAGATGCCAATTATTTATCCTGGAAGCGTCTTATCGCAATCCTTCCGAGAACAGGACTCTTTTCAATAGAACCTGCAAGACATTGAAATTCCTCTGAGAATAGACCATTTCTCAATGGAAGCGGCAAAAACGAACTTGCATGAGCGCCATCCTGACTGTGGTGTCCCTGGCTTAACAGCTTGTATCAAGTCGTCCACTGTCACACACCATCGCAACCGAGATCGGGCTTGCAAAGACTGTTTCTGCAGGCTGAGAACACTATGCTTTCGCAGTTGATCTTGCGGACGCTCAACTCGTCACGTTCGGCCTTCTTGGAGATCTCGTACAAGACGCAGTTCTTTGACAGCTTCCAGACCTCGTCTCCTGTCGCACAATGCAGTGTTCTACTAAAGGTGAGACAACTCATCACACAATTGTCAGTGAATGCAACACCTGGGAAGGCCAACCTAGAATTACCTCCACAATAAACATCATCAGCTGCTATCAAAGGCCTCCGGTGAATCGGTCAGTTTGTCAAGATCAATTGAGTAAAAGTCAGAAAGAGCAAGTCTGATCGGTTCTGAATGGATCCATCCAAATCCAGGATATGTAAGAATCATTCAGCTTTTGTGTGAACAAGAAAGTAGCCGGGTGCATCAAGCAGACTCTTGTGTTGAATGAAACCAGATTTGCAGGCGATAGGCCTGAGCCATGGATTGCACACTTGTACCAAGACGGGTGGGTTTTGCTTTGGACCATCTATTACAGTCAAATGGTTGCAATGCGGAGTCTCCAACGCTGACTAATGTGCTGATCTTCTTGGGCCATGACTTCTAGGCTAGTCAGTCTACCAGGATTCTGACATTTCTCGTCACTATATACCACCACCATTGCAAATTTGTAAGGTCAACCTAACGAGCTAGAGACACCTTCAGTATTCTGGCATAAGTACATTCGTGCCGGACACATGCCTCCAGAAGCAACCTTTCCGAACAACTTCGTGCAGTCCGTCTGCACCGTGTTCCGAACGCCACCTAGCAACGTAGACCGCCTCAGCATCAGCATGCCGGTTGATGCAGCCAAGGTGCAATGGACGATTGACTGCCTTGACGGTGAGAAACCTGCAGGCTGTCCTGAGTCTGTTGACGATTGAAAACTACCAACATTTTAAGAGAAGAAATATTTCCACCTTTCTCTTGAAATTTACTGCATCCTAGTATGTCCACTCATTGCCTTCCAGTTGATAAGATCTGTTTGCAAAAGGCAGGGGAAAAAGCCTCGAAAAGATCAGTCCTCTATTCAGCAAACGCACTTATATGTAGGCCTTTCATAAACCAACAAGTGGAAATATGGCTCCAGTTAAAATGAATGGCTTGAGAACCTTTAATAACCTTTATTAGGTGACTGCACGCAAAGGTGCACTTCTGGTCAACGCTGTCTTCTGATGTCACTTCCAAGTAACATCACAAGGAGATGAGCTCTTCATCACCCTGCAACCTTTGAATACGCTCTTCAAGCTTATGAAACTTTGAGAGCGTTCAACTTGATGAAGCAGATTACAGTACAACCGCACTCATACATCCTTCTTGCTGCTCCCACCTGCTGTTCGCTGCACCCTCGGCTGCTCAATCAGTTCCACATTTCCTGATATAAAGACGTTTCTACGACTCTTTGTTTATTTTCAGGTTCGCATCACCTGTGCTCCTGCACTTTTGACAGCAAACCTCGAACCCCTTTTGACAGCAAACCTCGCAATTTGCAGCCAAACCCCCACTTTCCCTCGCTCTTTCACAGGCATCCGCAAGACGTACTGGATCTCGTGCAGCAACGACTGCGAGATCCTGCAAGCGGCGGTCGACCGCGGCACCTTCCCCAGTCACCTGGTGGTCAAGCCACGTGACCTGAGCCGGCTGCTGGCCAATTTCCAAGCGTCCCTGCAGGAGATCACCATCATTGCAACGGAGCCGGCGGCGACGCCCTACACCGAGGCGTCAGCGGGGACCGAGGCCAAGGCGGTCGAGATGCGCAGCTTCGTGGACCGGACAAAAGGTGAGAAGCTTAGAACAGGGCAGCGGCTAAATGGAAAGCTGCTGGGACTACATTCTTTCGACAAGGGGCTTTCGACTCAGCAAAAGGTCAGAGGGCCGCGCGGCCTGACTACTTTGAGGTAGTGCTCAAAGGTCACCTTGTTTAGTTCACCCTCTCGTCTCCTTGTCTGATTGCGCTGGGCGTTTCCGGTGAATCAGCAGGCGCAGTGTCATTGTTGCTATGTTTGTATCGTTTCAGGATGGCTTGTTGTCTTTTACTTAGGCCGCCAGCTTCCTAGTAAGAGTTTCCCGCACTTCGGATCTTCGTAAGACATTCACTTGTCTTGTCACCTCACGAAAGAAGGTCTCTTCCCATCTACTTTCGGAGTTTCCCCCAAACTCGAGCGCCGCTGGCATAATCAAACGTTCTCGAAGGCGCAGTAGTCGTACACCTTTCTTCCTATGCACCGGCGTTCGGAATAGGACTCTGCCGAGACCATCAAGTCCCCCACCTTCCTCCCCCAGTTTTGGTGATTCTTTTGCTTCGGCCAAAGTCGTCATGCTCCGCCGTTTGCAGAGGCGACAGACGGCGCCCTGCACACGCAGCTGTGGATCGATCCTGCAGAGGAGCTTCAGGAGTATTTCCACCAGGGAGAAGCAGTCGACGTCACGTTCAGTGTGAAGGAGCTCAAGGTCAGTTCCGAGACCTTCTGAACGTGAACCGATATGCGGAGCACACGGCGCCGCTCCTTGGTTCGCTGAACAACGGGAATGTTCGGTGTGTCGTTCCCCGTGAAACTGAAACGGTTGGGACGGACGGAAACCTCCTCGTCATTTTTCATCAGAAACAAACGTTCCTCCACAAACTTTGAATCTCAAACGATCGTTGTTGGCTCCCGGCAAGGCTCCTTTGCCCGACAGCCGGGTCGCAAAGGAGTCAGCGTTCTTGGCCATGAGAGAAGCTCAGAGTTTCGGACTATTTTTCGTTTTTGCCCGAGAAACTTGAGTACTTGCGCCGCTCTCATGGTGGCCTCCCCCCCTTCAGTGCAGGCCATGGTGGCATTCTGCGAGGGCGCCGAGGCGGACATGCACATGTTTTTCGACAGGGCCGGCGGGTAAGCAGCTACCCGCCTGTACCGGACGCTTTCCAGTCCGCCACAAGGCTGCAGAGCGCTGCACCGGTCTGATTTGGTCGTGGCCAGTGTGCGGATCTCGAAGTGTAGAGTGTTGGGTCCGCCATGGCCCTCGCGCGAGCTTGCCTCAGGGAAAGACCCGCGTTTGCCGTTCTACGGCGCTTCTGCCTGAATTTAGCGACTGACTAGTCCTTGTTGTGACGCACTTTCAGTGGAAGCGGGGCGGGACCTCAATGCCATGCTCGGTTCCTGAGTACCACCCCTCGAAACAACTGCATCGTAACTCCGACTTGACACCGTATGCCGATCAGACTGATAACAACCATCTCGACAAGTCCTTGCAGATTCACACAGGCTTGTAGTGCTGTTTGAGGCGTCCTTCCGAGCATACAACAAGAGGAAGCAAACACTCCCTCTATAAGAATCTGAGTCGTCCCTCCCCCTCACAGGCCCGTTCTCTTCGCGCCCCGCTTCGGCCTCGACGACTCGGAGCACTCCGACTTCGACGCGGCGCTCGTTCTCGCGACCATGATGGACTCGCAACTGCGACCGCCAGAGGCCGAACAACCGGGCGCCACACCAGGCCCCGGGAATCATGACCCGGGCACTTCTGCCACGCCCAACCAGCAGCGGCGGCCCCCGGAAGACGCCCCCACGTCCGTGAACCGGTCAGATCGGACGAACACGTGGTCGGAGCTCTCGGGTGAGGAGGGCCACCGTTTCCCCTTGCATTTTTTGGTGTAGCGCATGAAAGAGGGGTGAGCAGGACTGAGATTTGAAAAAGGCTTGAACTGTTTGGGTCGTTCGAGTTCCTTGTGTACGCTTGTCACCGGCCGCTCGGCTGTCGATGGGTGAGAGGAGCGGCTTGCAGACACCTAGAAATGAGCCTTAAGCCCGGACTCGTATTCTTGCTCTTGCATGGCAGACTTCCGCTCAGCAGGCCTACCTGAGTTTCAAAAGGTTCACGGCGGAGGCGTCGCTTCTCTGGTTGTCGTGCAGCTTTCGCAAACTAGCAAATCCGGTTATGCTGGAACCATGCACAGAGCAGAGTCTTACACGACGAGGATTATGCAGTGCGTATACTTTTACCAACAGTCTTCCTAGGGCCTTCCGCAAGCGAATTGCGAAGACAAGTTCTTTAACGGCTTAGCGTTGGTGGTTTGCAGGGAGTGGCGCACGGACTGGCGCGGGACCGAGCCGAGGGCCGGACTCGCAAGGCGCCCAGCGCAGCGCCCAGGGGAGCGAGGAGATACCCATCAGGGAGCCGCCCAGAGCGGCGGCCCCTGAAGCGAACCAGTAAGTAGCTCTTCCCCCGAGGAAGTACGATATAGATCCTTCTGGAAAACCGAGCGGAAACGTCTAGAGGGCCGGTTGTCCTGAAAGGCGCAATCAGCAGCTTCTGCTTGTCTCTTGACCTCATCCTAGGTGCTGTTTCGATGTTCGACGAGAGACGTTCTGTTGGTTTGTTGCTTCCTTTTAGCCGCGCCTGACCTGCGTAGAGTGGATTTGCGCTTCAAGCGTACGTTCGTTAAGGTACAAGCGCTTCCAACGTTTGCATGACAAACCTAGAATCTCATAACTCCGTTTCACAACCGCTCGAACTCCTCGCTGCCAGGAACTCGGACGACAGGTCAGCCGGACCGTCCAATCGGGAGCCCGAAGCACAAGCCAGTGGACGAACCAACTGGCAGCAAACCTTCGCCACTTCAGATGCATCCAAAGATCCTGCCAAAACCCAAGCAGCCGACGCCCACAGAGATCCGTTAGTCCCTCAAGAACGACCGTCGCGGCCGCACTTTTACATGGATGACGACGGGGAGGATGAGAGGATGTCAGAGGAGGAAGAAGACGAGTTTGTGGTGCCGGCAACACCACCGGAAGAAAGAGGGGCGTATTGATCAATTGGACGTATCTAACTCAGTGAGTGCTGCCGCTTCAGCCAATTGTCTGTTTATCAACAATCGAGCAGAGTGCTGTTCAGCCTACAGTGGACGTGGCTGCGTGTCTGGGGTCATTTTGACGGCTCTAACGCACACCAATTTTCTCATCACGATATTAACCGTCATTAACCTAGATAATCAGCTCTTCGGCCCGCTAACCGAGCCTGCTAACTATTCCCCCACGCAAGATCCAATCCCCAACGGCCACGTTATGCTTATTAAAGTTCCCATGCCGACGCGGACTAGATTGCTTCTATAACGCGATGCGCCAATATCAATCGAGAGCACGTGCTAATGTCCATGTATATAAAGATCTGCCAGGTGATGGTCTAGGCTACCTAATTAACCATGCGTCTATAGTAAATCACCACATGCGGAAGGAGGCTGCATGGGCCTGGACGTTTTCAACTACGGCATGCGCATATTTGGTATACGTGTCAAGCAACTTGTCAGGACCTAGCCGCCGCCGAGGGTATAACCCAGTCGTGCGGTATATATGGACGTGTCCGACGCGCGCGCTGTACGACGGCCATTCAGCATGTGGATGCTACTTTCCGATGCGCTCGCGTGCAGAGAAACTCGACGACGTTTTAATCGTCATCAACGCGTCAAGAGGGATCCCTCATGCAGGGCGAATCATTGCATAATTGTGCCACATTGTTGCACGTGGTTAAAGCGCAATTTATGATGGAGTTGGACAGGCCTGCTTCACTAAGGTTCCGTTGTTTTCATTGCAGCAGGCAAGCTGCCGTCGGCTTGCAAATCGCCGGACTCGCACCGAGAAGCAACGCACTGACTCAACTCATAGGTTTTAGCTGCATCGCTGTAAGGGCTCCTTACCCCCGACGTTTCCCCGGTCTGAACTGCTCTGACGAACGCCGCGAGCTCTTCGTAATACATGTCAACCGTCCGATCCACGGCGACCTGCAAAGCACGTAACTTGGGTTATTACAGTGCTGGATGGGTAGTCCATGCAGATAAGGTTTGAACGAGAGCATCATGACTCTTGCAAGAGGATCAAGCTTCTGAAAGGCATGGTTCTTCAACCGAAATTGGAGGATGATGCGGCCGACGATTGTTTGGTCCTAGCCCTTCCTCCATGTCCTCTAGATCGCACAGGAGATCATATGATTTCATGCGAAGGCGTTCGTTGACATTTTACTCACGAGATCTAGTTGAGCCCAAACGCCTTCCGAGATTGCGGCTAGCAAGCGACGGTGACAGTCGACTCACAAGCTAGCTCTCAGAAGAAGCTTCTTACCTCTTGGTAATCCTCCCGGCCCGGATGGCGCACCCTGACCCGCGCGTCCGCGTACGGGTCACAGATGATGACGTGCAAGCCGTCAGCAAAGATGTCGATCTCGGTGAAAAACGCGGCCCCGTTGAGAACAATGGTGTGAGTGAATGAACCGACGGCCCCGCTCTCGAACAAAAAGGTGGCGGCGGTGGCCCGGTTGATCCGACGCTCCCGGGGCACCTAACAAGTGCCTCGTGGCAATCAGCGTGCACATACGGCGGCGGATTAAGAATGAGGCGGGCGAAGGAGACCAAGCGACTGAGGTGTTAATTTCATTGTTTGCCTGCCGAAGACGAAGTGGGGCGTTTTTTAAAGTGTCTATCTTAACCACAGAAACGAAAAGAAAGCAGACGATGCTTCCACTTGATGTAAGGGCACAGCCGATGGTCTCAAAGGTGAGCCGCTCACAACACTGAAACTTAGAACGCCTAAAGAGTTACGTCTTTGCGCATCAGGTCGTTGCAAGAAGTTGCACTCTCCAGCAAAAGCTACAAACATGCGCGCCCTGTCCCGATTGATGCTGACAATCAACATGCATAACGTCGGACTTGCCACTCAGTGCCGACTTTCCAGCGTCGCGAACCCTTAAGCCCTTCCCTCTCAAACCGTCTTGTTACAGACCAAACTGCTTATATTCTTCCCGTCAACGAGCCCACCTGATGCTCCCCACCGGGGGCGGCCGGCATGTCCGACAGCGGGTACTCGGGCCCCACCGCAACCCCCCCCAGCGTTTCGTGCCGCACCTCCCCCCCGAAAAAGCGCATGAGGTCCAGAAAATGCGTGCCCTGCTCGACTACGGGGCCCCCGCTTTGGGTGACGTCCCACCACTCCCGCTTCCGGATCTCGGAGTAAGCGCACGCGTACCGGGCGACGATGGCGGCGGGGGGGCGGCCGACCTAGCGAATGGAGAGGGTCTGGAGGGCATTCGACATGTACGCTCAAAATGTAAGGACCATCTGTGTTTTTCGCCTTAAGTGTTCGGGCTCCGACAAATTGGCCGAGAATTCAATACATGGTCGAAGTCAGATAGTTTTGCACCTAATGCTCGGCCGGCCGATCCGGCGAACGAGGGCAGTCGACAACGGGCGGAGAACGCTCTGAGACCGACTACGTACAAGTGACAGAACGGTCGGTGAATAAGTGTTCGAGAGAACAAGAGCCTGTCTGGCAAGCCTGATCATACTCTCAATTCAAGAAGTGACTGTTCCTGAAACCGGGTTAAGGAGTCGCTCGGGTCGGACGGAGGTTTTTGCAGCTGTTGGTTCGGTTCTGCCTCTCGAGGCCATAAAGCGGCATTTTCTCCGCATGGCGCTGGAGAAGATACAGTTGAAGAAGCTATTCACAACAAAGGCTACAGACGATGAAAATCAAGTCGACTCTGACAGTGTTACAAAGCGGGACAATGAAATGCGACTGCATGAAGCTAGTTCTCAAAATCGCTTGCCGGCTTAGCGAGACTTGGTCCAAGTGGCGTTGGAAAATCAATCGGGCGCTGCTCATATCTGCCTCTGTTGTCATATCCCTTAATCATGTATTCGTACCCTATCAGATGTGTGGGATCAAAACAACACCTGTCCCATATATCCTTTCAACACTTGTCGACTTACTGCTACAAACAAAGTAGCACAACGACTTCACATAAACTCACTTCAGCCAGGATCTTCTTGGCGGCGGTCACCGCGGGCGAGTAGCGTAGCATGTAGCCGACGCTCATGACGAGGCCCTTCTCCCGCCGCAGAGCCTCGAGCTCCCGCGCCAGCTGGCGCACTTCTTCGGACGGCCGGACGCTCAGCGGCTTGTCCACAAAGAAGTGGACGCCCGCACGCGCGAGGTCGAGCTCGATGCGGGCGGAGGGGTCGTGGAGGGAGCCTGTCGGAGAAGGGAATTTTCAGGAAAGAAGAACGTTTGCAATCGCTTCGTAGGATAGCTAGAACGGGCCGCTTTTCGCAAAATGGCTGACAAGCAAGCCTAAAAGCAGGAATGGAAGAGAGGAACTCACAGTGAATCTTTTTCCTGGAGGCTGTTTGCCCGAGGACAGGACATATGATGACTGTCAAGACCTACTAGAGACCAGAGTCACTCTTCCACTAAAGAGTGAAGTGCTGTGGTTCGAGCGCTGCTCTAAAGCAACACACAGAGAGACTTTCCAGTAGAACGAGCCTCTTACCATGAAAGACTGGGGGCACCCCGATGAAGACAGCGTCAGGCCGCACGGATGGGCCCGTCAGAAGATCTCTGTGGCTGGCAAGGGCCTGCGTGTTCTTCCAAAGCTCCCCCCGTGGACCTTGTCGGCATTTGTCGATACGCGCCTGCAACCACAACATGGGTTTGGCTTTGCAATCTGTGCTGTGACTCAACCTTGCTCCTGAACGTTTGTTTTTAGAATTGTGATCAGTCATTATTACAAGACGGTCCATTCTTTCAGTTGAACTCTTCCCTGTCAAAAGCGTGTCCTCAATTTGACCTTGCTCCTATTCACAAAGAAGAGGGCATGGGTGATTCAAAGCTATCAAGAACAGGAAGACCCTATTGACATAAGCCCTTCCCCCTGAGCAGTTCTTTAAGGACTATTTGTGTCACAGGTACAGATTTTATTGATGTTCTGAAATTTACCTCACTGTATAGCAGATGCATTTCAAAAAATCGAAGTGTGGCACAACCTCTTACTTGTGCAAGTTCCACATTCGGGTCCACCACTGCTGAAAAGGAGACCCCAGGAATCTCTTGCAGCCTGGCAGCATGATTCCAGGGCCCTTCAGGAGAACCAAAGTGTATCCCACCTGCAGATAGTGAAAGAGTCATAGTAACCCAGCATTGACTGTCATTTGATTGCTGGAACCAGGTTCTGAGAAAGAGGCCACGAAACAGAGGCCAGACCTCAATCATCGTCATATCTATATTGTAATGCTTGGGGAGAAGACCTGTAATAAGCAACAAAAACAAGGAGGATAAAGTGGAAAGGAGGATCGGAAGTCAAGTCCCACTGCACTACCAGATTGTGTAGGGCAGAAATACGACAGTATGTTGAGCCCCAGCCATGTTGAAGGTTCTGACATTGCTCGAAAGTCAATTACAGAACAAACATTGCTCGAAAAGAAAAAGTCAATTACAGAACCTGAAATTTCTAAAGTTGATTCCTGAATTGACATCAAGCGACTGCATTGAGGCTATATTCTCAAGCTTGACCATTGACGAGAAGTTTTCTGCATTCAGTCCAGCAGATTGGGCTAGAACCAGATACCAATTGGCTGCTCTCGTTTCCAAGGGGCAATGCCGACAGCCCAGTCGCATCACACGCGAGCCGATGCTTTCACTGAGGACCTCCGAAGGTGTACCATTCATGCAATGCACCTCACCTGCACCAACCAGGGCTACATGCATCCATCTCTTTGCCGTAAATGCTGCACCACCTCCAACAGCCCTATCTTTCAGTAAAGTGAGGGCACGAAACATTGCGCAATGCTGCGAGCTACTCCGCAACAATCTAAGAATCAGCCGGAAGAAAATTCGTTGGACTAATCCGGGGGTGGTTTGAAAGCTCACAACAAAGGATTGCTATCGACTAGGGGTTCTGTCGAATCCACGCCTCTTCTGTTCACTACATACCGAGGCCGATGATAATTTCGGGAGCGCAGCCGCCAAACAATCGTAAAACCGCTGACACGTGAGCCCACGTAAAAAATGAGAAACCGCGGAACGCGGTTTTGGAGCTCGTTTATAGGTATACATAGTGCAATATATGCGATTTAGGGACCCTATATGCGGGTAGAGATTAAAATTATGAATTTCTACCTGGAAGGTCGTAAACTTACAGGGTTTACCGTTCTGTAGATTCATGGCAAGTCGATTTCAAGGTACCCGGCCGCTTATAGTAGAAGCTATTAAAATAATTTGTTAGTGCCCATGCAACTGGGGGGCTGGTTTCCCGCTGCAGAACTACCCCCTGGCACTTAGCGCCTGCAGAATTCGAGCAGAATTCTTGATTGTCGGCGGTCGCTATGGCCGCCCCCCAAGCCGTCGATGGAAAGCAGCTACAAATCTAGCTGACGGCGAATCACATTTCCTGCTTTCAATCGGCAGGTCCCGTCCGATGGCCCCAACCATTCCTGGCCTTCCACTGATCTTTGGTGTATTTTGCGCTGAACTGGGCCACTGAAGTCGAGGCATTCGCCTGCGCTCGGCATCTGCAGGCTCCACTTCTAACTTTGGTCCTCAGTCACTGGCCTTCCTCTGCATCCTCTGTTTAATTTCTCAACCTCTGCCCCGCCCTTCACTCAACGGATCATGCACATTGCTTATAATGGAACAGATCATTATGAGGCTCTCGTAGTTCCCATCGCCGCCACCGCGGCCTTACTCTCGCACCAGGTCTACAATGATGATTCTCCAACACCCCCATACCCCTCCCGCTTCTTCCTCTGCCTTTGACGCCACTCATATTTTCCATCGTTCCTCTCGTTTCGCAGCTACACTTTGGTACCACTGGTCATCAGACCAAACGGCGTCGCATCGACTCCCGGACAATATGATACGTGCTCCCATATTCTGAAAGAAACCTTTGCACTGACATCGGTGTGATACACCGGTAGGCTCTGCCCTTGAGGCGTATGCTAGTCTGCAGTTTCCACCTGACGAGCTGCATGTGCCAGACGGTCAACCCCCAAAAAAAAAAACTGATCTTTGGTGTATTTTGCGCGCGCGCGTGAAACCCCGACCACAGCCTGATTATGCGGGCTGAAATTGCCCCCTAAATTTACGGACGTGACCGGGGGTCTATACATGAACGTGCGTTCTTGGCCGCAATATCAAGGACCTACCGATCACTCTTTCTGCATGGGAAAAGAAATACGGTCTAAAAGTACGGGCCCAAATTGCCCGACATGCACATAGCATAATGTTCAACCTGGAAAGCGTTTTGTCGTCCAACTCTCGTCCAACTGGCCAGAAAAAAAAGGTTTGGCGGCACTAAACGACAAATTTTTTTTGCCCCATCGAACAGAGACGCGTAGAAATTTGATACCCCAGCTCACGGCTCCTGTGAAGACGACGGATAAAACTTTTCCTTGCCCCATCTGCAAGTCCGGTGGTCAATCCGACAGCTTCGTTATAGCTATTAAAGCTATAAACTCGCTAAAAAGGCTCGCCGGGTGAATATGGCAGGTCCGAGTCGGCGGTGAAAGATCGTTCGGCGACGGCAGAGTCTCGCGCGCGCGGGCGAGCGAGAGCGGCCAGGCCTTCGGTGTGCAGCAGAACAGCGTCTGGCGTGTCTGGCGCAGTTTCGAGAGTGCTGTCGGTGGGAGTAGTGTGGCACCTGGTGCGGGAAGCTTACACACGTGAGTGTAGCGTCTTTATGTCATTTGTTAAGGCTGTTCGACTGTTCGAGGTTGAGTCGGGGTGGGAGGGTGGGTACGAAAAACTTTCTACGCGCCTTGGCGCCTGGCAAAAAGCTCCTGCTAAGGAACTTTCGAATGATTCAGAACACGATTCATATCACGGATGTTCTTGCTTAAAGTTCAAGTCTGCTACTGTCGAGTAAAAGCGTCGATAAATCAGGTGACGAAATCAACGGTTGACAAAGTATCATCCCTAACTCACAACAAAGGATTGCTATCGACTAGGGGTTGTGTCGAATCCACGCCTCTTTTGTTCACTATATACCGAGGCCGATGATAATTTCGGGAGCGCAGCCGCCAAACAATAGTTGCCCAAAAGAATGGCGGGCAAAGGATGATGGTTGGCGTGCTTTGGCCGTGCAGTGAGGTGCAGGGAATCTGGAAACGGGCGAGGGGAATGGATGAAGGACAGTCCGAGCCCGGGGCGAGGTGGACGGACGACGAGATAAGAAGGTTCTATGCCGAGAATCTGCAGAGCGCTGTAGGAATTGCGAATCGAGGAGTGAGTGAGGGATTCGAAGACAGTCGCAAGCGGACTTGGAGCGAGTTCGGGGATTTCTGCGGGCACGTTGGAATAGCTCCAGGCAAAGCTGAAGACGTCGATGTGCTGGCATTTGTTCAGGGTTTCTGGTTACCACGGCACGTGGGAAACTGTCGCACGTATGGATCCGACGGCGGAAAGGTGGCCTCCGCGTCCGCTATAAAGGCGGTGCTAGCACACCTGGCCCAAGAGCTTCAGCATGCTGGGTCGGCGAACCGAGGAAAATCCTATTCATACTGAGAGCGTGAGGAGTTATCGGGAAGGTTATCGAAATCGGCTGCACGATTGCGGAGTTCGCGAGAAGAGAGCGAAGGTCTTCACGGAGTCAAAGGTGAATGACTTAATACTAGTTGGCTGCAGTTCACCAAGTGGATAAGAAGGACGGTCTAGAAGAATGCTGCGCGTTAACCGACTTAGCAATTGTGACTTACTTGTGGGAATCCTAGAGTCGGGGAAAGAAGTGCGGAGAACTCGAGGCGCGGCAAGTACGATTCGAGAGCGGAATAGTAGAAGCCGGCTGGTCGAAAACGGTTCAGATGGAACCGAGCGCGGAAATCCCTGTGAGCAGCGCCTTTTTAGAGTCCGCGGCTCGCCTGGTTTCCGTGTGCGAGCGGGAAGGTTATCCAGTGGGGAGCGGATTCCTGTTCCGGCCGTCAAACGTGCGGAAAAATGGTTTTAAAAACGAAGCCTTGAAAAGCGGAACTATGCGGCGCCGAGTGCAATTCAGCGTCTGCGGGAAGCAGGTTTATTCGAGGGCGAGACGCTGCACAGCTTTCGCAAATCCGCTGTGCAGCATGCGGCCGAGATAGAGGGTTACGACGTCGCTCGGTTAATGGCACGAGGGCGCTGGTCTTCATACGCAGCCTTCCGGGTTTATGTTAGTAGAAGAGATAGCAAGCAGATTCCCACGACGAAGTGGTAGGTAGCCGTTATAGGAGGTTCAATTAGATATCAGATATAGGTCTTTAGAAGTTCACAGTATTAACTCTGGAGATTTTCTGACTGTTTCTAACATGTACCTTCGTTTTGGATGTTACTTCAATTTCAATTCATGCGCATTCAACGAATGACGTGGCATGAATTAACAATCAATTGATTCATTCGATTAGGGCCAGCTGTATGCAATGCTTATTACATATCACCAGACTACGTGTATGATTTTTAAGCCAAGGAAAGCTGGGTTTCTGGTTCCTGAAGGGACTCTGAGGCTTGCTACACAGCTCTCTGATATCCTCGGGATCTGGAATACTTTTTGGGATGCTCTAGGCGCAATACTCTCTACTTGTGTATGCAGTAGCGACCCTTCAGGTATGCTTATGCAAACTAGCGCATCCGTTTTGTATCTCCGGAGGAGATCCAAGGCGAGCCCTGCCAGGCCTGGCGGAGGAAACACCCATGCACAACTGTCCTCGTGCGACTATCCTTGACCAGTCCAACGACTGAGCAAGGATCCCAGAGCATTCTGGCGTATAGTATTTGCTGACGAAGACAGGCGCCACGTGGAGATGGCTCGACGCGAAGAGGTCGACGGCAGGCCGGACTGAGAAGAACTCAGTCACCTCGTTGTAGAGCTTCGGGGAGAGGCCCCAATCAGAGGGGTCTGGCTCTCTGGAGAGGGCATCTGCTTCCTCTATTTCTTCCCTGGGAACCCATCGGGCGGCTATGTCAAAGTCGTACGCTCTAGACAGCTCCACGAGCTTTTGGAGAGCAGAATTGATAAAGGGGGCCGCGCTTCTGCACTTGGTTAAGGCACTAACCCCGGCTTGACTATCTCCAATGACCAAGACTGAGCGTCCCTTGATCTCTTCTGGAGCTTGCTCCGCCACAACTTGCAAGGCAGCTGCATAACCGCCTACTTCTCTTTCCGAGCTAGATCGCAGCGCTTCCTCTTGGCTGAAGGTTCCGGCAACCTCGAGTCTTCTCGCCGATTACGTAACCGCGAAGCCCCCGAATCCTATTCCGGATGCATCCATTATGATCCGAGTCGACCGACGTTGGTCGCTTCCACCATCTTTTTCCGTTGAACCTTCCCAAGTTCTCCAACCAGAACTTGGCTGTCTGCACTACTGTTTCCGGGTTAGGAAAGAGCGCGTCCCAACCAGTCCGGTTACTCAGGGCTTCATAGAGGGACCTGCTATAGATCGACACTGGAAGGACGGCAGGGGCGGCTGACGCTAGCATACCAGCTAGCTTGGCTATGGCTCGGGCTGACGTCAGCTTCCGGTCTACTATCTCCTGGAGGGCCTTCTCGATTCTAATCCGTCTGGCTTCAGTTAGGGAGAAGGTTTCTGTGAAGTTGAGTTGACGGGGAAGCCCAACCACTTCAGTTCCTGGAGCGGTTCCAGCTGGCATTTGGGAAGGCCGAAGAAGGCCCCCAGAGCTGCGAACAGGAGAACGTGTAAACAGGATTTGACGGAGGGCCTTTCCGAAGGTTTCCGCCGCAGTGAAGAGATCGTCTACGTAACCGGACAACGGAATCCCTAGGCGCCTGAGCTCTACGATCGGTTCCTTCATCACAGTCGTGAACACCCAGCAAGCTTGCGCAAATCCAAAGCAGAGCACTTTGTAGAAGAAGGTCTTCTTCCCAATTTTGAAGCCAAAGTATTTCCAGTACGCAGGATGGATCGGTACATGGAAGTACCCTGACTTCAGATCTCCCGTGACCATGAAAGATCCAGGAAACGTGAAGACGAGCACGTCCCTGAGTTTGTCATACTGAAAAGGGATCTGCTGCAAGAAAACGTTTAGGTACCTATCGTTACAGATCAGCCTAAGCTTGCCAGCAGATTCAACCACCCCCATAGGATGGATGATTTCAGGGGGTTCCTGTCCTTCCGGCCAGACGCCTACCGCTCCGGATTCAAGATTCTTCCTAGTTTCATTGACTGCAAATTCAAACTGATCGTAGAAGGATTTGTGATTTGGGAATTCAATCCTCCTAGGCCTTTTTCCTTGGAGGAACTGACGGACGCGATGGGGCCCGACTACTTTGGCCAGCATCGCTTCGACTATCCGCAGCTTATCCTTCCTGGCGTTTGCCACGCAATCGAAACGGGGCCTAAATCCATGCTTTAACCAGCTAAGTACAGATTTGGGACTTTCTGGTAGATTCCTTTAGCAACTCTTCCCAAGCAGGGAAGAAAGATTGAAAGCTGCTGGCTACAAATCTCTCATGGCTCGGAATCTGGCTGTGCAGGTTAAAAAGAACATCTAACGCCTGCGTGATCAGCTCATCTCACAACTCAGCGGCTGGTTCGTTCCTAATCTTCTGAATCAGATCTGTGACTTTCTCAACCTGACTCAGAGGAGAAGGGGCTTTGGAACTTCGGGGAGAGATTTGGCTTAGCTCTTCTGCAGTTGCATCTTCTGTCTTCGACGCAGGGTCCACCCGGAAGGGGGTCTGTCGCTTCATCAATCGAGTCTTCCAACTCTTCCAGGGCTTTTGCTTCAGCCGCTCCCCGCTCTTCCGTCTCACAGGTTTCTGACTCCTCTTCTTCCCGCACGTCTCCTTCTGGCTCTCCCACAGAGGTTTTCCGTTCTTCGCTGTTACTAGCGACCTGATCACGTTCTCCGGTTACTGGGGGCTCCGCTATCGGCTGCGCAGACTTATTACACGCCTGGTCCGTAACCGGGGGATCCCCTTCACCTTCGCTAACCGTTTGGTTACCCGGCGTCCCCAGCTTGGGTTTGCTAGCTGGACTCGCAACGTCGTCATTTCTGAGAAACATCAGAAACATCCCTTATAACTTATATTGCGACATGATGGCCTTCATACTCACGTCTTGGCATACATAGCTCGTGGACACAATCAAGTTTTCCGGAGACTGAATGCATCATGAACTCAGAAGAATAGCTGGTTGCGACAAGAAGGTTAATTGTCTAACCCTCCTTTTGCGGAAACAGTTCAAATCTCTTTATTTATTCGTCCATCCTCTAATGGACGTATTTGTATCGTCGTATCTGATTTGCTTAACCTACGAAACTAAATGGAACTCGATTCAGTTTGTTCCGGTCCTTTACAATCCAATTGACACTATCTTGCTAAGCTATCTCAGATCGAGCCTTACTGTACATTAAGTGTCAATCAGGCCTACTCTGCAGCTGCATCTCACTGCTCTTTTTTATCACCACTATCATACTTCCAGCTATGAGGTTTTGCACATTCTACTCACTCCCTGCCACGCTTGCGTCCTGGCGATGCACTCCTGCGCGGCGAGCCAGGTCTGCCTTGGTTGCCCCCACCGGGCTTTCTATCTCCGTCTCCTCTGCCTCTGCCAGCTCCTTGCCCCCTTTGCCTGAACGAAGCAATATAGAATAATAAGATATCACATCCTCAATGACTCCGTTATGAGTCTCTGAATACGGAGTCGAGAATCAAGAGCCCGAAGATGACGACTGTTGCGGACAGTCCAGAAGCTTGAGTCCATATTCAGACTTACAGTCTGAAGATTACAATTCAATTGGGACAAGCTTTGCCGTTGAATGGCAGCAACGAGTGGCAAGGTGAAGCGGCGCTGAACAGAATCGACTCGGGGTGAGAGAGATACGGGCTGGAGAGACGATATACGAGGAGTTTAATACAAGCTGAAGAT